GTGCTGAGAGTGTAAAAAAACATTTGTTAATTTTGGAAACACCACAAATTTATTAAAACATTTGAAAAAAAATACATCCCTTTTTACATACAGCGATAATAGAAAAAAAATGAGAGAGCCTTACAGTAGTCGCGTATAATGTGAAACATTTGAAATCTCACCTTATATTAGTAAAAAAAGAAATAAAACCTACTACAAAAGGAATAAGCCATTAGAACATTATGTTCTAAAATCAAATCTTCCTGTTACACACTTCCGTCCCATTTCGCGAAATCACTCCCACAAATTGCAGGAAAGCGAGAGGAAAGATGTCACACATCAAAAAGTAAGCAAAATGAAAATGAAAGCTTTGATGACAGTTCAGATTTGGACTTGGAGTCATTAGACTCATTAGCATCGTCATCTACAAGTCAATCAAATGACATTGACCAAGTATCAGCGAAAAGTCGTAAAAGACAATTACTTAATTAATTTTTTGTCAAAAAGTGCTATTCAGGTCATTTCGAAGAACATAGACTGGGATCTTATAAATATGATGATTATAATATTAATAAATGACTGATTATACATTTAATCTATTATTGGTGTCGATTCTGGCGTGATGCTCTAAACTTAAAACTAAATTTAACATCAGTCTCACCTTTTCATTCTGTATCGAGAAGGACAAGGATGCACTGTTGTCAAATTTAAGTTTAGCTTTAGAGAATCATGCCAGAATCGACATCATTATTAACATATTTTCCTATCATTCGTATAATATGATTTTTGATGATGATGATGAAGCAAATTACAAGGTCCGATTCAAAAAATACTCGAGACCAGTAAAGTATTCGAATACTCATACTAGTACTCGAATACCTGTCCGAGTCTTCCGACTCGAGTAATAGTTCGAACCTTTTTTTAAAGTATACTAAAATATTCGAATACCAAAAATAACCGACTCGGCACATCACTAGATTGGTCTCGCTTCACTGGTGAAGAAATAAATCATCTATGGTCTGTGGCTTGCTCCGTTTTAAACAGAAACGTAGTAAGAGAGATACGAGAAAGACTGCTCGGTAGATACAGATTATGGTGGAATTATGTCTATAAATAAAAATAATAACATATAATATAGACTTGCAACGAATATTCGGTTACTTTTCGGCCTATTCGGCTGCTTTTATTATATTCGGCCGAATACCGAATACTTAAATAATATATTTTGTCATAGAGAAATAATTGGTAAAATGAAAAATTAAAATCGATTGATTACGTATATATTCATATTTTCATTTTTGTTATATAATCGTTTAAGTAGTCATTGGTACATAACACATGTACATAATATTATTTTCTCAATTGGAAAAATAGAGGATTTTATGTATTTGAATTATTGTGGTAATCAAAATTTAGAAGGGGAAGGTTATGGTGCAGAAAGACTAAGTTTTCTGCATTTTTAGGAAGTAGTTTACTTCTTTTTTTCTCGTAGACCATTCCAGCTTTAGAGAAAAGGCGCTCTGAATAAACACTACTTCCTGGCGCCGACAAATATTTTGCTGCAATCTTAATCAAATACGGAAATACAAATTTCTTTGCTTGCCACCATGTATACGAGTTGTCATGACGTGATATATTACTAATATTTAAGAAAAGATCAGAACAACAGCGGGCGCGCGGGCGAGGAGTACATTAAAACATAACAAAACAAAGGAGCGCGAAACAATCACGTCTGTACAAGTTTTTGGCGCTAAAATCCAGCCGAATACTTTTGCCTAATATTCGGCAATTCGGTCAGGGGTCTCGCCGAATATTCGGTATACTGCCGAATATACTATTCGTTGCAAGTCTAATATAATAGAATATCCGTTCTTCGTTGAGCTTTTCACATTTTTGAAGTTATACTTCTTTAGGCGCGTTATGAAAAAATGATGAGAGTGAAATTTTAAGATGCGCGCGCATCACTGTAACACAAAAAATTAACCAACTTCATGCTGTTACTCTTGTGTTTACCGCAAATTAAGAAAATCTACCAACAAAATAGAAATAGAATCTCTATTTAGTGGGTGCTAACGACTGCATTGTGAAGGCCTATCAAAAGTATTTATTAATCTGGAACAACGGAACCAAAGCGTGATTCAGGAGACTACAGCGCCATCTCTTGACCATTGGTGTAGTAGAACCAAAAACCACATCTTTATTTTTTGTAATAAAGTAACAAAAAGTATTTATTAATCTGGAACAACGGAACCAAAGCGCGATTCAGGAGACTACAGCGCCATCTCTTGACCATTGGTGTAGTAGAACCAAAAACCACATCTTTATTTTTTGTAATAAAGTAACAGTTATAGGTATTCATATTTATAATATTTATCCACATGTTTCTAGTTTGTATATTCGGAACACGTGTTTGAGTTTCATACAAGTGCAAATCACATTATGTTCTAATAAATTATATTCAGTAGCGATTTTAATTGAATATTTTGATTTTTTATTTATTTTTTCAAATTAAAACTGAACTTTATTGACTGTGTCCTTTTCCAGACTTTTTATTAATTTATTGTAATTAATTATTTGCATGCAATTAAAAACTAATTTTAAACGATGCCAAAGATGGATAACTTCTCACGCGCCTACATAAGTACACGCACCCATTTTTTTTTGGATTTCTATACTTAATACAAATAGAGCATTTTTAGGTGGTGACAATGACAGACCAGACGCATAGCGATGAAATGATATGAGTAAATACATGTAAACACTCGATACTTTTCTTTAGAAATCCACAAGTACATTTGACATCGATACTTTAAGAACTGAGTAACAAGTAGTATCATTAAGTAAGTACTTGTTACGGTACTCATTCGGTCACTCACTGAGAAGTATAAAAAAAAACTCATAGGCAGATTTATTTACTGTATGATAAGTTGTCTAGTTAGAATTTATGTTTAGCGAATGCATAATTATTTTTTACTGCGGGTCAATTATGCTTTAGTGATATAATCGTAATGTGATATCAATATGTTGTTGATGCCAAGTTGACATTGTTTTAAAATGGTATTATGAGACATTCCTATGTTACATCAAGATCATATCAATATCATATCCTGTATCACATTTTTGACGTTTATGCGATACTGTTTTAAGTCAAAAAGTTGAACGTAATACGCATTTGAGTTAATGTCAAGTTGATATCATTTTAAAGAATTGATCATAATACGTATAAATTGATTTGATTTCGATATCAATAGCATAATACGTAATCCGAAATTGACATCAAAACAGTATCACAATTAGCGAGCATAATTGGCCTGCTGCTCAAATGACAGTCTTGCGTATGATTTACATTTTTCCAATTTATTCAATCAGTCATTCGTTTATCGCGTGGCGTGAGCCGTTATTTTGTTTTCATTAAATTTAAACCTTGACTGAATTTGTAATTGTAATATCGTTCGTCAAAATTATATTAATACTTGATACTTTATGACCGATACAGTATCGTGTAAAAGTATCGACGCCTAAATGGTATCGTTTCATCCCTACAGGCGCACACTGTCACATGGAAAGCATGGACTTCCGGTCAGTGTTGCTAGACTAATATCTCGCTTTCCCCAAAAATCCAAGCACATCATCCCGTCTGCTGTCTGATCCGCGTGGATTTTTTTCTAGTTATATTTTCTTTAGATTTAAACATCAAGCAGTTACATGCTTTAAAAATAATAAATATTGTAAGCACATCATGGTTCTAAACCACAATCTGTTTCTTAGATGCTTTGATTTACATTACGGTAAGTACAGTAGCGAGTTTAGAAATCGAGTAAGTTAAGCGTTATGTACTCAACTGGCAATCCCAGTCCAAAAGATGATAAGAAATAACTTAATTCGCCAAGACTATAATAATATATAATAAGCGATTATAGCTTGGCTTAGCTGTTTACTTGTTGCGGAAGTTACAGCAACAATAAAACGTAGGAAAGCAGCTGAGAAAATCCACTATGACAATAATACAAATGGAAACTTTGACACTCTTTTGCTCAGAATGAATGAAACCCGGAAATTACTTGAGAAAAAAAAGAGAGGGTTAGAAGGCATTTTGCTCTTCTTTAGCACCTGACATATCTTCGTCTGCTATATTGAATAATATCCGAAGGTTTAGATCAGCATTTAAAGAACCAGGGCAGCAATTCATCGATTATGAAGTACATAGCTGATAAATTCCTAGATAAACCGTCGTGGAACCTTTTTCGTAAATGCAGGCAGCATACTTTAATTTGAATTTTGTTTGACATGTTAGGAATAAATATAAAAAAATATTGCTTTGTCAATTATTGTGTTATGTTCAAAAGAACAATTCTAAAAAGTCTAAACTTCAGTCTAAAAATAGACTGAAGTAAGTTTTATAAGTTTGTGTTTTTTATAATTTCTGTATGCTCTTTTAAACATTATAATTTTATTTCTGAACTTGCAAGCGTTTCCTTTAACCACATAGAGAAGTTTGGGGCAAGACATAGCGCCGGCGCCGGTTACTATCCACGAACATAAACTAGCCCCTTTTGTTTCTCAAGAAGACACAAATTCCGTTTTAAATTCTTTTCTTTTTTTATTTTATTGTTTTCTTACCTTTAACTCCATCGTGGGCGATGCACAAACCGAGCCGGCCAATAACAAAAAAAATCTATGGGTGTGTCTAACCCATAGATAGATTTGGATAGATTCTGTGACCACCCACACCACATGGTGACCATAGATTGTGCCTGTGACTCTGGGTATATTCCGAATTGTACATCAGTATACGGGCCTGTGATAATGAAGTCACGAATCCGAATATTGTACTGGTGTGCTACCATATTTTTACCGGGAAAACAAATATGACGTTTGACCGACCGAATTCACCACGTCCAAAGATTAGTATTTATATTATAGTGTCGATCCATGACGGCATTAGCACTAGCCAGTATACTGGTATATATTACGGAATACACCCTCTGTGACTAGCATCCTCCTTAAGAATTGGCTGTATGGGCACAGTACCCTTTGCCTTCCCTGAATGGGAAAAGGGGAAAAAAAACTAGCATCCTATTTTTCCCGCCTAAATGTCATCAATTTGTTGATTGTTGCTTTGTGACCTGTGACAAAGAAACACTTTTTACTTATTAAATCTGATCATGAAAGTTGAAATGTTCATTTGCTGATATAAGTGAAGTGAAGAAGGTAAAAAATATACAGCTAGTTTTACACTCTTGGTTTTGGGATAACGCCTACAGTTAGTTACTTAAAGGTAACCTAAAAACTAAGAACAGTCGGTATTTTGTTTATTCTAGTACAATACAATTTAGTAGGCAACCAATTTCTACTTGTAATAAATACAAAAAAATATCTGCACAATGGATGTTGCTGATACATACGCAACACAAAATCAAGTGAAAGATGAAGTTGGAGTGAGGTGCCAAAAGTTATTTCAGGATTTTTTGGAAGAGTGAGTTAATTTAAATCATTTATTCTGTTTATCAAATTGTTTACCTACAACTCGAAAGTCCTTAATTAATATGTGCTTTTTTAGATTCAAAGAAGACCATGAACTCAAATATGAGAAACAAGCAAAAGAACTGTTGAAACCAGAATTAAGCACACTGGAAGTCAGTTTTGACGATGTGGAAAAGTACAATCAGAATCTCGCAACTACAATCATAGAGGAATATTATAGAATATACCCCTTTCTCAATCAAGCTATATTCAATTATGTGTTAAGTTTAGCAGACAGTAGCATGAAAAAAGACCTTCAGGATAAGGAATGCTATGTTTCTTTTGTTGATGTGCCTACTAGACACAAAGTGAGGGAGTTGACTACTGCAAAAATAGGCACCTTGATAAGAATATCGGGACAAATTGTGAGGACACACCCTGTCCATCCTGAACTTGTCTTGGGAACTTTTGTCTGTCTCGATTGTCAGACTGTAATTAAGAATGTGGAGCAGCAGTTCAAGGTAATTAAACATATGAAGATCTTTTAGTTTACTTTATTCCTATATACTAGCGATTCTCCCGTGCTTTGCTTTAGTGTGGACTATAGTTTTTGCTCTCAAGCTTATTATAAATAAACCTTTATCTTGTTTCTATATGTAAAGGCGTTTTTGGTAACTTTTAACCATTGCACTTTGCAGTATACAATCCCAACTATCTGTAGAAACCCAGTATGTGCAAACAGGCGTCGGTTCATGCTTGATGCAGACAAGTCTGTTTTTGTGGACTTCCAAAAGATTCGTATACAAGAGACTCAAGCCGAGTTGCCTAGAGGATGCATACCACGGTCCCTTGAAGTGATTTTGAGGGCAGAAGCTGTGGAGTCTGTTCAGGTATACATAAATTCACTGTTAGTTACTTCAAGATTAAGATTTTGTGGTGAATTCAAACACAAAATCTAATATTGGTATGGAAATCATTAAATTTAATACGAGGTATACTATTATTCTATTGAATTATACTTGGTAATAGACAAAATTATTTTACTGCTGAATTTGAAAAAATATATATATATCTTTATACAGGCTGGTGACCGTTATGACTTCACTGGAACCCTAATTGTAGTTCCCGATGTTGGTTCCCTTTCCATGCCTGGGGCAAAAGCAGAACTCACTACCAGAACACGGCAGGCAAACGAGGGACAGATGGAGGGCATCAAGGGACTCAAAGCTTTGGGAGTCAGAGAGTTACATTATAAGTATGTAAATATTTGTTGCCATTATAGATTAAATTCAAAAGTTTTATATTTTTTTTTGTAAAACTATACAATGCAATGGTAAGTTCTAATAATAATACTTTTCAATATTTACCAGGACTGCATTTCTAGCATGTAGCGTTCAAGCTATAGCACGTAGATTTGGTTCAGCAGACCTCGCCACAGATGATCTCACCACTGAAGACATGAGGAAGCAGATGACTGATAAAGAGTGGGATAAGGTAATACTTGAATTGACTCATATAAAAAACGGGTCTAATATTGATAGTCCAGTAGAGAAAATATGTACTCAAGAGATATGCTGCCATCATGTCACTTCAAGTTTTTATTTTGCTACAGAAACTGACATATTTTCTTCTCCAAGCAAAATTTAATGAAATTAAGCAGCTTAGAGGAGTAATAATGTAACAAATTAAATGATAAAATGCTAAACACTTAATGTTATTTTAGGTATATGAGATGTCAAGGGACCGGAATCTCTACAACAATCTGATTGCGAGCTTGTTTCCGAGCATCCATGGGAACAATGAGGTGAAGAGAGGGATCCTGCTTATGATGTTTGGTGGCGTCGCCAAGACTACCGTGGAAGGTAAAACTGTCTATTTGATAATAATTTTGGAAATACCAAGCGTCTGTTGTACATCTGATACTTGTATTTTGTGAACAGTAATAACAGGTATATAGTTGAAAATCATATATAAATTTAAAAAAAATCTTATTAAATTAATGATAACAATAGAATTTAAAAAATAAAAGGCTCTCTAGGCAACTTTTCTTTACCAATTTGCAAATTGCAATAGCTATATTTTTACAAATGTTTATAATTTTGTACGGACTTCTATGTGTATTAGCCTCATTTTGATTAATTAGAAGAAGTCTATCTACTGGAATTTTTCCAGTTAAAATGTAGGCAATGTTTTAATGATCCCTGTTAATACAAGCCTGTTTCATAACTCTCAAAGAAATAATAAATATAACTTCAAAATAATACAATAACCTAAATGTTAGGGTTACCAATAAAATTGTATTTGAAGATCATCTAAATATGTGCCATGATAAAATACCTAATACAATAATGAAACTGTTAATTTTTTTATTTTATAAGCATATAACTGCTCGATGCTTAAATGTAAAGAAAATATTATTGGAATTAATGCTTGTAAAGGTGACATTGTGGGTTATCTACTATTCGAAGAGATGGCGTTGCTTTGCAGTTTAAGAAAGGCTAGAAAAAATTCGACACGGCCATCAGGACCGCGGTAGCATAATGGTCAGTGCATTCGTCCGGATAGCAAAGGTTGCGGATTCGAGTCCCGTCTGCTGCCTGGTCCGCATGGAATTTATTCTAATAATATTTTCTTTAGATTTGATACTGTTAATTCAAATAAGGCCTTTGGTTGACAATAAACTATTAAATAATTTATTTGACCGTCAGGCACTACTCTACGTGGTGATATAAACGTGTGCATAGTGGGTGATCCCAGTACGGCCAAGTCCCAACTACTGAAGCAAGTGAGCGAGATCACTCCCCGAGCAGTTTATACAAGCGGGAAAGCTTCTTCGGCCGCCGGTCTCACCGCTGCTGTCGTTAAGGTAATAAAATTCTTTTGGGTGTTCAGTTAATAAAAAAGTCGAAATCACATCATTGCGTGCAAGGTAAACAAATTATTTAAGTTGAAAGTAAAAGTTTTGTCATGATACTTGAGTATGGCTACCATCCGTCCGAATTATTCCAGACATGTCCGGACTTTTCTACTGTAGTCCAGACTTTGGCGGGATTTTTTAAATTACATTGAATATAATTTATAAGTGTACATATTGTTTTTAATACCATACCATTGTAACTAAGTCAGTAATGGTACCATTTTGTGACAAAAAATCCGGACTTTTGTCTTAATGTTAGAATTTTTGTCAGGACTTTTGGAATTCCTAAATGGTAACCCTACCCTTGAGTGACCTCATTACACACACTGCAAAGAAAAAAACTTTCATGCATAATAGGATGAAGAGTCATTCGACTTCGTGATCGAAGCGGGCGCTTTGATGTTAGCCGACAACGGCGTTTGTTGCATCGATGAGTTCGACAAGATGGACCCCGCCGATCAAGTGGCCATTCACGAGGCAATGGAGCAGCAGACCATATCGATCGCTAAGGTAACATTTATATCATTACTAGCGTCCGCCCGCGACTTGGTCCGCGTTCTTTACTTTTTTGAGAATCCCTCAGGAACATAATACACTTTTCGGGATGAAAAGTATCCTATGTCTCATTCCAGGTCATAAACTATATGCGTACCAAATTTCAACCAAATTCGTTAAAAAGTTTTTGCGTGATTGAGTAACAAACAAACAAACAACCAACCAAACGAAGAGACTCATGAACGCTAATATTAGTAAGGATTTGCACTATTGTAAATGTTATATACACTGCATATATAACATTTATGTATAGTGTGGAGGTACAAAACAATAGAGATCAAGTCATAAAACAAATTTCTTAACCTCCACAATCGCGGATTATACGAGGGTGGGATGATAAGTAACTAGCCTCTGCTATTTAAAAAGTTAAAATTTTAAAAATATATATGTCATCTTTAAATTCGTATCTCTGGCCACCTGTGTTCTAAATTTTCAATTTGGTGGCCCGAAAATTTTATTGAGTTTTTGTCATTTGTAAATAATTATATTTCGTCAACTGTTTTCAAAATGGATGAAATTGAACAAAGAGCAGTGATGAAGTTTCTTCATATGAAGGGCATGTAGGGGAAAGATATCTATGACGAGTTAAAGAATGTTTTGGGTGAATGTGCTCCTTCTTATGCCACAGTAAAAAACTGGGTAGCTGAGTTTAAACGAGATCGTACATGTGTCCAAGATGAAGCCCGCCCCGGACGTCCAAAAAGCGTCACGACTCCGGAAATGGTCGTGAAAGTACATGATATGGTTTTAGCAGATCGACGATTCAAGTTATCTGAAATAGCTAACACTACAGGTATCTCAAAAGAACGGGTACATCATATTCTAATTGAGGAATTAAATATGAAAAAGTTATCGGCCCGTTGGGTGCCGCGCTTGCTTACGCACGATCAAAAAAGGATTCGGGTGCAAAACTCAAAAGAATGTGTGGACCGTTTTCAGAGTAATAAGGCCGATTTTTTACGTCGATTTGTAACAACAGATGAAACATGGGTTCATCATTACACGCCAGAATCAAAAATTCAATCAAAACACTGGACTCAATGTTCAATTTCATCCATTTTGAAAATGAAAATTCAAATGACAAAAAAATAATAAAATTTTCGCGCCACCAAATTCAAATTTAGAACACAGGTGGCCAGAGATACGAATTTAAAAATGAAATTTATATTTTTTAAATTTTAATTGTTAAATAGCAGAGGCTAGTTACTTATCATCCCGCCCAATAAAATATAGGCTGATGGTTATTATATTCTTATGAATGTTATTTATGAGAAGTAACTGTAACGTATCTCAGGGACATCCTACCTTTTGGCAATTATAGGTTCCATTTTACAGATCTTATCATCCATGTAGTCATCAATTTCAGCATACTACCATTATTTATACATATTTTATATTATTCATTCCTGGAAACGCACAATGTAAATGATATCATACACTAATTACGATTTAGTAAATACGTATCAGAATCCCAACTACTAAAATCGCAATTCCACAGTTCTACACGCTTACCGACGTGTTTCCATATCCTTATATTTATATATACTTGTAATTTAATTATTCTCTAATTTGCTTTTTCGTTTGTTTTCGTTATTTTATTTATGTTTACAAATTTGACTGACAGACATGTTTTTCAGCGTTGCCATGGCTACCCATGACACGGGCACTCTTTCCAACCGGCTAAATGCCTAACTGACCTCCGTATAATACCTATTTTAATTATTTATAGTTCAATTCGAACCGTCTCTAAATTTAAATGGTTCCGGACCTATAAAAGGCCTTTTATAATAAATATACTTATAATAATCTCCTATCTTAAATTGTACTTAGTTTGATTATAATTAAGTGTATTATTTTGTTGTATATTGATATTGTAGTGCCCGTAGTTCATGTTTGGATCTAAAACTAAAGCTTCTAAACTTGTAATTACCACATACATGACACCAATAAATCAATTGAATTCAATAAAATATTCATTTTTATTCTACAGGCCGGTGTAAGAGCCACACTGAACGCTCGCACATCCATTTTGGCCGCGGCCAATCCAATAGGAGGTCGATACGACAGAGCTAAATCCTTACAGCAGAACGTTTCCCTGAGCGCGCCAATTATGTCCCGTTTCGATCTATTCTTCATACTCATAGACGAAAGTAGCGAAATGGTGGACTACGCTATAGCCAGGAAGATAGTGGATCTGCATTGCAACAAGGAGGAGTCTTACGACTGTGTCTATTCGAGGGAAGATTTGTTGAGATACATTGCTTTCGCGAGGTCTTTCAAGCCCATCATCACTGAGGTCAGTGAAATAAATATGTTTTTTTATCTGTAATTTTAATATGTGTTAATGCTTATCCCACACCTGTGTGTTTATTAATAATTATTTATATATTATTTATCTCTGGCTTAGCCCTAAATAGCAATCAAAGCATATTCTGTCTTCAATACGTTATAGTTTTTATGTGTCGAACTAATACAATATCAGAAATATAATACCATCATTTCGACAACCTCCGTGGCCGAGTGGTATGTTCCGGGTTTCATGGTGTAGCTAACTCAAGGGTCTCGGGTTTGAATCCCGATGGGGGCAGTTGTTTGTGTGATGAATACGAGCATTTGTACTCCAGTCATGGATGTTTAATACGTATTTTTATAAAAAAATACTTATATATGTACAGTATATGTATTCTATCCGTTACCCTTACTTTGGGGCTAGGCTAATTGGTGTGTGTTGGAAATGTTTGTATTGTCTTGAGATTGAAAAAAATTACCCTTAAAGGCGTCATACTTTAACAGGAAGCCGGCAAACTGCTAGTGGAATATTACACAGTCCTCCGTGGTAGAGATGGCAGCGGGGCCTCCGGAGGGGGATCGTGGAGGATCACTGTGAGACAACTCGAGTCCATGGTGAGACTCGCTGAAGCAATGGCCAAGATGCATTGCAGCGGGCAAGTCTGTCCACAACACGTGCATGAAGCTTATAGGTGAGTTTATTAGGCTTTGTGAACTTTTTCATATTGAAGTGTCACTAGTTAGATAGTTGAGGAGCTATTTTTTACAGGAGCAGTAAAAAACTAAATGACATACCTACCGCTTTTGGCGTGATTTTTAATTGTAATTTTAACACTATTTTGGGCGGTTATGATTGAAATGAGTTGAAATTCAAATTCAGCTGGCTTAAAACCTCCGGGCTGGAAAAATAAAGTATTATATGGTCAAAACCATAATATGCGTAATTATACCGTTTTGTTCGCCAGCTGCACAGATCTTCTATCTATCTAGAAAATGTAAATCCCTTAAATATCAAGGATATCCTCTCCGAAGGACTAACAAGGAGATCTTGAGGATTGCTATGAAACAACTCGAATCGCGTGACACAAGTAGGGTTACCACCCGTCCGGATTAGTCCGGACATGTCCTGACTTTTAGACCATAGTCCGGTCTTTGTATGGATCGTTAAATTGTTAGGATTTTTTAAATTACATTGAATATGAATAATGAATGTACGTCATCATCAGCCTATTAATGTCCCCACTACTGGGGCACAGGCCTTCCCTATGGATGGAATAGGGAGATTGGGCCATGACCCACCACGTGGGCCCAGTGCGGATTGGTGGGTGCTAACGACTGCAGATGCAGCCGGGACCAACGCTGCTTAACGTGCCTTTCGAAGCACAGAGGAGCTCGAGATAGTAATTTTTGGTCACCCATCCAATGACCGACCACTGCGAAAGTTGCTGAAGTTCAACAACCGCAGCCGAACGCGCTAACCACCTGCGCCATCGAGCTTCTCCAATGAATGTACATATTGATTTAAATACTATACCATTGTAACAAAGTGAGTACCATGGTACCATGTTGTGAGTAAAAAGTCCGGACTTTTTTAGAAATGTCAGGATTTTTGGCATTCCTAAATGGTAACCCGAGACAAGTCGATATAGTCAATAATGGTGTTAGTCACACTGCGATCTACACAATCTGAGATCAACCCTTCGATTCTTTTTATGATGTTTTTGGCTTTAAACGTCACGTAATTCTTTAGGTTACTAAACAAATCCATCATCCGAGTGGAGCAGCCCGATATCCACTTGGACGAAGAGGAACCCCAGTTCGAACCCAACATGGATGTGGACAATGAGACACCCAATGGCACTGGAGAAACTAGTAATTACTATTATTATTATATTTTGGACCCAATTCGAAGCAATCATCGCCAAATATGACACACATAACACTGTTCATGTCCTCCAAGGACCACCAAGATCATAAAATGGAAACCATCACTAATCTCATTAGAGTCTGTGCAGAAAGAGAATGGGATTTAGATTTGAGGGCGCAGTAGTGCTTTTCTATCGTATTTGTAAGGTTTTACCTCTTTTAGACATGATTAAATACAAAAAACAGCAACAAATCACAACAACGAACAAATCCGTATCAATACAAAACTTTGACGTTTGACAGATGGCTGGGTTGGATTGCCATATAAAAATCTTAAAGTTAGTTCCGTTTTTCGCCACGCCCATTCTCTTTCTGCACATACTCTATCAGGCTATTAATGTCCCCACTGCTGGGGCTCAGACCTTCCCTATGCATGGAATAAGGAGATTGGACCGGGACTCACTACGCGGGCCCAGTGCGATTTGGTGGGTGTTGACGACTTCAAATGCAGCCTAGATCAATGGCTTAACATGCCTTCCGAAGTATGGAGGAGCTCAAGATAATAACTTTTTTTGACCCATCCAATGATCGACCATTGCGAAAGTTGCTTAACTTCCACGATCGCAGACCGATCGCGCCATCGAGCTACCTTTTACAGCAATCAATAAAAATAGCAAATAATTGATTTTGAACTAAATTAGACGCAATCATCACCAAATATGAATCATCTAGCTCGAAGGACCACCAGGGGGTTATTCGCCTAACGGGATTGCTTTGGAAAACGCTATCGCTTACGATTTAATTTTGTTATTTCTAATCCCCGAAGGTTTTCAAATACCTCACGCTCATTTTCTTTAATATTGTTATTACCAATGCAAAAGAAAAAAAAAGAGCGCGAGGCATTTGAAACCCTCAGGTGGCTAGAAATAACGTAATAGCTGTACCTATAAAATCGATAATCAATGTTTCGTTAACTTTATCGTGTCGTGAGCTTATTCACGACATAGAAAATTGTGAAAATGGCGATGAAGGTCACGTTATTCACGATATATCGAAATTGAATTCTAAAATTAAAGATGCTAATCTTAAATATCTTTTGTTATTTATAAATTTACTAGCGGCCACCCGCGACTTTGTTCGCGCCAACTTAAGATGTTTTAGAATCCCACAGGAACCTAAGATTTCTCCGGGATGAGGAGTATCCTACGTTTCAAATCCAGCTCATAAACTACTTATATGCGTATCAAATTTGTTTAAAATCTGTTCAGTAGTTTTGTAATAGGCATACAAACAGAAGCTTTCACATTTATAATACTAGCTGACCTGGCGAACTTCGTACCACTTACAAAGTCTTTTTTTCCATATATTGCGACTATAAATTGAGAGCTATCCTATCTTTCAAGTTAGATCAAACTGCACATGGTGTGCAAATTTTATTAAAATCGGTTAAGCAGTTTAGGAGTCCGTCCCGGACAAACAACGTGACGTGTAATTTATATATATTAAGATTAGTAGGATGCAACCTTAGTAAATCTCTCTTTCTCTTACAGATGGCCATGTGAACGGGGATTCTGCACCTAAAAAGAAGCTTACTTTATCTTTCGAAGAGTACAAAGCGCTTAGTGACATGCTGGTCGTGTTCATGAGGAAAGAGGAAGCTGAGGCGGAGACGAGAGGTAAATAACACATTGAATACAATCCATTATATAATATTAAACCATCACACTCATATTATAATTGAAAGTTTGTGTGTGTATGTTTGTTACTTCTGTACGCCTAAACGGCTAGAGCGATTTTAATAAAATTTGGTATGGAGTTAGCTGGCACCCTGGATTAACACATAGGCTACGTTTTACTGCGGGAAAATATGCTAATAATCCGCGGGTAACACCGCGGGGCACAGCTAGTCTTTTATCAATCACCTGAATAAATATTAATCTCTGTAGACACTTAAGACCCCATTCCTCATCTGCGATAACAAGCATATAAATCTGACATTAAAAAATGTTTTTTATCCATCTGAAATGAAATGAAGTCATTTATTCAGTCTACGCTGTTACAAGCACTTGTAAAGGTCAAGAAGCTACGCCATCGGTTCGCAAAACTACGGCGGGAGACCTTGTACTGAGAAGAACCGGCAAGAAACTCAGCAAGGGCTGTTTTTTTCTCCCTATATGTTATATAAAGAGTAGTCAAGTTGAAAAATGACTTCAGAGATACGTCTGAAGTCACCTTCCATTACATCATTTAGAATATAAATATATAGTTACTATAAATTTTATAATTCACGTTATATTTAGTATATAGGAAGAAGCATTAGATAGGTACAATATTACTGTTATGAAAAATGACTAATACCCATCAAGTAACAAATTACATGAAACACTATGTCCATGCATGACGATCATTTAGATAATCATCCACTTTATAATGGCCCTTATTCATAAGAGTATTCTTGATCTGAGATTTAAATTTGGTCAGTGAAAGCTCAATCAGATCTTGGGGAACTTTAGAGGTATACGAATAGAGTAGGGGGGATATAGACTTTACTACGAGTGGAAGTGTCCCTCTAATAGAAAGAGAAAGAAGATAAGAGACCGCTAGCTTTCTCTCTCTAATCGCGCATGCGCATTGGCAACCGTAAGCATCTTACTATTTCGATGTGATGCTTGGACCAACTATTGGACAGACGACTGCGCATGCGTCACAAGAGAGAGAGATAGCTAGCGATCTCTCATCTTCTTTCTCTACTAAACGGACACTTTTAGAGCTGCCTTCCCCGCTGTATTCTTATACCTCTATGCATGCTACGGTGTCAGGTCCTGTCCAAATATGTGTGCCACAGTGCCACATCCAAATCAGATTTCCCCATTTTTTCTTTCCAGTTGGACAGGGAATTCTCTCAATTCTCTATAAGAATATAATAGCTACAAACTTTATGTATGTATTTATGGAAACATTAACAACGTTTAAATTATTAGGCGAGGAGAGTTCCGGCATGCGCAAGAGTGCAGTAGTTAGTTGGTATTTAGAACAGTTAGTGGGTCAAGGGCATATAGAAGATGAAGACGAATTACTGCAGAGGAAGACGCTCGTGGAAAAGGTCATCGACCGGCTGATGTACCATGTAAGTCAGAATATTCATTACATACATAATCCCCCTTATTAATCAACTAAGAATAAGCTTGGATTAGTTATTCCTTGTTATGTCTCTGTTCATATAATGACAAGAGGCATTTCAGTGATTATGAACAGAATACGGAATTACTAGTCTCAGCTCATTCCTTGTTCTTTAATAAGGGGGTAGAGGTGTGAATTTCATTGTAAATAACATTTCAGCTTTAAGTCGTGTTATTAAGGTATGTAATTGTTTGTACTGTTGATTTTAAAGATATTATTTTGGCCAAGATTTAATAAAGGTGCTGCTTTTCTAAAAAAAATCTGCTTGAACATATTTTTATCATGTAAGAGAAGCTAACCTTTATTTTTTTATGTTAGGGATTTTTAGTTGGGTTTTTGATCTACAAGCTAAAACTAACGGCTTAAATGTGCCTTCTGAAGCTCCATATAGTAAGTTTTTAGAGCTAATGGCCTTAGCGAAAAGCATTTGATTAGCAACAATTATATCATCACAAATAAATAATAAAATGCGTTAACTACTCCATCATAGACAAATACATTTTAATCATAATAAAAAACTTTTAATCGACACAAACATGGATACAGACTAATTTCTACACTTGTACATACATATATATAGATGGACATTATTTAACATTCACTTAATACCTATGTACCTGTATCTACAGCTGAGCCGAAAGGGGCCCAGTCAGAGAGGTATAAGAATAGAGTGGGGAAGGCGGCTCTAAGTGTCCGTCTAGTAGAAAAAGAAAGAAGATGAGAGACGGCTAGCTATCTCTCTTGTGACGACGCATGGCATCCAATGGCATCACATCGAAATAGTATGATGCTGGTTGCCAATGCGCATGCGCAATTAGAGAGGGAAAGCTATCTCTCATCTTCTTTCTCTTTCTATTAGAGGGACTCTTCCACTTGTAGTAGAGTCTATATCTCGCCTACTCTATTCTTATACCTCTATGGGCCCAGTTCAGCGTTGTGTCAGTTTTCACTGACGCTGTTTTTCAACTGGGTCCTTTTTCTGACATATGGTTGCCAAACACTATGATACGATTACGATACGATAGAAATACTATATGCACAAATCATTGTTTTCGTTTCAGGACCAAGTGATCATACCTCTATCAACCACCGGTCTCAAGACAACGCAGAAGTCAGCGGACCAGGAGATAGAAGATGATCCTCTGTTAGTCGTACATCCCAACTATGTCGTTGATACGTAATTAATAACATTCCTAGTTTGTAAACGTGCCTTTTTTATAATAAATAATCATTGTAATTAAGAAAATGCGTTTTATACATATAAAAATAAGAGTTCCGTTTTCCTTTTCCCATGTCTGTTTTCACAAAAAAAAAATACCCTTTTTAGTTTCAGTCGTCAGGAAAAATGAATAGAATATGTTAAGACGAATCTAATGAGCCCAAACTCGATATGTTTACTAGTAGGCAGTCCAAGGTTCCACCAGCCACCTTCCAGTTCCATCATCAGACCAGCTCGTACCATAATATTGTATTGTCATATAATTGCCAAGATTCATGATGATACAAGAATTAAAGGTGCGTGCAATTCAGATTCTTAGATTTTATTACATAGTTACATACAAATCGATCTAATAAAAGCGTGTTAAAAAGTACCTTATGTTCTTTATCAAGCCTAGCTATATCTCCTTACGAAAAATCATCAAAATTATTTACATCACCTATGAATAAGATTTTGTGTGCTCTTTACAGAAATCTTGGCAGATCCTACATCAGCGAGCAATCCCTTGTATTCCTTATCCTTGGGCCATGATACTAAATAGGGATTTACTCGAGCGTCGTTGGAACCTACTGGATTGTAATGATTAGTTGCTCAGAAGAAAACTATATATGTATATACTATTTAGCTGTCCCAGCGAACTTCGTACCGCCATAAAAAATAAGGGTTGGTGATAGAATGGTGAAAAATTAGGGTTGTATGATGTATTATAAATAAATAAAAACAATAAATTTAGCCCTTAACATTTAGGGGGATGAAAAATAAATGTTGTCCGATTCTCAGACCTACTGAATATGCATATAAAATTTCACGAAAATCACACCGTGACTCGAGAATTTTATATATTAGAATATATACAGGGCGTCCCACGGCTACCTCACACGGAGGGAAAGTATATTAAATATTGAAGATAGGATATTTTACTGAAAGGAGACATGGTTTTATTTTTAATAATAACTAACACTGTATTCACAGATTTTTTTAAAATCGCCTGCTACAACTGGGAATCAAACTCGTGAAATTTTGAAAAAATAAACAAAACATATTTTATGATAATCATCGAAAGGATTAATCATAAGGATTATTTTTTGCTAAATAACATAGCATTTTAAATGAAAGGAATGTCTTATTACATGATAAAAATAATAGTGATACACAAGCTGTAGTACGTATGCATTTCTTTTTGAACTCACAGTTACAATGCGATTGGCTGAAATTTGTAAAAATAATAATTTAAAAATGGTAATAAATTTTCAAGCGTCTGTTCTTTTGTTTTTTGTAAGTTTCATTTCCGTATTTTTGCAATTTTTTGTTAATTTACTTACCATGGGGTATTAAATTAAAATGGGTTTAATGGAAGCTTACTTTATGAACCACAAAGACATTAGCTTTGCGGTGGTACCGCGAAAGATACTCTGATAGAGACATACCTTCTCGATATGTGTTTATAAGGTTAGTGGACACTAAGAAATTTATGACGTTTTGATATGCGCTTACAGAACCACAGCAGCGGATGATAAACGTCAATGATGATGAACTCAACATTTAAAATGTTGAGGCGTCTGACATTTAAAATGTGAGTCTTACTTTGAGGAGTATCCAATTTTATATTAGTTTGTGTTTAATAATTTTAAATAAAATGTTAAAAATGAAATTACTTTTCTTTTATTTAAAATGACCAAAAAATAATCCTTATGATTAATCCTTTCGATGGTTATCATAAAATATGTTGTATTTTTATCGAAATTTTACGAGTTTAATTCCCAGTTGTAGCAGGCGGTTTTTTATAAATCTGTGAATGCAGTTCTAGTTTTTATTAAAAATTCTTTCAGTAAAATATCCTAACGTCAATATTTAATATACTTTCCCTCCATGTGAGGTAGCCGTGGGACGCCCTTGTTGAGGCGTCTGACATTTAAAATGTGAGTCTTACTTTGAGGCGTATCCGATTTTATATTAGTTTGTGTTAAATAATTTTAAATAAAAGGTTAAAAATTAAATTACTTTTCTTTCATTTAAAATGACCAAAAAATAATCCTTATGATTAACCCTTTCGATGGTTAACATAAAATATGTTGTATTTTTTTCGAAATTTTACGAGTTTGATTCCCAGTTGTAGCGGGCGGTTTTTTATGAATCTGTGAATGCAGTTCTAGTTATTATCTATACTTATAATAAATCTGTAGAGATGTCAATTCTGTACATGAAATATATTTTTAAAATAACTATCAGGGGGTGATTAGTGATCGATACTGATGCCAAAAATGCAATCAGTATTTTTTTGTCTGTCTGTCTGTGTGTATGTTCCTTATAGAAACAAAAACTACTCGACGGATTTTAACGAAACTTGGTACAATTATTCCTCATACTCCTGGACAGGTTATAGTATACTTTTCATCACGCTACAATCAATAGGAGCAGAGTAGTGAAGGGAAATGTTGGGAAAACGGGAGAAGTTACTCCATTTTTTAAGCTTCCGTCGCGTGTGCAGCCTTAATGATTAAAGTTACATAGAAATCATGTATGACGGAAATATTCTACATAAAATTGTATAAAAAATATCCTGCAACAGCATATGTCTATCTTTTATGGTTGACTCACAATAACACGTGTAACTCCCGATAGCTTAGCAGTTCGGAGCATTCTGTCATATTTGTTTACTCTTACGTTTATAATACTCTGACTCATCCCTAATTTAAAAAAAGTTAACATTATTACCTATTCAATAAAAACAAAACATAGAAATCGGTATAGAAACACCAAACTTATACATGAAATAAGCCATCGCGCCGTCGCACGTGAATACTGAATCATGCTATAAGGATTATTTTTGTGTAACGGTTGCCGCGCTCGACACGGATCGCGGCAGCGGTAGGGTATCAAAGGTCCGAGAGCAAGCTGTCTAAATCTGTTTTCTGCGTCGCTCCCCCCCTGGGGGACGATCGCTTCCGATGAAGCCTTAGAGGCCTTCCCGGCCAGAGGCAGCCCCTACGGGTGTTTTTTAGTCAGTAGTTACGAGTCTGACATAACCTTGCAGCCGGCTGTAGGGTATCCATGAGGATTTCTCATGCCCCCGCCTGGGAGACCGAAACCGTGCTTATCAGCGCGACTTTTAGTCTTTAAATAGTTTATTTGAATTTCTTTTGTTCATCGAAAAGGAGTAGAAGCGGTAGACAGAACTTTAAGAGATATAAGACAAAATGGTCGACCCATGGGCGGTATCACAGTTTTATTTTGTGGTGATTTCCGACAAACCTTAACGGTAATACCACGGGGAACCCGAGCTGCTGAGGTTAGGGCTTGCCTGAAAAGCTCTTATTTGTGGCGTGATATACAATCGGTGCATTTGACTATAAACATGCGAGTGAGAACTGTAGATAACCCGGATGATCGTGAATTTTCTGATATATTATTAAAGAAAATACCTTCACCAAAGATACCTATCCACTGCTACACCAAGGAAAACTTATTCTGACGCCTGAGTTATGTTGTATAGTGCAATCCCAACATCATCTTACATCGTCAGTTTACGGTGACGTAACAAATATATTAAATAAGAACAATTCTTGGCTATGCGAAAGGTCCATTTAAACTCCTCGCAATGACCAGGCATCTGAGATTAATAATAAAATACTGTCGAATATCCAGGGGGAAAGCAAAGTTTATAGTTCAATAAATAGAATGGCCGATGAACAAGAAGCCACTAATTATCCGATAGAATTTTTAAATTCTTTAAATATGCCCGTACCTACTTCTTTCTCATGAAATTTGTTTAAAAATTGGCATTCCGATTATTCTGCTCCGAAATTTAAGACCACCACAAATTTGCAATTAGTTAGGTATTAGTTGTTTTGGTAGTGTTTAAATTTTCGTTCAAATTAAAAATTATTAAGCGTAGGTACTTTTATTAATTAAAGTAGTTATAAGTATTTATTTTTAAGTGAAGTAGGTATAGGTAGATAGTATTGCACAGGCGTTTCAGCTTTATTTTCATTTCTTTTTTGTTGTGAGTTGTATATATTTCTGGTTATAATTCTATAAGAATATAGGCCCGGACTTCCTTCTCATGAAATTTGTTTAAAAATTGGCATTCCGATTATTCTGCTCCAAAATTTAAGACCACCACAAATTTTCAATGGAACTCGGCTTAAAGTAACCCAGTTGCAACAAAATGTAATCGAGGCTCAAATTTTAACAACAGGTTGCGGTGCAGGAGAAACCATCCTCCTCTATATGCATTTTTCCTTTAATGTTTTCTGTTTTTTTTTATTCATTCATGAGCTTTCATGGGCTTCATGAACACCAGTACTTAAATAGGATAGAGGACTTTAATGCATATAGTATTCATTTAAACAAACTTTATTGACACATTATTCAACATAGAGTAAAGTACAAATATTATCATCTTATTAAGTAGTATTACGAACAAAACAAACTTCTTCCGAATTTTTGGTATACATATTAATTCCAATTAACAGTCTATGGTCTTCAGTCCATGACACCGGAATCCATGATGCTGACGTAATCACTATTTCGACCACCTACCCTCCCATGTCATCAAAAATAAGCAAAGCAAAGACCCCTCTGCCCCCCCCCCCCCATAGTGCTTACGTAATACTTGAACGGCCCCTAACGGAGAAGTATTAATCTGCCGGATTAAAAAGTAAGGTAATAAAACAAAGTAATTCGAGCGCGTCAGCCGTTGATGAGGGATGTTACGTGAACTCTCTATTAGCTCCTATTCAAACGACTGATGATTTGGACGCGACCATAAGTAATAGCCGCTTTTTGAAATTGAAAAAAAAAGCAACCTTGACATACTTGAGCGCGTCAGATTATTATACAGTCGCTTCATTTTGATGCCCTTAACGTACTAATCAATAATCTGACAATTTATTTGGTGAATGAATTTCCTTAACCAGATGATATATATATATATATATATATATATAATATGTATATATATATATATAATATGTATGTAAATATGTATCCTGTATTTAATAAAAAAAATAATACCTATAACAAATAATGAATATTTTCAACCTTCATCGTCACTGGAATTCTTCATATTCGAACTCCGGTTCGACTTGGTCGTTTTCATTCTCAGCGACTGCATGTATAGTACTCTATTAATGATTTTAGCTACTTCGGCTCATGTAAATCGGCAGATTGTTATTTCAGCGATTCGTGACTAATTTCATTTAAATTAAAATAAAATTAACCGCGCTTTGTGACTCAGATTATTGAAATACGCACTTTACTGCATGTAATTTACTTAATCTGACGCGCTCGACTTTCTTTAACGATCGATTTGTTTGACTAATCTGATCGGCTACTCTGGACATTCGACACTATATAAAGGGCTAATGTATTCTTCACAAGGTTAAGGATATAACGGGACTGTCGATGCCGTACTAGACTACGAAAGAGTCTCCAAATTAAATAAATAAAAAGCTAGTGCGGCAAGGATCTTCATGAATGTGGCGAAAATTGAGACTAACGCTGCCCTCTTTGTAAACGTTATATTTTGTGTGTCATTTACGCAGTGCCCCCCCCCCCCCCTGAACTATCGCTCGCATTCATAAAGATCCCTATCGCAAGATCGCAACTGTATATCAATCGGTTAAGTTTTAACAACATTTATTTTGTAACAATAACTTCTAACAGCGTTCGAACACTTTGTACAAATCATTGAGGCTGGCTATCTGTAAAATGGCACCGTTATCGATAAAACCTTTTGGAGGTAGAAAGTTTCTTCGGATCGCCGGGAAGATCACATGCTCCTGTCGCCAAAATTCCGACTTTTGCGCCTCCACCGCTTCATCAGGGTTGGGTTGTGCGTAAAATATAGCGGTTTGTCGGGAAAATGTATCGAAACATTCCTTTTCCGAGTCCCAATTCACTTCGGTGACTAAGCGAACTAGATAGGTGGGCAAAGCTCCCATGAACGGAGTGTGATTATCTGAAAAAGATATGTAAATTCTAGATGAGATTTGAAAAGTTGCTGTTCTTAGCAGTTGTTAAAAAACCTTTTAGAAGGTTATAGCGCCAGACTAACAGCATAAACTGTAGTGAATAATACATTCAAAGAGTGGTGTTAATTTTTAAGTGGCTGTGCTACACTACAAATAATTCTCGCAAATTGCCTATCCTAAACTCTTTTAGTGTACCTGTGAAGCTTTGAAAAGTAAGTATACTTTCTTACTGCTTCTTGCCTTTTTCATTCACATGGTTGTACTAACTAAAAGCTGATAGTTGCAAAAAAAGGCCGCTGAAACCTAAGGATGGGTAACTGAACGTTTTGGGTGGTGGTAAAATTAACCACGCGTTTTCGCCAGGACATCAGCTGTTTAAAACAAAATGTTGCCAACGTTAAAAATCATCACCTCAGGTTTTATTAGACTGAGTCTAGCCGCTGGCGTATGATGGATATCAATAAACTTACCTAACAATAGAGGCAGCGCTAATAACTCGCCATTTTTGTTAATTTCTAAGGAAAAATATTCTAAGAGCATATCCTTTTTGCTTAGTAATAACTCGGTCATCTGACTTGCTAATTGTCTCATGTCACCTGTTGAAGTGAATAAAGATATTATTCTATTTAGTGTCAACAAATCAGATAAATATATATACTAATAGTTCTGTTTAAATATTAAAACAAACTGAGATTTCGTGGACCCCCAAAAATTTCTTGATCAACAGAATACTACATTGTTTTAATTTTAATACTTAATAAAACCAGTTACTTAGGACAAAAAGCTACTTTTTGTCAACTGGATGCAAAGTGTTGTTTTATAATGCTGGTAGCGCTTGTACAAGGTATAGCTCTAATATTATGCATAATATGTTATAATTTATAGGTAGTAATTTATTATAAATACCTAATTGTGAATTCCACTGCTCTTCCTGTGTACTTAGTCCTAAAACAAGCAGTTCTTCTAGAGGTAAAGGATTCGATAGTTTTATTAAGCCAAAATTTTGAAAATCATACAGCATTGTTTCATAAAATAATTCCTCTCTGTAAATGAAATAACATCGTTAGAATATTCCAGCACGTTTTTAAACGACAATGTAGTCATAAAATATTTAAAAAAATGCACGTACTGTAACTTTGTCGTATCACATAAATATAGAAACGTCGAGTGTTGTATCAAAGATTTATGGACATCTATGCAAGCTATAAATATAAGATTCGCCAGAATCTCGCGAAGATTCTTATTGCAATTGTTTTCTACGTCCAACCGTAGCTGTTTCACACTGGTCAGTTTGGTTTCTATTCGCTCATACTTGAATGTTCTGGTTTTGAACGATTCTTTTGGGTCTATATAAGTTGCGTTGGCTTGATCAGCAGCCGTTCTCGCTTTCCATCTAACAGGTTTTTTGTTTTCTTGTTCACTAGGTTCATTTGCTATTGAACTATCCAATAACTCGTTTTCTTTTTCCTCTAAAACAATATCAGGTACTATCTTTTTCTGATCATTACTCTCTTTGTCTCCTAAAGCTTCTCGATCTTCTTTGTTATAATTATCAACAGGTTGGTCTTCAAACGAATTCTCAAATATATCTTTATCCGTTGCATCATTTTGTTTAGATTCGACAACTTTTGAGGCTGTGGGGAAAAACTTATCAATCTTTTGGACATCTGCGTTCACACGGACCATATTATTGGCATAAACTTTGGCGCCTTCTGTTGTTTTCTTTACATTTTCTTCGACTGCTGTAGCGCCTGGTAAACGAGCCTGAAACATTGAGTAGATACTTGCTTGTTACCAAACAATTGAAGATTATAATTGATTTTTATTTTTTGCCTGAGGATTTGGTACCTGAGTGTACATGACTCTTGTGGAATTGCAACTTAGCAGTTTACTTTCGATGCATGATTTGATTTTCTCAATAATCTGTTCTTCGTACAAAAACTGTACCTCGTGTTTTGTGGGATGAACATTGACATCAACATTCCTAGGATCTGCAAAAATATTATGATACAATATTTAAAATTAATTAATAAATAACACAAAATCCAGCCTAGTTTTGCAACCAAAATTAAAGATCCGCAGCATTGTAGATAATGTCTAACACCTACTAATACTATGAGCTAATACCAAGAATAAGGAAGTATACAGAAAGAAGGCCGAAAGCCGATCAGCGCCGATCGGCGCTTATCGGCGCTGATCCTTACTACATAAAGGAAGCCGATTAAAGCAGAACAAGCAAAATATCGGACTCATCGGACGATGATTTGGTTTTGTTAGAAAATGTGTATTTAAAAATGCGAAAAAAAGCTATACATCCTATAAATAGAGAAAGGAAACATTCCGGAGAATACCATCATTTATTAGTTAAAAAATTGAAATTTGATGATCAAAGATTTTATGCACAAGAATGACTCAAGAAACATTTTATTACATTTTGGATTTAGTGAAAAACCGTTTGATGAAAAATTGGTGTAATTGGAATAAACAACCAATCCTTCCAGAAGAAAGACTTGTTGTCACCATTCGGTAAGTACGAAACAAATAATTTTAGCGCTTAGTTAATAAAAGATAAAGTTATTAGATTTATAAATAGATTATAACTTAGATTGATTTAATCTAAGGATAATAATTCAAATACAAATCATTCATTATTTGAACAACATAGATCATAATAAAAAAAATCGGAATCAAGTGCTAGTCGGACTCGTGCACGAAGGGTTCCGTATCATTATCATGTCTTTTATGTCCTGTGAGGTGTATGTCAATCATCTACTTAAAAAATAATTGCGTGTAGTAATTGACGTACCTGTTGTCGTTGTTTATTAATTTAAAATGGCAGCTGACCAGCGCGAGTCGGCGCCGATCGGCGCTGATCGGCGCTTATCGGCGCTGATCGGCGCATATCGGCGCTGATCGGCTTTCGGCTTTCTTTCTGTATACGGCCTATGATCCACTTACCTAACTCCAAGCTAAGATAAACAAAAGAATGTGCGTTCTTGGGCAGATATGTAGAATACACAGACTCCACTGCTTTCTTTATAGCTGAGAACAAAACAAGCAACAGTGAGGTAATTGAAAGTTATATAAAAAAAATAAGGCAAAATATCTTGGGTATGTAATGCCAATGATGGATTGGTTAGCACGTTCGACCTGCGATCGTGGATGTTAAGTAAATTTCACACTAGTCCGTCACACAAATTACGATAGGATAGGTCCTCCGTGCTTGGAGGGCACGTTAAGCAGTTTCTGGACGGCTGCATCTGCAGGCGCGGTCCGAGGGGGTGACATGTTAGGGGAGGGGAGGTGCAAAGCGTAATTTTTTTATAGTGACCCTCTAAAATTTCAGGCTACCACTGCGCCCGAGTCGTTATTCCCACCTAGAATGACACTACCATGTTTAGGATAGGGTTCTCTTCATAAACTTCACCCTAGATTATTTAATAAGATTCATCACAATAATTTACTTGGTTTAGCAACAACTCACCATTCTGAGGTCAGAATCTTAATGGAGTTGGTTAGGAAGGGAGGTGATTTAACTCATAAATAAGCATCTTAATCTTACCTTGTGAATCCACTAATCTATGATTGATAAACAAAAGAATTGTTCCTTTCTTATTAGAGTAGTTCACATTAGTAATATAGCCATTAAGTGTCAACTTTAACACTGGATCTGTAAGCTTTATCTCCATTAGTTCACGAGCTATCGTATTTCCATGTATCTGTAATGTTTTTTCATCTAATTTAAGTATTCGTGAAGTTATGTGTCCATTCTTTGGTTAAATAAAATACAAAAATGATTCTGAAGTCAAGACTAAGGGAAATAGTGATAATTTTTTTTATATACTGATTACATAGCCCAACAATTTACCATTCTATAAATACAGTACAATTGTGAATACATACTATTCGAACATTGTCAACTACGGAAGACTTGATAGGAGTCTTCAGATCAGTGTTCTCTCCAAACTTCTTCAATGTGAATCCAACATGGCTGTTGTGTATGGCATACCCACTCACTACATCCATAATGTGGGCATATTCCTCAGTGGGACTCCTCAGAGCCTTCTTTCGAGCTAACACATTGTAGAATAAGTCTTCAACAGTTATCTGTGTGCCATTGTTGCCAGCGCATGCTTTTATTTGACCTTTTAATTTACCACTCTCATATGATCCCCTAAAATGTAATCACAACTATTCTACATACAGTGTTTTTAATTGACATTTTGTCTGTTTATGTGTTTGCGTCTGTTTGTTATCTTTTATGCCTGAGCATCCTTATATCTTGTGGAATAGTCATATTAAAATACAACAAAAGTGAGTGAAAGTATCAATTATAAAATGTCAGTTAACATAATTAAGATACAGGATAGCTGCATTTATAGCTCAATTACACTTGGTCGTTAGACCAAATACGATTGCCAATGGAATTTCAGGTAAAAGACTAAGTGTAAATGAACGGAGTCAAGTATGTCTGTATTCTGGCAGTTTTTGTTTTGGTTATATGACACTATCTTCCAGCCCGTACTACAGTGAAAATATTAATTTGGGTGCCCAAATTCAAGTAATGTCTTTTGTGCACCAGAATACAGGCTAACCAAGTGTAATTTGAGTCATTAGTATTGCCTGAAGTTGACTGTCTTTAATTGTACTTAATACCTATTCATTTCAATAAAATATTGCATTTTACAATTATTTTGATAAGTTTGCTTTCAATTAATTTTTTAAATCCATGCATTTTGTGGCACCTTTAACTGTGACAGCACTTTAGAATGTATGCTTTAGAAGCTACTGTCATATGTATGTAAAAAATGTTAGCTGTTGTTTGGCCTTAAAAAAAATCCATTGGCATTGTTGCATAACTTTAGTCCTCTTGGTTAAAATGTTTGACATTCATATTTCTAGCTAAAGATATACTTACCAGTTCAAATACAAACTATTCCATTGACCTTACCTTTTCTTTTTTAGAGAAAACTTTGTGTATGAAGAAATTTATAACGTAAAGCATTTATGATGTACAAAAGCAGTGGTTCTTAACCTTTTAGTGTTGAGGTACCAATTGTCAAAATATCTGTGTCGCCACCGCCTACCCAATTTGTTCTCCCCCCGCCCCCCTAGAATAAGTTAAATCAATGGAAAGCCTATATGAAGCTTCTGCTACCTCGGGCCCGGGCCATGGCTATGGCGGCCTAGGGTAAATATGCTTATTCTTTAAAGGTAACATACTTGTGCATTCTAACTTATGTAACATTTTTTTCAATTGGCTTTGTTGATGTAAAATAAAAAAAACATATTATTTACTTGTAAGCACAATTCCCACTTGCTGTCTTTGTAAGTATTGTAAGATGTGCTATATGACTTATACTTGCTAGAGCTTCGCCCCTAAATCCATATGTGCAGATCTCTCTAAGGTCTTCATACTGTTGCAGTTTGGAAGTAGTGAACCGTTCACAAACAATCTCTAAATCTTCATGTCGAATGCCTGTACCGTTATCTTGAATCTAGTACAAAAAAAGGAATATCACATAAATGAGTGATGAAGGACACTTTATTCTGTTGACATCTACTTAAATTAGAAAAAATATACCTGTAAGTATTTCAAACCACCAGCTTTTACTGTTATGATTATATTTGTTGATTTTGCATCCAAACTAAAACAGTAAACAACATAATTTGATTCAAACATTATGCCTGTCATGAATATTAACAATTTGCTTTAAATGTGTTTTTTACCTGTTTTCTATTAATTCTTTTAAGGCATTAGCCGGCCTCTGCACAATTTCACCAGCTGCAATGCGGTTGACCACATCTTCACTTAATTTTTTAATCACACCCGGTTCAGAGTTCATGATTCCAAGCAAATTTAATAGCTGATTAGTAGGCACTGACTTACTTTTATTAAATTAGTATAAATATTATAAGTGTAGTAAAATTATAAAGCAAACATTGTCTTAGTTTTAGAAATAATCATCTTTTTCTTTTATTAGAATCGACATAGTTTGTTTAGATTTCTTGTGTGTGTTTTCGGTTGTTGTTTGTTTTTTGTTGAAGTTCTCCCGTTTTAGGGAAGGCAAAGGGAACAATGCCCATACAGCCTAGTCTTTAATTAAATTAATCTTCTTTTTTTTTACATTAGAATGTCGGTGTGACGCATTCTAATGTTTTCGGAGTGTTTGGCACGAAATGTATCGAGTTGGCTTTTTCGATAAGCTTCTGTGAGGTAGTCAACACTACAATAAAATTCTCACGTCCACTTGACCGGAATAGCGTATATTTTAACCATTCCACTAATTCTTCAGTTACGCAGACGGTTGTTACACAAAAACACACCAATTTTATTTCACAATATCCACTATGAACGAATTTAAGAATAATTAAAATAAGACGCCAACCGCACTCGATGAAATCCCGCCAAAAAACCTTGTGTTTTCGGCACCTTTCAGTGTTGCCAGTCAGGTCATGTCAGAAATTACCTGAAATATAAAAAATGTAACCTTTTTGTATAAAAAATAACCTTTCATATTTTTTACTGGAAAGGTATTATAAGATGGTAGAATAGAATACTAGTTGAATTGACTTACAGAAACATCGATGAGTATTTGAGCACTTACTCAACCCTGATTATTTATTAATACTCTGATAAATAAATTAAGTATTAGGCTAATTTAGTATGCAATTAGGGTTACCAGATGATAAAATCAAAAGTGCGGAGAAAAGGCTTGATTTCCATTGAAAAATCCTGAGATTTTTTACAGTTTGAGAATTTTCTCTCAAACGTACTTTTAACAATTTAAAAACGTCGAAATATTATCGTTTATACTCTGCTTATACTTTTAAATCAATATAATTTGGAGAAGTTAACACGTGGGGCATTATATGAATCCATAATTGAAGAAAAAACCTTCCTTAAAAAATGTATCTTCACATATTAAGTTTGATAAAACTGAATAATTACCTACTTGGATAATAAAGTACTGATTTTTATTGTGCAATTATTCCAAATCGAAGATATTTTTTAGTTGGTTTAACTTTTTATTAAAGAGATCTTTAAAACGTAAGCTGTATTTTATTGGAAATTCAAAAAATCCTGAGATTCCATGAGATTTGCAAAATCAAGCCGCAATCCTGAGAAGCCTAAAAATCCTGAAATCTCCGGACAAATCCTGAGATATGGTAACCCTTTATGCAATCGCAATGCTCTGCATATACATATTCTCAACCGCGCATCAACGGCACAGTGGCGACGTCACTACGTGGCTTAAAGAATTATTTTGGGTAATTATCCGGTAAATTACAAGCTATACATTGGTAAAAGCTATAAATAAGTAAAAAAAAAAAAAATGGTTGCCTGTAAAGTCGGTTTTACGGGCGAAGATTTTACGTGACAACGTCTTTTTCTCGGTAGAATATTTATTGATATGAATATAATTAAATTGCACAATAGGAACAAGGAATTGAATGAAAATAAGAATTGCACAAATTTTAACTATAGAAATATATTTTGTTTACTAAAACATTGTACATGTAAACTTAAACTTAACACGAGAGACTCATCGTAACGTTACCGAGCGTTACACTTTTTCATAAGTGACTCCCAGCCGCAACCTAATTTAAGACGTTGTCACGTCAATATATATTTTACCGGTAAATTCTCATCACTACATACGATTCACTTTCGCTTTTTGTTCAATAAATGGTTGGAGAGAGTCAACTTAAAGAAAAAAATGGATACGTGTAACTTATGTACGCGCGTCAGAAGTTATACTTCTTTAGCATCATTAAAAATATTTTTTAATTGCATGCAAATAATTAATAATTACAATAAAATAATAAAAGGACTGGAAAAGGATAGTTAACACAGTCAATTAAGTTCAGTTGTAATTTTAAAAATTAAATAAATATTCAAAATATTCAATTAAAATCACTACTGAATTTAAGTTATTAGTCCATATGTAATAGGCTTGTGTCAACTAACAATAAATCGAATGGGTTACAGTTTCTAAATATGAATTATGATATACAGATAACAAAAAATAAAGCTATATATCATAATAATTAAAGATTATTATTATTTTTAGAAAATAAATTCGAATAAAATAGGCATTAGATCACGTGACGGCAAACACCAATCAGAAAGACTGACGTCACCACATGCAAAACATTACTTGTGGTTGCCGTTTCCATACATTTCATTGATATCTCATTCATGTTATTGTTACTTTGATACAATTATCAGTTTGTTTTCAGATAAGTATTGAAAGGAAGCCTAATAAATCCATGGAATTGGGATTTACCGAAGCAAATAATAATATTTTAACCAAAATAAAAAATTAATCACATAACTACTCGACATAATTAAGCATATCATTTGGCAACTAGAACAAGAATAAGAAGTGTTTATTATTATGAATAAATATACTGAACTCTCAAATAGACTCTAAATCATACCATAAAATTAAATCAGCTTACTTAACCTCAACCTATTGTCATTGTTTTATCAATATAATGCACTCAGACCAACAAAAAAAGAGCAATATAATTTATCCGGCTTGTATAACATTTTGATTTCATTGATTATGTTATGCAAAATACTTACATCAAAATGTTCATCACAAAATTATTCTTGTATTTGTTGATAAACAATGAATAGGTACCATCCCTCCTTGCAAGTTCTAAGCATTTTTTCCGCATTTGTGGCATATAAATAATTTGTCTGGCGTTTTATGCTTCTCCTTTTATACTAGGACACTATACAGTACTTGTAATACGATGGATTCATTTTTAACTAAATAATTTTAATAGTCGGCGTACAGCGTATTGTTTGCTTTGCACGGCGTGACGTCATTCTAGACGCCATGACAGTCTAGAGCGTTTTCGAGGGAAATTTGAATAAGTTTTTTAAAATACAAAATACGTATTGCTAATGTACTTTTTTATTTAAAATAATATTTTTTTGGGGTTAAATAAACATCAAGGTATATTATTAACCACTTTTTAAAATATAGGCAACTAGCCTATTAGCACTTATTGTAAGTAACTAAAACACGTTGTGTCTATATAGAAACTAGAAACATGTGGATAAATATTATAAATATGAAAACAGTGATCAGAGGCGACGAGCGTGCCAACATTGTTTTTGACAATGCGATCATCTTATGGAGCTCCGTGGATCGTTCAAAGTACCTTTCGAACAGATGTCTAATAATGGTGGATTATTAACCACTAAGTGGTTAATAATCCACCATTATTAGACACTAACATTCATAACGCGCCCGCGGCCAACTTCATGGTGTTACTATTGTGTTACAGTGATGCGCGCGCATCTCGAAATTTCACTCACATGATTTTTTCATAACGCGCCCGCGGCTAACTTCATGCTGTTACTTTTGGGTTACAGTGATGCGCGCGCATCTAAAAATTTCACTCTCATCATTTTTTCATAACGCGCCTAAAGAAGTATAACTTCAAAAAATAACTGCCCTAGTTATTCGCAAAGTGCCGTAACTAACAAAGTAACCTTTTCATTAGTGTAACCTAAAAGTATCCAATGCAGTTCAAAAATCACCTAAAAGGTTACAAAAGTAACCTTCTGGCAAGACTGGCACCACTGGACCTGATATAATAATAGAGTAGTCTGTGGATAAAAAAACGCTCTGGTGCTATTTCTATTTGTCATTTTGACAGCAGCAGGTTGCGCTCTCGGTCCAAATAAATTAAAAACATACATATATAGACTGATAAACACTATACCCTGTCGCTCGCGTCGCGCTTCGCGCTCTTGCATTGCGCAGTCGGGTAAAAAACGGAGACTCTGTTGTCAAGTTTACAAATAGCAATCACGAATAGCCGGTTGACGTTTTTGCATATTTGACTAAATCAACAAGGATTTTACCATAGCCAAAACAATATTTTCAGGCAACTTTCGCTCTCTACATAACATCTTTTTATTTAAGAAGACGAGATTGGCCAATCGTTACACAAATCCGGAACAATCATTAATAATGGACCAAGAAGAACCAAGAACAACGATAAATTTGCCTTTTGCCAGAACAATATTTTCCCCAATCTCTCTCTACATTGCATTAATTTTTAATGAGTTCACGATTGACCAATCGCTTCGCAAATCTGGAATGGAACAATCATCATTATAGATTGCGATTTTTTTTTTATATTTGGAATCTTAGATTAAAACAAAAGGTGTTTCGCCTATCTGAACCACTGGGTGGGGAAGCGCGAACAGGGTAGCCTGGTATATGAAGACTCCTCGCAGCCCATTTCACCCAGAAATAAGATGTCTAATAAAAACCAGATAAATAAAATAGACACCAAATGTATCCTTGTTATTCTCTATACAAATCGAAAAGAAGAGACTGATGTTAAAGGAGACGGTTCAAAAGTGGTAGACGGTTTCCCGCAGCGATGAAATATATAGGTATCATTTGAAAGCTTAATTTTTATAGGTGATGTAGTGTAATTTTAAATCGTGTTTGAAAATTTAACAATTTCGTTAGGATGCTAGCCACCCTGTTGTATAAAGTCATATTTTGTCAGTAGTTTATTAGTGAGCATATGAACCTCGGGCCTACTCTAAAGCTTCAGTTACACACAGCTAAAACTCTCTGCAAATGCCTACTCGCCGCGACTATTCGCTGTGTGTGAAAAGGGTACTCGTAGGGAATAGCCATTACGCTCAAGCGAGATTCCGAACTGAATTTTTGGATATTTCATTGAACTTAACGCCATTGCCAAGTTTTATATACCTACTTGTTACTTACGACAAATATGTATGCGCAAGCAAAAAAAAATAGTCATTAACAATTTTTTTTTATCTTTATTACGCTTTGGCGCTTGTCATACCGCATTACTACACTACACAAATAACAATTTTATTAAATACAACACGCGCGCGGCAAAATCTCTAATCCAAAGACAGTGTATGTATGTATGTTTGACACGTTGCCGCCCGGTAGCAAAATGATCTCTAAGTCAATAGCGTGTAAGTTCATTTGAAATGGGCGCGCGGCGCGGCACCTGTGCCTCTGTAATAGGCGAGTAATTGCGCCCTTTGACATTGCTGCCCGGTCGCCCGCACTTGAAGTAAAATGATCTCTAAGTCTAAGTCAATAAAGTGTAAGTTCATTCATTTGAAATGGGCGGTTGGCGCGGCCCCTGTACGTCTGTTGCGTCCTTTGACATAGCCATCCGGGCGCTCGCACTTAAAGAGAAATGATCTCTAAGTCACTAAAATTAGGTGTAAGTTCATTTGAAATTTCAGTGCGGCGCGCGGCGGCTATGTAAGTATCGGTCAGTGATTGATTTGATTGTAATTTAGTTCGTAAGCTCATTTCATTTGCGACAACCGGCGAATTAGCACGGAAGTTCTTAGAGAAAAAATATAAAGGTAAGTCAATTTTATTTTTTAATAAAATTGACTTACCTTTATATTTTCATCACATCATTTGTTTATGAGAGAGAGTCATGACTGTTTTGTTTATGTGTTTATGTTAATGATTGATAAAAAACTACTTACTTTATTCATAATAAAGAAAGAAAAATTAAATGATAATAAATTGAAATTTTGTTTTATTGTAGATGGCCGAATTAGGGGATAAAAAGAAACCATCGGGTGCTCAAAATAGAAAAAGGAAACTGGAGAAAGAAGAAAAATTAAAAAGCTAACTTCTCCGATTGACTCTTTCTTTCGACCTGGTGAGTTCAGTCAGTTGGTACCATAATTAAAACATTTGAAGCGGCATAAACAGTGACAGAAGTCGCTGGTGTATCCTGCCTGGGTTCCTACCTACTTATTATTATTACACTTCTTATTTTTTGTTTAAGTTACCTGTAACTGTATACCTAATGAGTCTTAAATAAAGTAGGTTTTTATGATTATGACAATATATTTAATTAATTGTTTTTTGCGCACCGGAAAGCGCAATTTTTAGTAACTAACACTCACTCTTGTGCCAAAGGTCTCGGGTTCGAATCCCGGCTGGTGCAATATTTATTTAAATATCTTTTCTCATTAATAATACAATTCTCAGACCTTGTGTTAAATTTTTTTATTATGTGTGATGTGAACACGCGTTCCAATCGTCGAGATTATGGCATTAAATAACCCTATAGTTTTGGAGGCTCATGTCTACCAGTGGACTGGACTGTCTGTACTTATATGGCTTGTGTGTTTGTGATTTGTTTTTGGAAATTATGAATTATGTTCTTTCATGAAATAGCCGCAGGCGAGATCCACCAATCGCAACTAAAGTATTTTAATTTCTTACTGTTTGCGCATGAAGCGTGCGTAGGCGCCTCGGCAATTACACACTTAGCGCTCTCGCCCGGACTAACGGATTAGACTGCCCTATTGCCCGCCTTTACTTTAAGGCGCTGTTTTTAATGTCCTAAAATATTATTGCGTGGCCCTATTACCACACTTGGTTACACAAATTGTTGACTATCTTATGTTTTTTAGGTACATCTTGGTCAACATCCACCCGACAGTTAGAAGAGACAGTCAACTTGGAAGAGAAAACTTCTACGAGTATTTCACAAGTTCCAGCTCATACTAGTACCAGTAGGTATCTCGCCTGGCTCGCTTACTCCAAGTGAACCAATTCCAATTGTTAACCGCAACCAGCAACAGAACCAGATGTACGATTTTGTGCAAATGTCGCGAATGATCTGATGATGATGATGAATGATGAGCTCTCTGGCCGCAAGTAATACCCAATAATTTAGGATTATTTTTAACAGAACGTGGACCGATTCAGATAAAAAAAAACAACTGTCCTTCAGTAGCATGAGATCGTTTTCAGATACATACTACAGTAAAAAGTTACAAAACAACGAAATTATTCATCGAGTTTGGATTGTATATTCCACATCTACTGATTGTGTATTTTGTTTTCACTGTAAGCTTTTTAATAATAATGTCACTGCATTTAATGCCCCCATTGGTTACAAAGACTGGGGGTATTTGTCTAGAAATATAGAACGACATGAAAAAAGTTCAGGGCATATAAATGTCCTTTAAAAAAAATTTTGGATCCAAAAAATTACTTATTGAAAGGGCAAACAGTAGACTCGGAAATCAAACTGAAATACTCCGCGAAAGAAAGAGGTGGACGGCAGTTTTGGAAAGGATAATCGAAATTATAAAATTTTTGGCAGGTCAAAATATAGCATTTAGGGCCACAACCGAGAAGTTGTATGACCCAAAAAATGGTAACTTTTTAAAGTTGGTGGAGAATATATCGAATTTTGATAGAACACTATCACAACACATTGCTCGAATTCAAAGAGCTCAGCATCGCATGCCACATTGTCTTGGCCATAACATTCAAATTGAACTGATTAGTATAATTGCTGAAAAATTAAAACGACTATAATTAGTCTTCTGAAGCAACGTAAATACTACTCTGTAATTCTAGATTGCACACCTGATATTTCACACCAAGAACAAGTAACTGTTATTGTGAGGTTTATTTATTTAAATCCATCGACAAAACGCGCTGAGGTACGAGAACATTTTTTAGGTTTTTTTACCTGTAATGTAACTGATATTACCGAACAAGGGTTGGTGACATATTTGTTAGATTTCTTAAAATCATGCGATATTGAATTGGATGATTTCCGAGGTCAAGGATATGATAATAGGGCCAATATGAGGGGGAAAAATATAGGCCTCCAAAAAAAAAATTGGACTTCAATCCTCGTGCTTTTTACGTACTGTGTGCTGCTCACTCTGTTAATTTAGTAGTAAATGACGCCGCTAAAAGCTCATTGGAAATTACAAACTTTTTCTGTATTGTCCAAGAAATCTGTGCATTTTTTTCAGCATCCAAATCACGCTGGTAGACCAGGGTCGATAATTTTTGAGACAAAAAAAAATATAGTAGGATGAAACCCATTGGAAAAGGTAGAGAATATAACAAAAATGAAAGGAAAAATAAATTACGGGCGATCTGAGGTCGGGAAGGGGGAGGCAGGTGAGTTTTTAAGGGTAAAAAACGGTTAATCTCGATTTCCCGTAAAACTGCGTCTTATGAAAAAAAAGTTAAATGGCAAAGTTGTAGTTAATAAAAAGATCTACAACTTTTGTATCGACACTTTTTTCACATAACCTCAAAATTTATGTAAAAAAAATCGAATAACCGAGTTTTTGGTTTTTTATTTTTTGTTAATGATTGTCCCAGATTTGCGTAACGATTGGGCAATCGTGACCACCTTTATTATTTTTTTTATACAAAGTATAGGGAGAAAGTTGGCTAAAAGTATTGTCTGGCAAAATCTTCGCGACCTCGTTAATAAAAATATTGAAGCATGTGAAAAGTTAGCGAAAAATATTAGTCTGGCAAAATAGTCGTTGTTGTACATATGTCTAATATCATTGAGTCGTATTAATAAATATTTCAGATTTGCGTAGCGATTGGTCAATCGAAGCGCCGTTAAAAATAGATGCAATATAGAGAGAAATTTGGGGAAAATGTTGTTCTGGCAAAATCTTCATTGTTTTAGGTTATTGTTGAAGGCTAATGATTGTTACAGATTTGCGTAAGTATTAATCAATCGCTAACACGTTAAAAAAATATTTAAAAGAATTGGAACCACACTGCAAAGCTAAGATCATCTAGAACAACTTGGAACAACCAACAAAATATTGAATTTCCAAAAATGGGGGGCCTTAAAAAAAAGTTTTTCATTTTGCGTGGCAGCTTGTTTTTTAATAAAACTCATGAAAGAGAAAACTTGAGGAGATGAAATAAAAGTATCACTTTAAAATATATTATAGCATACATTTACTATAAGTTTATTCTAAGACAAACGTAATTTAAAACAAAATGTATCACACACACTCCTAACAGATGCTAATATCACAAATTGATTAATAATGAAAATAATTGAGTGTAACTTAGAACTTTTAACTTAACCTAAGCCTCCTATGGTTGTACTAAGAGACGTAGAATTTAATTTTATAGCTTAATATCTGAAGCTGTTACTCTCTTTGCAATAACACTGGAATATGATAGGCAAGTCTTTACAAACATTTAATACATGTCTCTGAGTGCGGCTGTTAGAACATAGCTTACTTACTATTATTGATAACCATCTTTCACTATCACCTGCGGTTTGTTTTTTAAATATCTTTAGATTAGACAGTGACCCTGCCAGCTGAATAATCAATTATCATAAATAATACTTACGAAATATTCTTGGTATTCAATGAAAATAAGTATGTATTACTTAGTTACATTATGATTATGTATTTCATGGTTTCTTAACTGTTTTGGCTGCTTCAGTACCATCATTGTTATTATCTTCTAATGCCAAACTATTCTTTTGTGAATAGACATATTTTATTTTAGGTAGCATAACTTTAAAGGGTTTGTTCCTTGTATTATTTACTTTTGGCATTTCATTGGAGAGTAACATTGGCCACAAAAAAAGCATATGTATCCGTTCTAATAAGAGAGATAACTGTGCTTGTAAGATTGCATTTTTCGTTTTTAATGGATTAAGACTAACATCTAGATCTATAGTCGCCATTGTTGGATTATTGAGATTAGTAATGAATGTCTTACAACCAGTTATAGTAGAAAGATTTGGTGGTATCACATATTCTGCAGGTCTAGAGATAGGATTTCCCCACACATCAGGGCATTTGTTAATTTTTATTGTATTCACTGAATTCTTTTTAGAATATGACTTTACTTTGATTAAACAAGCGTCACCTTCAGAGTTTTTCAATTCTGGATACTTTTCGGAATGTGAACTTTTTTGAAAATTCTGTTGATTTAAATTAGCTCTTAATAATACTAGGGTTTTTTGTAAATTTGTAGAATCCAGAGTGCTTGTGGAGGCAACCATAACATTGTCATTTTCATAAGGTAGATAAACCACAACTGGTTTCTTTTCAGATTCTTGAACAAATTCTGTGACCATAAATGCAATTAAAGACTCTTCTATATCCTTTTCGCTAGAATCTTTAGTAATTCTTTTTGACTTTTTACTTTCAACTTCAGATTGCATTCTATTTTTTAATTGTTCAACAGCTTTATCCAAATTATTAGCAGCCTCTCCATGGCCTAAGCGTCTAGCACCACGGCGTGGTGCATGTATAATATCAACATTAGGATTTCTTTGGATCCATTTCTTTAATGTCAAATATCTTGCTCTCACATGAGTACGGTCTTTACCTGAGAAATATTTGCTGATACTAGCAAAACTTGTTGAAGAGTCTTGATTTGCCATCAATTGAAGTAACTTCTGATCTTCTGTTAATGTCCAAACAGTTGAAAGTCTTTTTCTTATTAGGACTTGATATCTTATTCTCAATTGTGCTGTTGACCTCCCAACAAGGAAATTTTTTATCTTTTTAAAATTTTGCCCATATTTTTCTACACAATTTAAAATCACTGCATCTTCTTCTGGGAGAAATCTTCCTTTTCTTTGTTCCAGGAGTCGGAGATACTTATTATAGATTTGAATTTTTGTCCGATTCTCCATTGCAGCTGCCACGCGCCCCCAAGGTATATAATCATCATCTCTATAATATTCAATGACTCTTTTGAGATATTCTTCTTCTTCCTTGGTCCATTTTTGATTTGTAAATGTATTGGCCATATTAGTTCTGAAATATACAAAGCATTGATATTCAGTACGTCCTGTATTTAGTGCGATAGCGATTTGTTTCCAGTTTTGTAAATTATGCTGATTTGCAATTTTTTGTAGGTCCAAATGTTCATTTTTGCTCCATGATTCTTTATTGATAGAGGGATGTAGAAATAACTGCCATAATGAACTATATTCTCGAGGACTGTGTCTGTAATTGAAAGAATTAGCTATACTTTCCCAATCATAGTCTTGATCAATAGGCAAAGCTAATTCCTTGAGGTTTTTCTTTGGAATCTTCTGGATTTCTGCATTTAAAGCTGCAATTAGTTTACTTTTCTTTGCCTCATTTAAATTTTTGTCACGATTAATTTCTGCAATTTTTGACTTCAGTTCATTAGTCTTAATATCTTTGGTCATTTTCAGTACTACTGAAACAAATTCAGTTTTATCTTTAATAGTCCACCCTGGCACAGCTGCAATATTTGAGAAGTCATACATTTCTGTTTTGGCCATAATCATTGTATCAGGGTTATCAGGAGGTTGAAAACCATCTTTATCCTTGAAGTATGGTTTTCCACAATTTGTGTAACGAAAGGCTTGGCCTCTTGGCCTATCATTGAATTTGTCTGAATCATGTAATTCTATAAGATTTTTTCTACATTCATATAATCTATCAAGAAGTATGTTTTCTAAGCGAATCAGTTTGTCATCAGTGAGTTTATTGAGCGCTAGAGCGGTTTCAATTTTAGAATAGTCTTGGATTTTATCATACGGGCACAGGAGACTCAGCGTGTTAGCTGAATATTGGGACACAACACTTGAAGAAGGTTCATCGGCTTCCAAAACAGCAGTCAGATGTTCCAGATCTTTTATTTGGGTTTCTGTATCTTCATCACTTTCAAACTCAATATCCATATCCATTTTATAAAGGTTGAAATGGGTTAAAAGCTTAAACGTATCGTTTTATCTGGTACTGTTTAGTTCAGGTTTTCTTAGACCCTTGATTTGTTTACCAATTTACCTACCAAACAATCCAAACCAAAAAACTATAAAACAGAGTGATTTCTTGCTAAATGCTTTCAGTATTTATATTAATGTACTCTGTGAATAATGGCAAACAAGACAGTAGTACAAAGCTTTGAAAAATCCAAATTGGTCGAAAATCCGAATAAAATCACACAGAACATTTTTTTTAAAATTGGTTCACAGACTATATCTTTAGTAGTTTTTTTTTATAATTTATTCATGACCAGTGCTGCCAACCCGAAATTTAGAAAATTAGTAGATTATGTGCCAAATGTTGGTAGAAGTTGGTAGAATGTAAAATAGAAAATTAGTAGATCTACCACCTCAATTTAGAAGATTTTTTAAGATTAAAAATGCATGCAATGCAATGCAGAGCACACTTCAGATCACACCTACATGACTCGCAATAAAAATATCCGTCACCCTTAGTAATTTCTTGAAGCCAACCTGCAAATTCCTTGTCTTTCTCCCATAATTTCGAATATTTTTGGTCATAGTGCCTTTTTTCTAGGTTTTCCTTTCTAGGTTGGAGTTCCTAACGTAGAACTATGTGCTTCGCTTTCGCTGCTGTCAGATTCCATTATATAATTAAATGCACGCAACATAGAACAAACAGCAATCAACACCGTTAATACGCAGTTAATTAGTTTTTACAATAAAACAGGAGCAAAGATTCAACATTGAGTCCGCAACAAACCAACCGGGAATGGGCCACAGTAGGAATAGTAAAATATGGGCGCGAACGCCGAACTCATGGCGAACTGTTGCTGACTTTTTTTTGTGGTTTATAGCCTGGACTCTATGTATGCTTGACGCATCGTTGCCTGGCTCACGCAATACATCGCACGTCGCTCGTCGATATAAAAATAATTCAGTGGTAATATGTCAAACTAAATAAAAATAGGTAGTTTTTAGGTCTAGGGTGGTAGATAGGTAGACTGAAGTGAAAATTGGTAGATCTACCAAAAAGTTGGTAGATATGACAGCACTGTTCATGACCATGGATACAAGTCCTTCAGTCGTATACATAGGTAAATATCTTTAGTAGTCTGACTCCAGTGTTACCAACCCTTACCAAAATTTTACCCTTAGTATTTTCTAAATTCCCCTAAAATCCCCTAAATATAAGATTTTTTTATGTACCTACTTATTACCTAAATTCTTTCGTTGCTCATAAATAAAAACTTTACATATTTAGTTATAGTAAATTATTTTATTGAATAAATACAGTTTCCGAAAGGAAAATCAAACGAAAATGAGCTAACAGCAGGATGTTAATGAAATTAGTGGAATAAAATCATTAGGTTTTTCAAAAACCAATCACAGCAGTAGACATGTGATTTAATAGTGTGTCAGTTCATAAACAAGCTTTTATTAGTTTCACCTGTATGTATGTAACTGACTCGTTTGCGATCGAATTTGATCCACTTCCCGGTTTCCGATTGAGCTGAAATTTTGCATGCATGTATAAATCGGATAACAATGCAATATTATTATGGCACAGAGCTGATCTGATGATGGAGCTGGAAAGTGGCCATAGGAACTCCGTAATTAAACGCCGCAACCCCATCGAGTCTGGGCTCGTTGGAATCCTTGACGAGTATCTTGGTTGGCTTGAATATGCAACTCCGACAACTTTGGGAAAAAAGTTCGTTCCGTTTGTTATGAATGTGGATATTGTCCGAAGTTTTGTTAAAGCCCCTAAAAAACCCCCAAAAAATTCCAGCCCCTAAAAAAGTCCCTTTTAACACTTCTAGCCCCTAAATCTGGGGACAAAACCCCTAAGTTGGGAACCGTGTCTGACTCACAGATCACTAATATGTGGTCTGACTAATGGTAGCCATACACACTACGAGAAATCGTTACGATCAGACTGTACAGTTCAAACGGAACAGTTTATCGTACGTGGCGTACGTATAGGAAACTGTGCAGTTTTATAACATACACGCTACGATTTATCGGTACCGTTCGGACTGTCCAGTCTAACGTAACGATTTCTCGTAGTGTGTATGTCTACCACAACAATACTGTTTATGGGTACGGGTGCGGCCAGAGTGCACTCAGATTCAGATTCAGATTCCGAAAACAACAACTACGGCCAGAGTGCACTCAGATTCAGATTCAGACTCAGAAAACAAGCGCGAGAAATAAACAATGTAGTTTTAAAGCAGGGTGGCCATAGTGGCAGCAGGCAACCTGCTTAAACTACACTGTATATTTCTTGCGCTTGTTTTCTGAGTCTGAATCTGAATCTGAGTGCACACAGATTCAGACTCATAACAAGGCAGCGTTGTGCGAACAAAGCGTCAAGGCAGCGTTGTGCCTTTTGCCACTATGGCCACCCTGCTTAAACTATAATGCGATTCAACTAACAATAGGACTGACTGGGCGCCATATTTTGACGTCATAGCTGTCAATTCAAACCAAATAGGTAGAGTGAGCAATAGCTTAATTTTTAATAAAATTAATTTACTAAGGTTGAGAAAGAACACAACCGATTTTTAATAGTATTTCTTTATTAAGACTGTGAAAAAAATCATTAATCAGAATCTAGCTCTTCAATTTCGCTCATCTTTGCATTACCACCGGAGAAGTTATGAATAATCATGCAGGACACATACGAACATGCATCCTATATGTAAGCGAAAGTTTTAAATCGGGTTTCTAAACGCAACATAAAGTGACATTTGGTTGACGATTTAGGTTATCAACCATTCATAGCCAATACTCAATAAGTGAAATAAAAAACTAATAATATTAATTATCAACATTTGTTACTGTTTGTTTAAAAATGTTTGGTTTTTATTCTAGAATCAGCTGAGTGCTAAAAAAGTGTTTCGAGTTTTTTTTGCAAACCGTACTTTTCAAGCGACATTTCACAGATGGAGATCATTGGCTTTCCTATTCTTATTTGAATCGCATTATACACTGTTTATTTCTTGCACTTGTTTTCTGAGTCTGAATCTGCGTGCACTGTGGCCGTACCCTAAAAGTTTAATTGATGTCATTACTCTGGTAAGAACCAAAAGACATCAGGGTTGGAACTTGGTTCTTGGTTGGAACTAGCTTGCTACTTATATAGTGGTGTCGATTCTGGCATTATTCTCTAAACCTAAACTTAAATTTGACAACAGTGTATCCTTGTCATTCTCTATACAGAATAAAAAGGAGAGACCGATGTTAAATTTAGTTTTAAGTTTAGAGAACCATGCGAGAATCGACACCAGTGATCTGTGGTTGGAACTTTCAATACATTTGTTCCTAGAAGTCGATACCGGTTTATCTTATTATTCCGCTGCGAATTCATATAGTAGTTTATATTAACAGAGAAAGAATTTCTGGCAAACCGACCGATGGCGGTATAACCATCCAATGACGTAGGGGAGGAAAATGTCACTGGTGACGGGCAGCAGCGTCATCAGTAAATAAACCTACGCTCTGCGATCGCCAACCCGCCTGCCCAGCGTGGCGATTATGGGCAAAACCTTCGTGCACAAGAAACTCAAGCCACGGCCCCCAGTTCCCGGCAACCCCGCTATTCCTGGTCACGGTGGCGACCACGGTAACGGTGGGGCGGGGGGTGCCAAGAATCTCCGGGCTACGGGAGGCCACCACGAAAGACTGACCCTGGCGACGTACAACGGACGCACGCTACGGCTTGACTCGCATCTGGCGCAACTCGAGGTGGAACTTGGAAAGATTAGGTGGCACATTTTAGGGTTAAGTGAAGTCCGAAGAGAGGGGGAGGACACCATAACCCTCGAATCGGGCCGCCTAATGTACTTCCGCGGGGGAGACCAACAGTCCCAAGGTGGCGTTGGGTTTTTGGTAAATAAGTCCCTTGCCGATAACGTTGTGGAAATGTCCAGCGTGTCGAACAGGGTAGTGTACCTTATTATAAAGCTCACCGAGAGGTATAGCCTCAAGGTGGTGCAAGTGTACGCACCGACCTCGACACACTCGGACGACGAAGTGGAGGATATGTTCGATGACATATCGAGGGCCCTCCACTCCACTACTAAGACCCACTACAACGTTGTTATGGGGGACTTCAACGCTAAAGTGAGAGTACAGAATTGCAGCGAATCGGTAGTAGGATCCCATGGATTTGGAAGCAGAAATCATAGGGGGCAAATGCTCGTCAACTTCCTCGAACAGCAGGGGCTCTTCTTGATGAACTCTTTTTTCAAGAAACAGCCCCAAAGGAAGTGGACATGGCAGAGCCCCGACACTATGACTAAAAAATAAGATCGATTTCATCATGACGGACAAGAGGTACATATTCAGAGACGTCTCCGTGATCAACAGGTTCAATACCGGTAGTGATCACCGACTCGTCCGGGGCTCTCTGAATATTAACTTTAAGGCCGAGCGCGTCCGTTTAATGAAATCCAGGCTCCAACCTACTTTGCTCCAATCTATAACAGGATCTGAAACGTTCCAGTCAAATCTGGAGAACCGATTTGCTGCCGTGGAAACCACATCAGACGTAAACCAAAACCTCGAAAATGTGTTTCGGATTCTCTCGCTCCCACCGAGCCAGTACAGCATCCCAGCGAGGTGAGCTAGCACTCGCCGGCCACTCTTTTGGCCCCCGCGAATGCTCCTCCCTCGCACACCAACATCAGCCGCACCAAACACCGCCGCCGAAAGCGTCGCAACACACCGCCGACGACTACGGACAAAGCCGCCCCACTACCCAAGCCAACCACCGCCACCGTCGCGGTGGCCGATACACCGCCGCTTACGCCGCCTACACCGTCAACGCCACCCTCGCCAACCACCGAAGCCGTTCAAGAAACGCCACCCGTCACACAAGACGCAATTATCAAGATCACGGCCATGCTGACGGATTTTATCGAAAAATTCAGGCAGGTCGTGAAAACGATCTCAACATCTACCCCCGGACAGGAATCTACCCCCGCCCGCTGAAGTCCGTCGCCCGCTCGCTGGTCGCTCACTGGGCCTCCCACATGGGTCTCACCCGGACCGCACTCACGACGATCGCGCACGGACCTACCCTCCCACGAAAGTGCTCCAACGTAAAATTGGATTTTACGCTTCGCGAGCACTGCCTGGCGCCATCGCGCCAGCGGGGACTACCGCGCCTCCCAGCCGCAGGCCTGAGCACGCCGCAAGGCGCAGCTCGGCCAAGGTCGCGCCGACGTGAGCCCCACATGCTGCTATGGACGAAGACCAGCCCCAACCCATCCAAACCGAGGAGGAGATGGCACGTAGCTGCGCCCGCTATTGTGCTTTGGTGTACGCGTGGCAATCACCGCGCGTCCAATATGAATTGGACGCGTCGATGGCCGCGCGGCTCATTGACTCCGGATTAATATCCGAAGGATTAGCGGGCTGGATATCGTGCTATGTCCGCCTCATGGAGTGGGACGAACTCTCCTCCACCAACTATGGCCTCGGACAGAAAGTCACCATCAACCACAACAATGAGGGCATGAAACTGCCGCTCATTTTCCCGCCGCCACACTCACACTCCCTCGTGCTGAAGCCCATCCGCACCAGGAGGTCGCCGAAACCGGAGGAGGCGCAACCCCGCGCCGGACGCCCGCGCGGTGAGCGTCCTAGCCGCTCCCGCAGCTGTGGCGACTCCCCGGTAACGTTTCGCACCTCCCCACCTGCACCGGTGAAGACCCCTTTGAAGGAGGAACACCAGCCCGAGCAACAGACTGCCCCCGCCGCCCACGAACAACCAGAGATCGAGCCGCCAACTGCTTTACCGACACCCACCGAGTCGGTAAGCTATGCCCAGGCCGCGCAAATTTTTGCGCCTACCCACCTCGCAGAGAAAAAAATCGCACCTACCGCCGCATCACCCGCCGCCGTGTCGACCGCGCAGTCGGCCTCCCGCAGCACTCCCACGCTCCCACGGGTCCGCAAACACCCGCCGATCGTGGTCGAGCAGCTGCGGGACTGGCCGAAGCACCTGCGCGCAATACACGACCAACTCGGCCGAGCTCCCAGCGTGCGTCCGTTCGGAACGGGCGTACGTTTCACCCCGCAGGACGATGACGAGGGCCGGCTCGTTCGGGCCTACCTCTCCGAGCAGACCGGACTGAGCTGGTACGCCCACGCTCGTCCAGAAGACCGCAGCCTAAAGGTGGCCATCCGTGGGCTACCTGTGGACACCAGCCATGATGACATCGTCAAGGCCTTTACAGAAAAGGGCTTTGAGATCGAGTACACAAAGCAGATCCGGGCGCGAGCAGGCCGCCTCGGCTCATTATACTTCGCTTCGTTTCGTCGAACACCAGACCTCATCCCGGCCATCTACTCAGTGAGTGACCTCCTGAGTATGTCCGGGATCACTGTCGAAGCCTGGAGAGGAAGGAGGAACGCCCCCGCGCAGTGCCACCGCTGCCAGGGGTTCCGCCACTCCAGCCTCGGCTGTCACCGCGCGCTTGCTTGCGTGCGCTGCGGTGACCCGCACGCCGCCGCCGACTGCCCCCGCCCGCTAGCGCAGCCCGCCACTTGCGTGAACTGCGCGGACGCGCACCCGGCCAACCACAGCGCGTGCCCCGCGCTCCAGCGCGAGGCGCGCAATCGCCGCGCCACAACAGTGGCCCGCACAGGCCGCCCGCCCACCGCACCAGTACAACACCCAGTCGAGGTGAGCGAGCACGCGCCGGCCACACTGATGGCCCCCGCGAACGCTCCTCCCTCGAACTCCAGCAGCCCCAAACGGCGCCGCCACAGACGCCGTCGAGCGAGCGATGCCTCGCCGACGAACGCGCCCCCCGCAGCCCCACCACCCAAAGATGGCAACCCACCACCCATAGATGGCAACCACCACCACCAAGAAGCGACATCCCAACTGATACAACAGCTCACAGTTCTGCTCACGGACTTTGTCATAAAGTTCGGGCAGACTGGCAGAACTTTTTTCACTTCTACCCCCGGACACGACACTACCCCTGCCCGCTGAAGTCCGTCGCCCGCTCGCTGGTCGCTCACTGGGCCTCCCTCATGGGTCTCACCCGGTGGGCTTGACCGCGCCGAGGGCGACGTGTGAAGAAGCGGAGGCGGGGGTACAGCCCCAACTGACCGTCTCGTCCCGATGGCGAGACGCGAGCCCGCTACTTCTGAAGTGGGCCAACCGGCCCAGACCAGACTCCACGCACGCCGCGGCGCCTTCGGCGCCGGCGACGCGCGAGACGACGAAAGAGGATGGGTCTCACCCGGTGGGCTTGACCGCGCCGAGGGCGACGTGTGAAGAAGCGGAGAGGGGGGTAACTAAACCCAACCGACCGTCCCGTTCGAAACGGGACGCGAAACCGACGCCTCCATAGTGGCTCACGCCAAAGGATTCCCCACACGCCGCGGCGCCTTCGGCGCCTGCGACGCGCGAAATGAAGATTGCAGATGTGGGATACGCTAGCATGATGGACACCTCGATGTAGGCAGCTGACCTGTCAACTAACTACTTAATTTGATTTACTTTCTTCTTAAATAAAATTAGTTTTTACGGGTTAATGCACGAAACTTTATTTATTTATTGACGTTTCGCAGCCTTTTCAGGTCTGCATCGTCAGAATAATGATTTTTTATTTAAAATTGTCGAGCTACTTTCGAAAGACTTATATTGAGCGTTCGGTTATTTCATTGGAAGATTTTTAAATTTTATTGTCTATGTATGAATTTATTATTTAATTTACTTAATAAAGTATTTTATTTAAAATTCTTGTTTGTAATTTTGAGTTTATTGAAGTTATACTTCTTTAGGCGCGTTATGAAAAAATGATGAGAGTGAAATTTTAAGATGCGCGCGCATCACTGTAACACAAAATTTTAACAGCATGAAGTTGGTCGCTTTAGCGACCAACTTCATGCGTTACTTTTGTGTTTACCGCACATTAAGAAAATCTACCAACAAAATAGAAATAGAATCTCTATTTAGTGGGTGCTAACGACTGCATTGTGAAGGCCTATCAAAAGTATTTATTAATCTGGAACAACGGAACCAAAGCGCGATTCAGGAGACTACAGCGCCATCTCTTGACCATTGGTGTAGTAGAACCACAAACCACATCTTTATTTTTTGTAATAAAATAACAGTTATAGGTATTCATATTTATAATATCAAAAGTATTTATTAATCTGGAACAACGGAACCAAAGCGCGATTCAGGAGACTACAGCTCCATCTCTTGACCATTGGTGTAGTAAAACCAAAAACCACATCTTTATTTTTTGTAATAAAGTAACAGTTATAGGTATTCATATTTATAATATTTATCCACATGTTTCTAGTTTGTATATTCGGAATACGTGTTTGAGTTTCATACAAGTGCAAATCACATTATGTTCTAATAAATTATATTCAGTAGCGATTTTAATTGAATATTTTGATTATTTATTTATTTTTTCAAATTAAAACTGAACTTTATTGACTGTGTCCTTTTCCAGACTTTTTATTAATTTATTGTAATTAATTATTTGCATGCAATTAAAAACTAATTTTAAACGATGCCAAAGAAGGATAGCTTCTCACGCGCCTACATAAGTACACGCACCCATTTTTTTTATTTGACCCTAACTACCGTAAACTACCACCGGTTCCAAAATTGGGAGACCTTCCTGAGAAGAACCGGCGAAACAAACTCAAGAGAGGCTTTCTATCTCCTTCTTATGTTAAATTATGCAAACAAAAAGAACTAATAGTATCTGATGGTCTTGCAGTGTGTGCTCGGGGTTGGGATTTTATCTCCTGTATAATAGGTTCCCAAGCTGGTGGTATATACCAACCATCTTCCCTATTGAAATTTGGATATTTTTTAATCTCAATAGCCTCGCGCATCATTCGAGGAACGAACCGCCGCTCCGCTGCAAGGATCTGTGGTCTATCAAATCTAATGTAGTGGTTTGGTCCCCCTAATGCATGTTCACACACTGCAGATTTATTTTCACGCCTATGTTTCATATCTGCGATATGTTCTTTTACCCGAGTCCCTATACTCCTCCTTGTTTGCCCGATGTAGGAGAGCCCACAGTCGCATTCAAGTTTGTAGACACCAGCAACTTGAAAGGGTATATTGCACTTGACCGGTCGTAGAAACTGGTTGATCTTCTTTGGCGGCTTGAAGTATGTATTGATTGAAGCACGCTTCAGAATCCTCCCAATCTTGTCAGTGACTCCTTTCATGTACTTTCTTCTACTTATTAGTTGCATAGTTCAATGTGCTGCCAATTCAAGTAACTCTCAATTTAACGGAGTTTTAACAGCGATTCGGAATGAATATAGCTGTGATCAAAGTGCAAGTAAAGTGTTCAAGTGCCATTATTTAAAGACTTGTATAGTGAACTACAGTGTTTAGTGACTTTCTAATGAAAGAAAAAGAAGATTAATATAATTTAAGACTAGGTTGTATGGCCATTGTACCTTTTGCCTTTCCTACAAAGGGCCATTCTTAAAAAAACTGTGGTTTACTCCATAGACTAGGATAGTATTGGAGTATTGGTCTCAAGTCTACTCATAGAGTACATTGTTATATATAGAAAAGTCTACTCTTGATCTGTGGGGTATCCTACATAATAAATTGGTTTTTCTTGATATTTTTCAAAATATAGTGCCTTTTCTTATAATTTTTGTGATACAAAATGCGGGATGTAAAAGCGTGTTTAATATGTCTCTCAACGGATGTGAAATTGTTTAGTATTGATAAAAATCAATTACGGCAACAATACAATTTGATAACAAGCTTGCAGGCAAGTATCAAGCGGTAAATTAATGTTTAATAAAGACATCTATGTATTTACCACCGACTCAAAATAATACCCATGAACAACATCTAACTGTGCGATTTATAAAAAATAATAAGTTACCTGTTTTTTATTATTATGAAAATAATTCGTTATCCTGGTTTTTCGAAATATGGTGCTAATGTAAAAATAGTGTTATTTATACTTATTATTACATTCAATAGAGTTAATATTTAGATACCAAAATCTCGTAAGTTTATAACTTTAAATATAATATTAAAATTATATTGCTATATCTTCTTTCACATTTTAGATACTTGTAAAAGTATTTACTTTTAAATTGTTCATTTTGAATATGGTACAGTCAATTTCTTTAATATATGATGATTTTTCCTGATAAATATTACTTGGAGTTAGCAATGTAACAAGTGTCATTGTTTGAGTATTAGCGCATTCAAATCGAATTACGAATATCTGCTACTGATATTTGTGAATGCTAATGTAAATACAAATTTTTGGTGTTTTTTATTTGGTGCCAATAATATTTATGGCTGTGACTCATGTTACTATAAGAAGAGTTCTGTTTGTATCTTATTCCAAAATTGCCGAGTTGATTTGAAAAAGCTTTTATAATATACAAGCTGGGCAAATGCCTTATTCTTTTTTTTAAAAAGGAAGCATAAAGGAATTCGAAAAGTGTTTAGAAATCCATTGTGAATAAGAGAGTTAACATTTACATACCAAAATCAAGTCAGTTTATGATTATAAATATAATATTAAAATTATATTGCTCCATCTTCTTTCACATTTTAGATACCCGTAAAAGTATTAACATCTACATTGTTCATTTTATGTATGATAAAATGTGAAGTTGTTGGTTTTTGAGATAAACATTATTAGGAGCTAGCAATGTAGCAAAAGTAATTTTTTAAGTAATAGCGAATGCAAATCTGATTTCAATTATCTGCTACTGCCATTTGCGTATGCTAATGCGAATATTCAGTTTTTTTATTTGGCTATATACTATATACTTATGGCTGTAGCTCATGTTTGTGCAAGAAGTGTTCCGATTGCATCTTGTTCCAAAATTGCCATGATGATTTGAAAAAGCTTTTATACCATACCTGCTCAGAAAGTGCCTTATTCCGTTTTTAAAAAGGAAGCAGAAAGAACTGAATGTTTTGGTGTACTATTAAGCAGGCTGGTAAAGTGTATGGGAATCCATTATTAACGAGAAAGTTAATAGTTAGATACTAAAATAAAGTCAGTTTATGACTATAAATATAATATTAAAATTATATTGCTATATCTTCTTTTAGATACTTGTAAAAGTATTTACTTTAACATTGTTCATTTTGAGCATGGTACAGTCAAGTTCATTATTATATGATGTTAAAACCTGATAAATAATTATTGGAAGCTAGCAATGTAAGTTTTTGAGTATTAGCGAATGCGAATCGGAATGCGATTATCTGCTACTGCCATTTGCGAATACTAATATGAATATTCAGAGTTTTTATATGGTGCCAATTAATACTTATGGCTGTGGCTCATATTCGTGCAAAAAGCATTCCGATTGAATCTTTTTCCATTATTGCCAAGTTGATTTGAAAAGGCTTTTATACCATTTCTAATCAAAGTGCCTTATTCCTTTTTTAAAAAGGAAGCAGATAGAACTTCTTTATTGTTGTACTACTAAGTGGGCTGGAAAAGTGTTTCGAAATCTGTTGTTAACACTGTTCATTGTTAAAGGCAGTAAAAGTTCATTGTAAACGGAATTTTGTTTTATTTATTCTTTTTTAATGTTCTGACAAAGCATGTGTCAGTAAAATTTTGCAACCTCTTTAATATTTTTTTTTAACATTATTTTATTTGCTTTCTGATCATTTATTTTGAAAAAAGACTATAAATTGAGTAGCTCGCTGAAGTTAATCATTATTTGGTATAGATCTGAGTCTTAGGCTTTATTTCCCAATGTAGAAGTAGATGGTATTTGAACTAAAGGCTGTCAATGTGATTATGAGCTTAAAAAAAAAGATTATTTCTGTTTATATTCCTAACTTTGTGAATGTCCAAAAATATGCAAGTATAAGCCAATGCGCATGCAAATGCGAATATTCATTACCTCACTATTAAGAGCCTGAAATCATAATGAATATGTCGGAAATGCTAAATTTCATGAAATTATAACAACTTTGCCTTCAATTAATTGTAATTCATGATCAAATATTTTAAAGACAATAGTGTCAATTCTGGCAAACTAAACTTAAAACTAAATTTAACCTCAGGCTCTCCCTTTCATTCTGTATGGAGAATGACAAAGATATACTGTTGTCAAATTTAAGTTTAGGTTTAAGTAGTCATGCCAGAATCAACACCAATGTCTCAAAATATTGTGTTATATTATGCTATATTATGCTACTAAGTAACTTAACTTAGTAACACAGTGGATATTTCTAGCATGTAGATAAACACAATTTTATAAGTAGAATGCATTGTAATTTATATTGAATACCAAAACCTCATCAAATATATATTTAAAAAAAATCACATTTGAAAGATCTCCTGTGTAAACAACAACAATGGCTAAAAATGAAGGAAGCTACTTAGATTTAAACATCCATCATCCTAAGAACAGGGTGTATGTAAGGCAGGACCATCTCTTTGCATTGTAGGTAACCCCCAATGTCAAACGTCCCTTTACAAGTATTTAAACATTTGAAAGAAGAAATAGCAGTTGTAGTTTATTATATAATTATTTATTAAGCATTAAATTGTTCAGAACCTAAAGAAAATTTTACTAGAAAAAGTCCATGCAGTCCAGGTAGCAGACGGGAGTGCAACCCGCACTCTCTGCTATCCGGGCGGATGCACCAATTATACTACCGCGACCTCTTTTTATATTTTATTTAATCTTTATTGCCTTTACAATGCAAATTGCGGACTTAATGCCAGTATGGCTTTCTCTACCAGAAAGAAGGTGCAGAGAAAATGAAACAGCAGATAACAAACAGAGTAAACATCAAGCAATGATAAAAACCCACAATGTCAAACGAGATGTCTTTACAAGTATTAAAATTAAAGAAGAAATAGCAATTGTAGTTTATCATATATATATATATATAAAGAAAAGTTTACTAGAAAAAAATCCACGCGGACCAGGCAGCGGACGGGACTCGAACCCGCATCCTTCGCAATCCGGGCGAATGCACTGACCATTATGCTACCACGGCCCTATTAGCCGCGTCGAATTTTTCCTAGCCTTAAGCTGCAAGGCAGCGCCATCTCTTCGCATTGTAGGCAACCCACAATGTCAAGTGAATACTTTTTCAAGTATTAAACATTTGAAAGAAGAAATAGCAATTATAGTTATGATTTTATTTAAAAAATAAATAAAATCATAAATATATATTTATATTATTTAAACATTTCACTTGCTAGATGTTTAAATCTTAAGAAAATGTTTTCATTTCGGCACTCATCATCATCATATCAGCCATACAACGCCCACTGCTGAACATTGGCCTCTGTGGACCTCCACACCAATCAGTCCTGTTCTTTTCGAAAGTAGTGGTTTCCTACGACCTTCACTACATTGTTGGTCCACCTCATAGGGGTTCCACCCACTGAGCTGATTGCCAGTTTTTTGTGTTTTAAATGTTAAATTATAAAAAATAATTTATTTTACAGATAAAGAAGGGCAATGGAATGCCTGAATATTTATGTTTCCAATGCACTAAATATGTAAGGAACTTTATAAAGTTTCGTGATAAATGTCATAGAGCTTATTTTGTTATGGAAGAATTACTTCATAAAGAGAAAGAGGTTTGTATAATTTAATAGGTGTAAGGTGTGTGTGTAGCGTAAGGTTGTGTTTAGCGTAAGGTTGTGTGTGTAGCGTAAGGTTGTGTGTGCAGCATAAGGTGTGTGTGTAGCGTAAGGTGTGTGTAGCGTAAGGTGTGTGCGTGTGTGTGTGCGTGTGTGTGTGTAATGTGTGTGTAGTGTGAGGTGTGTGTGTAGTGTAAGGTTGTGTGTGTAGCGTAAGGTTGTGTGTGTAGCATAAGGTGTGTGTATAGCGTAAGGTGTTTGTGTAGCGTAAGGTGTGTGTGTGTGTGTAGCGTAAGGTGTGTGCGTTTGTGTGTGCGCGTGTGTGTGTTAGGTGCGTGTGTAGTGTGAGGTGTGTGTGTAGCGTTAGGTCTGTGTGTAGCGTAAGGTGTGTGTGTAGCGTATGGTGTGTGTGTAACGTAAGGTGTGTGTGTTACTTAAGGTGTGTGTGTAGCGTAAGGTGTGTGTGTAGCGTAATGTGTGTGTGTGTGTGTGTAGCGTAAGGTGTGTATGTGGCGTAAGGTGTTTGCGTGTAGCGTAAAGTGTGTATGTGTGCGTGTGTAAGGTGTGTTTGTAGTGTAAGGTGTGTGTGTAACGTCTGCGTAGCGTAAGGTAAAAAAATGAAAAAAAAAACTTTAATGCTTACGAGTTCCATATAAACATGTTGTTAATATAATCAAGGTGTGTGTGTAGCGTAAGGTGTGTGTGTAGCGTAAGGTGTGTATGTGTAGTGTAAAGTGTGTGTGTAGCGTAATGTGTGGGTGTAGCGTAATGTGTGTGTGTAGCGTAAGGGGTGTCTGTAGCGTGAGGTGTGTGTGTAACGTAGGGTGTGTGCGTGTGTGTGTATGTGTGTCTTTTTATTGGTCTCTTTAATATCATTTCCCCGTAACTTCACAGATAAATACAAGTAGATTAGAGGCACTGGATCATCACTTGATCAGTATTAAACCATATTTATCATATCTTGATGTAAGTAAAGCACATTATGAGGAAGTCAAGTTTCAGTGGATCAGGAATAACCGTTTAATATTTATGACAAACGATGTTATACCAATTGTTAACTACACAACTCTCACTAAAGATCAAATGTTTGAGAAAACTAATGCAAACAACCAGGAAACGAATTTACAAAGTAATCAATCAATAAAAAAAGAGAAAATAGAAATGCTGGAAATTGATTTGAGTGCACCTGTGGAACCTTGTGGTGCTAGAATCAGCAATAAATGCGAAAAATCCGCATCTAGTTGTAACGCTGATAACTCGCTAATGTCTGATGATAATGATAATTATGTGGATAGTGATATAGAAGGGAGCAATCAAGATGCAACAAATAATCAGGAAGCTGATGGAAGTGCCCTGGAAACAGAATATGCAAGTATGCATCCAATCTCAAGAAATGAAGCTCAAGCGGCTAACGAAATACTTAAAACGTTGAGTGCTGGCAAACATAAATGCGATATATGCAGTAGATCTTACCATAATGAAAATCGTTTGAAAATACATATGCGTATGCACAATCAGGTTAGACATATTTTATTTTTTAACTGTGGACAATAACTAGAGTTTTTTTACTAATGGAAATTTTACTTTTTAGCATGCCAGTGGGAATTTTTGCTGCGAACTCTGTAATTTTTATTACAAATCGAATTTCTTGCTAAAATCACACATGACTGAAAAACACATGTACAAGTATGTGTGTAAGAAGTGTCCAGAAGTTAGTTTCGATAGGTAAGTCCACATAATGTTCAAACATTATATTGTATTTAATGTAAGTATAGGTTACATTAAATAGTATTATCCTGTATGTAGGAATATTAACCTTGTAAAGTAAGATTGTCAGAGCACCATAATATTACGAACTTTGTGGCATGCTTGGGTTTCATGTTACAGTGTACCTGCTAAATTTAAATTTGTTTCTTTATTTTATTTCTGTTAATGAGTATAAACACCTATTGAAAAAAAATACTATTATGTTATCTATACTGTAGGTAGGTCTGCCGTCCGTCGTCCCTTTTCTGCTATTAGATTTTTTTTCCTTCACTGGATTTAGAACCTTTGTAACTTATATAATTCTGAACTGATTAAAAAATGCGCAAAGTGTAATTAAAAATTAAAATAAAATCTAGAATAAACAAAAGGTTGTTATTCTCAATTTTCTACACCATAATTTTTTCCCATCAATGCAATCCAATTTTATCATTCAAAAAGTATGATAAATGTAAAATTTTGTGATATAATATTTTCAGAACATCAGCTAAGCAGCATTATATTTGGAGTCACATGCAGAAACGGCAGAAGACTAAAGAAGAATGGCAGCGTTCACGGCCTAAATGGTTAAGTAATAAAGGTGGTGCTCGGATGAAAGGCATATGTGCAGTTCGACCAACGGCCAAAAAACGCACTAAACTGCCTGACGACTTCCTAGTTTACAGTCCAGTGAGCCAAGAGGAACAGTACCGGTTAGTTAAGGAGAGGAAGAACTCCAGAAACTACCTCGAGGCAAGGTTCAAATGTGAACTATGCTTCAGAGGTTATAGAGAACAAGATACTTACAATAAACACATGAGGAAACATGATCCAGTAAGTTTAATAATAAGTACAGATATCCAAATCAATTCCATAAGAATTGTAGATCATAATGATGAATGATGGTTATTGTAGTAAATAATTATGTGGGTCTACCAGCCCACGACACTGTAGGTGTAGTGTAATGATAAGACTCCCAGATGATATATATAAATATTTATATATACACAGTCAGGTCATAAGTATTGTCACACAGTAAAAACTTTTCTATTAGAATGGTGGCCACAAAAAAGTTTATTGAATTCGAATTTCGAATTGTTCATGAAAATAAAAAAGTATACTTTTTAGAATTTTATTCATTTTTAAATATGGAGTGGACGCTTAAAGAAGACCGTGTTGCAGTTATTGCGTTGCATCGTTACGGTAATGCGCCAATTAAAATTTTTGACATACTGAAAATTTTGAATATAACCAAAAGATTCGTTTATCCTACCATCAAATGATACAATGAAGACTGTAGTGTAGATGACAGGTCAAGAACTGGTCGCCCTCGGTCTGTTAGGACTCTAGTAGTGATAAAAGCTGTGAAGGCGCGAATTCAAAGAAATCCCAAACGTAAGCAGAAACTGTTGGCCCTTCAGATGGGGTTAAGCAGAACCACGGTGAAAAGGGTGTTAAATGAAGACTTAGGGCTTCGGGCATATCGAAGAAAAATAGGACATCGTTTGAATGCTCGTCTAATGGACCTGAGACTGAAGAGATGCCGCGCTTTGTTAAAGCGGTACGCGGGAAAAAAATATCGGCAAAATTCTTTTTTCGGATGAAAAAATTTTTACCGTAGCAGAGAGCTACAACAAACAAAATGTTAAGGTGTACGCACACAGTAGTGAAGAAGAGGGCAACCGTATTCCACGTGTCCAACGAGGTCATTTTCCATCCTCGCTCATGGTATGGTTGGGAGTTTCTTATTGGGACTTAACAGAGGTACATTTTTGTGAGAAAGTTGTAAAAATGAATGCAGTTGTGTATCAAAATACAGTCCTGACGAACCTTGTGGAACCTGTTTCTCATACCATGTTCATTAACAGGCACTGGGTATTCCAACAAGATTCGGCGTCAGCTCATAGAGCGAAGAGCACACAAGACTGGCTGGCGGCGCGTGAAATCGACTTCATCCGGCACGAAGACTGGCCCTCCTCCAGTCCAGATTTGAGTCCGTTAGATTACAAGATATGGCAACACTTGGAGGAAAACGCCTTTTCTCTCAAAGCCTCATCCCAATTTGGAGTCACTCAAGACATCCTTGATTAAGGCAGCCGCCGATATTGACATGGACCTCGTTCGTGCTGCGATAGACAACTGGCCGCGCAGATTGAAGGCCTGTGTTCAAAATCACGGAGGTCATTTTGAATAAACTTTATTGTCATAAGAATCTATGTTTTTTTAAGTTCATTTTGGTATATAAATGGTTACATAATGAATAAACTTTTTTCAATTATTTTATATTAAACATGTGACAGAATTTATGACCTGACTAGGTATATATTTTACTGCAGCATCTTCATTTCGTCATTAACAGGAGGTTTCAAACTGTAATAACTTTTAATAGAGTTCACCAATTTGGATGAAATAAAGATTTAATGTTCCTTGCATGCATATTCAATCAGTACAAATTACCCGGGTGATTGGTGACAAAATTGAATTAAAACTCCAAATTCAATTGGGTTTAGGGCGACCTTTAATCGCTGCAGCAACCACTTTCTCTAGTGTTTGGTAATTGCAGCAGTTGTTTTTCTCCCCAGAAATTGATAGTTTCAGATGAGCATTGGTTTTTTTCGGGAGGTCGATCACACTGACTAGACCAGTCGCGAGGGCTTGCAGCACTGAATTTTCGTATAGTCCTACCCCTCCCTTATATCTAGAAACAAACAAAACCTGGCAGTGTTATCATACTAGAAACCGTATTTTTTTATTTTTTTTTTATTTTTTTTTTAACAGCGCCGCCAGGTTTTTTGCATTGCAGCATCTTCATTTTGTGTTCTCCGGTTAATGACGCGTCGAATTAAAAATATATATATATCATCTAGGAGTCTTATCCTAGGTTTATTGTCGTGGGCTCTTGTACTAAGACTATTGCCACTGAGCAAATACAATGATGTATAGGAGTTTGTTTTAAGAAATCATGTGAAGCCACTATTATTAACACTGTAACTGAGAGCAAGCTGTTTCTGAGCATTATTGATGTGTACCAATAAGTTCTGCTTTTCTTCCCTAGATCGAAGTAGATGAGAGTTTTATTATAGTTTCTCATTATTGCAGTAAACTTCAAAATTTTTAAGGTATCTAAATAAATTCATTACTATAACCAATTCAAATTATTAGTGGCAAGGCAAGCAAGATGTAAACGGGTACAAATAATACAAATACAGTATTTTTCCAAATAGTTTCTTCGCGCGTTTATGCATATACTCCTCAAAAACGCCTCTGGTGCTGAGTGGCTAGAACTATCAATGAGTGATTTCATTGCAGTATTGGTAGAAGCTGAACTACTTTGAAGGTCCCTTAGTGGGATTTTGAATTACATATGCGCAGTATATATCATATAAATAACTTTATATTTAAACTAGTGACCTGCCTCGCTTCTCTTTGTTGTAGACTATAGTTTTTGTTCTAATATAGCCTATTACACTCACAATAACGTGGCCTTCTATTGGTAAATGTTTTTTTTAATAGGTTCAGTAGATCCAAAGATTGCGCCCTACAACCTCACCAATTTCACTTCTTTGTAATATTAGTATAGACGTATTAAATTTTATTTTTTTTTATTTTCAGGCATATTCTGGTAACGCGCAATGTGATATGTGCAAATTGTACTTCAAGGATGCTAGAAAAATGTACAAACATATGAACATTACGCATCTATTCAAATACACTTGTCAAATGTGCAATTTCGTGTGTTTCAACAAGTAAATATATATTTTTTTGCTATTGATATTGAATGTCTCATTCATAAATGTATGTTTTTTGTGAATAATGTTTTATCAGTACATTGTTTTTTTTTTTGAAGAGTTGTAATACTAAATCCAATGTTTACAGGGGTCAAGCACACATGCATTACAGATGGCACAAAAACGTAACTTATTCGTGTCCGCATTGTTCCAAAGAGTTTAAGTAAGTAAATAAAGAATTTACTCTTTCGTCATTTTACTGTCTTTAAAAAAACATTTTCACATGATTTGAAGGGCATAAAATGTATGCATGTAACATAGAGCAATTACTACTCGTACCTTTAAAAGTGATTTAGTACACGTACTTTTGACTCTACTTTGATTCACTGCATTCTAACGATTGCTAAATTGCAGTTTCTATCAAATTAATATGCAGTTGGCACCACAATAATGTTAGTATCGTTTAATAAAGCAAATTTTTGTATAAGCGATTTATTAGATTTTTGTATTATTCTTTATGTTTCTGTCTCTTTACAGGCTTCATGCTTGCAAGTCTGGTAAATCTGAATTAAAAAAAAAAAAGTTTTCTCTTGGGTTTGTTTCAGAAAGGCGTCGACAAGGTTAACCCACATAAGAATAAAGCACCCGTCGTCTTTCATCTGCAACCTCTGCGGGCACAGCTTCGTCAGCGATTCTGGCCTCTACTGTCACAAGCAAATGTCACACACCGCAGAGGTAAGTAAAAGAGAAGTTTTCAGTCGATATTTTCAGATAATTTTATACTCGTATTTAGTGGAGAGAATATAATATAATAATATAATAGAGTAATAAGTACTTAACTCATTTTACCTTTGAAATTATTTTAGAAAAATTAAATGTTCTTAAATGCGTTATGTAATCACCTATGTTAATGTCATTTTTAGAGAAACAATATCTGTCATTTTTTTTAAATATACTTTCATAAGTTATTAATATTCATTATAAATTTGAGATAATCAAAGTTTATAATTATAATAACTTATGCAATACGAATGAGGAGATTTTAGCGAACATTGTGTGGAATCTTAAATAAACATATTGTAACCCTTTTAAAATGATTGATTAAAAAATAATCTGCCATATAGACCTAAATCAATGGGCAATGCCTATTTTGTATGGGATTTTGGCTTAACATGGAGAGACATTTTAACAAGTATACTAAAATTATACTATGCAAGAAGCTTAAACTACCCGGAAGAAATTGGTAAAAAAATAAATAAAATAATGTTGTAAAATCGACACGCATCTTAACCTATTTTAAATTATTTGTTAAAATATAATTTCCCACATAGACTTCAATAGAGTTTTTGTCTTATTTGGTAGGAAATAGAAGCGTTCGCACAAGTTCCCGTTGACACTAACAGTCCGTACTACTGCCAGGACTGTGATGTCATGTTTGTGAGTCAAACCGCCTACGATACTCACCTGGGCAGCTCGAAGAAGCACGCGGTCACCAATTTGTGAGTATTTACCAAGGAAATTATATACCTAAGGGTAACAGGAATGCTCACTGTCCAAAAATTTTGGTCCGGAAAAGACTGAATATTGAGCCGGAACTCTCTTTCTGAAAGCATTAACTTAATACCTTAAACATGACATTTATAATGCTATAACTTTAAACGATTGAACGAAATCTAATAATTAGTGGATGTCATAAAATGCAAGGTTTAAAAACTGGCCAAGTACGGTTCCGTAGTTGTCTATATCGAAGCATAAAAGCAAACTGATACGTAGGTAGCATTTCATGTAAATACTACTGCGATAATAACGACGCAAAAGAGTATACGCAGGTGTTGGTGTCGATTGTGGCATGATTCTCTAAACTTAACACTAAATTTAACATCAGTCTCTTTTTCTCACTTTGTGTGGAGTATGAATAGGATACACTGTTGTCAATAGGCTAGTTGACTCATGTCAAATTGCACTATACAAATGTTTATTTCTTATGTTTGGTATGAGGAAACTAAATACATCGATTTCACTTCATAAAATTAGAAGATGGCTCGAGTAATTTAATTTGAAAAATGGTTTTTTAGTCTATGCTTTTTAAAGACTCAAAACGCTGTCCACTATGATTGTGACGTCAACAAATTAGTAAATGTGTTAGTAAACAACTAAACGTCATTGTCGTGTTACTGTGGTGTCTTTCGTCGGACTAAATTATATCTAAAAACTCTTACATCTTGTAGAAAAAATTCCGGTTATTGGGGTTGTTGACTAAATTAATGCTGGACGCCGGATTTGTGAAAGCAGAAAGGACAAAACTATTTGACTTATTAGTTATATTCATACACCTACACTACTTACTTCATACACCTATACTACACCTTTGTGTAATAATAGTGTTCTCTTTTTGTCTTGCAATTTTTTCCAACACTACTTTCTCTGTTTTGCGCTGTCCGATCAGATTTCAATATTTATGATAACGAAAGAAAATAAATTTAATAAACAATGAAACCTAAAAACTTACGAGTGAAATATTACACCAATTTTGTATTTCTCGAATTGTTAGTGCACTTTCGGAAGGCACACTTTTCTTGCAAAAATGCCTGCGGTATTTTATTCAAAAACGTCAAACTGCCGCTGTATTCAGATGAACACTAACTTTTATTTATTTATTGATTAGACAAGCCATTATGATACGCTACTTAGCCTATTCGAGTGCCGTCAGCTTTCAGAGCGGTCAAACTATGGAAAGGGCATATCTAACGATTGAAATCTTTGGTAATAGGTATAACCCCGTGAGCAATTCCATAGTCTACGCCGGAGTAAAATGAGAGCAGATCACTAGTATTTTAATTATACAGTACTAGCGGTCACCCGCGACTTCGCCCGCGTAAAATTTGGTTTTTCTATAAATTCCTCAGGAACCTGTTTCCCGGGATAAAAGTATCCTATGTCTCGTTCCAGGTCATAAACTATAATTTGTACGTGTGTTTGATCCAAATTATATCAGCCGTTTTAGCGTGATTAAGAAAAAACCTACAAACTTTAACATTTATAATATTCCTGTCGGCCGTTTTCGAAACCATTTTTGGTAAACGGCCGAGGGGATAACATTAGTAGGATTTGTTAACCAACAGCTAACTTTATCATGCACTTTACTATAGAAAATGAAAATGAGAGTTTACTAGTAAATTACAAAAAGCATAATTGAAAAGCCATATTTACAGACGGCATTATTCCTATTAGTAGGGGAGACCATATAAGATCGACCTTCACGCAACTGATAACTCGATCAAATATAATTAATACACAAATATGTCTATGATGACTTGCCTATCGAAAAGTGTTCATAGCTATTTTTAATTTAATTATTTTTAATCAATTATTTTTCATCACTCTTTTGATAACCGAATGAGTCCTGATTATATTCTTTTGCGGAATAACTTTTCATAAAAATGCGATATCTGGCGTGACACACACTAGCGGAATTTTTATGCCATACATATGAGAGGTAAACTCCTGAACGGCCTGCATTTTTTCATTGATGAAAATATCAGTTTCATCTAGTAATAACGCAAATATGTTTTTAATACAGTTGCTCAAAAAGTGGCGTATTGCAGGGACGTGTAGCGTTCGGGATCTTGGCTATTTCACACTCGTGCTTTTTTTTTGCCTTTCCCGAACTCGTGCGTTTTCTTTCCCAACTGTCAAAATTATTTCTATTAAAAAAAACAACCATGAAGTTTTAACTAAAAAAAATCATAGAAGTTTTTGCGATTCATGCAAATAGGTTTATTTGTTTTTAAAAAGAAGCTACCTAATTTTTCCAATATCAGAATTAATTAATTGATTGAATGAGTTAGGTAAGGTTTCAGTTCATTTCATATCATTAAATTTCAATTTCATTTCTTATAATAAAAAATACTAAGTACTAAATTTACTAAGTACTTTCGGAGAGGCGTGAAGAAGCAACATGCAGGCCGGCAGGGTGAGGATGGCTGGTGTGGCAGGTAGAACTGCTGTATCAGCTATCTTCGCGTCTGGACTTCACCTTCACTTAACATCAGGTGGGGTGGAGTCATTTGTCGGACCTAACTATAAAAAAAAAAAAAGACTTGGCTGTATGGGCAGTTCCCTTTGCCTACCAGAATGGGTGAAAAAAAACTGCTTACATTCTACGGTTGGCGCCATTTTCCGAAATTTTCTTTGTGAGTTTAGTTGTTTTTTACACAAAATGAGTAATTTCGACCTAAATTTTATTGAATTAACTCCACCGGAACTCAGTATAATTGCACAAAATGCTTCGGAGAACATTTTACCGGAAAAGTCAAAAATTACTAATTCCACGCAATAAATTCATCGTATGTGATTAATCTACATACGATGAATTTATTGCGTGGAAAGAAGAGAAAAAAGCAAATAGTTTTTCAGAAAATGTTATGTTGGCATACTTTTCCGAACTCTCAGCAAAATTAAAACCTTCTACGTTATGGTCAAGGTTTTCGATGATAAAAAGTATGCTGAAAATAAGGAACAACGTGGATATAAGTCAATATCCAAAATTAAATTCTTTCTTAAAACGACAATCAGACGGGTTTACCAGTAAAAAGTCGAAAATATTAACATTGAATGACGTGGAAAGGTTTTTGAAAGAAGCTCCCGATGATTGTTATTTAGCCACAAAGGTAATTTATTAATAAGTATACATATCTACATTTTTCTTTAGTGTTCAGTTTACAAAATCGCAAAATACAGTCAATACATTATTTATATGAATCAAATCGTTTTTTTAGGTTGCTCTGACTTTTAGCGTTGTTGGAGCTTGCCGCAGAGAGGAGTTAGCCAATATTACTTTAAAAGATATTGAAGCCCATGGAGAAATGCTACTTATCAAGATTCCAAACACAAAAAATAAGATACCGCGAAGCTTTGTTGTTGAAGAAGATTTTCTCACAATAGTGAAAAAATATATGAACCAGCGGTCCCAAAAAGGAAAATCCGACCGTTTTTTTCAAAATTTCCAAAAAGGGAAGTGTACAGCTCAAGTAATCGGCATAAACAAATTTGGTAATATGCCAAAAGAAATAGCTACGTTTCTTGGTCTGCCGGATGCTGAGTGTTATACTGGGCACAGCTTCAGAAGGACCTCTGCTACATTATTGGCAGATTCAGGAGCCAATTTGACGTCCTTAAAGCGACTAGGTGGTTGGAAATCGGACAAAGTTGCAGAAAGCTATATTGGTGATTCATTAAACAACAAACTAGAAACTGGGAAAAATATCACACAATCCATTCATTTAAGGTCCAGTCCGTCTCCTTCACGTGCTGAAGAGAACGTTCGTCCATCTACGAGTACCTTCGTTGATAATGATAATTCATCAGATCCAATTCCATCAACTAGCAAACGCCATTGTATGACAAATATACATGAACAATCATACGAAATTAATAATAGTTTGTCTCAAACAGTAAAGATGCAACGTAAAACTTCCCCAGTTAGTATAAAAAACTGTATCAATTTCAATGTATATGTGAATTATAACTTTTATAAGAAATAAATGATTAGTTAATTGAGTGTATTGTGTTTTTATAATTTGATTAAATTGCTTCATTTTTTCGCAACTGTATTAAAAATAGTCGTTCAGTACACGTACGGAACCATCATTGCAACTCGTTCCGACTGTCAACCCTCGCCTTCGGCTCGCGTAGACATTTGTCGGAACTCTTTGCAATGACAACCATTCCGTACTAGTAATGAAATATACTATTATAGCACAGTGTGACCTAAACCCGCACTTTACGCACGCTTTTCCGTGACCTAAGTTGCCTATTTCTGCACGGTGTGTAAATGAATTGACCAACTTCACTCATGTAGAAAAAATAAAAGGAAACACATTTAAATGTCATTTGGAGCTTAAAAACTCACAGCAAACAAATGACAAATTAGCGATAGGTTAGGAATTCTTGTTTGAATTATACGAGTACAAAAAATAAAGCTCATTCCCGTTGTTAATATATTGTTATGCCAATCAAGGAATAAACGTTCATGGATACATTGAAGTTCTATTTTGTTGTAATGATATTTGATTTTTTCCTTTTGAAATATACTTTCAAAATGGTAATCTGAACCGAAATTCTTTCTTTTCAGAGTTTGACTTGCAGTCTGTATTGCAATTCTTTGTGATTGCAATACATGAATTTTACTTTCAAAACACTAATCGCATCCCTCGATAAGATAAATTACATCTAAGCTAGTGTATAACCTCAGGAACACGGTGTATATTCAACTTCTTCGATTTTGATGCGCTACATAGGAGTAACAACAAATCAGAACAGTTAGAAAAAAAATGTAATAATTGTAACTAAATTATACAATTGTTTTATTATTTCATAGCTGTAAGTACATATAGGGTGAAATTGAATGTTTTAATGAAACTTCGTGAGATTGTTGGGTTACGTGTATAGAGTATGCCTGATTTTTTTCGGATTTTTTAAAATTATTTTTTTCGTTTTATATTTTTTTATTTGGTTATTTTTTTGTCATTTCTTCCTTATAAGTAATTATTCATTTTAAACACGTCTACATAGAAGTTGTAAAACAAAAGCACTCCTAAAAAAACGGAAACTTAATGAATGCCTCCAGTCGAGATCAGCGCCGGCCAGGAGCAACGACCGGCGGCCACCTTTGTAGGTACATACTACACGCACAGATGACTCGGCGCTTACCTACTCTCCGCTTTGATTCCACACTATTTAAAAACATTACAATAAAATAGTCTTAGATGCTATATTATAATTATTTATTCACTGATACACAATACCTTTCAATATTATTTCATAAAGCACAGGTAATTAATCAATAAAATAAATCTTCTGTTAGAGCAATTAAAAATCCTATAATGTTAATATGACTGTTACGATTTTAAATAAAGCCTGTCTGTTAGTGTAGGAACTTCTTTTTTATTGTTAATGTTAGTTGCCTCGTTTAATTAAAACTTAAGAACAAACGGCTTATTTAAAATTGGGAAATATCATACAGAGCAAATCGGTATAACTTACGAGCTTAGTGAAGGAAGGAACTCTTCGTGTCTGATTTGCCCACGTCATGAAATTCCGAACACATTTAATCACAGCCTCAGTCACACACACACACACACACACTCACGCATGCACGCATTCACGCACAAACGCACGCACGAACGCACGAACGCACGCACGCACACACACACACACACACACACACACACACACACACACACACACACACACACACACACACACACACACACACACACACACACACACACACACACATATATACATAATAATGTGTTGTTTTGCGGCAAGCACGGGCGGGTGGCGCGCCGCACGCTGGCAAGAAACGTGCAGCTCTAGCGCCGGTTGCTGCAAAGTATATCTATCGCGCGTGGGCGTGCGCATGTTTTGACTTAGTGACATATACTGTGATAATTTCATTATGCCTCGGAATAAGAAAAAAAAATATTTAGAGATTTAGCACCCTCGCTCCGCTCGGGCGCTAACTTCACGCCGTGCAGTAGTAGGCAACTTAGGTCACGCGTATCGTAATGTACTATTTGCAGGCAAGCCTATATGATGTGTTTAATAATTAAAATATCTTATTTGTGATATAAATTTCGATTGGATATCAGATCGGTGTAGTTACCTATATTGCCTTACCTATTCTCATCTGCTTGCCAGGTAGCCATGCACAGAAATAAGTAGGCAAGCCTACCTTGGCATATTCTGTGTGTGTTAAAAACTATCAGTTGAGATAAAATTCATTCGGTTATCAAAAGAGTGAAAGTGTTGAAAGAAAATCGATTAATATTAATTAAATTAAAAATATCTATGAACACTTTTCGATAGGCAAGTCATCACAGACATATTTGTTTATAAATTATATTTGATATTAAATATGTCTCATCGAGTTATCAGATCGGTGGTCGATCTCCCACCGGCTCTTAGACTATATGTTGGTATCCGAGATGTAAGTAAAGTGTTTATTTCCAGCTCCATAAATAATATACAAAGGGAGCGAGCTCGCGAAGCTCGTTTCGCCAGAACACCTTACAAACGTTCCGCCGGTCGACCGAGGAAATCCGGCAGTTCTTCCGAAATACTCAACAACGGAGTAGCTACTTCCACCAACTGCGAGATTGTGAGTAAATAGTCTTCATTATCATAAGCTCATCTCGCCAGAACGCCTTTCAAGATATAGCGAAAGAAACTCCACGACATGAATGAAATGGTAACGGCATAAAACGCTGTACCATTTCCACAATATAGAAATTAGAAAGTAGCCAGAAGGATGGCTTTCCTCATCCTCGAAAATGATTTTCCTGTACTTGCCGCTATTGATTTTATAAACACATGGCGCTAGTCGCCAGTAAATTTTGATAGAGATCTGGATTTGTCATCAAACAAAGCGTTCATCATTTTTTATATTACAAACTATTTTACTAATTGTATTGTCAATATATATATTTGCCACTAACCACCCTTTTGATGGTTAGTGGCAACAATATATATTATTTTTTAATTTAAGCCATATATTTTTTTTTACCATTTTATTATATGTATAGATTAATTTGTAATTTGTTGCGCAGTGCAACAAATTTCTCGTAAACGACGTGCAAGCCCGCAAGCACTACGAATCGGAGCATCCCGGCGCCGATTTCCTGAAGCGGTACATGTGCGATGTCTGCGGCCACACCACCAAGGTATTTCATAATGCACAATTATGTTACCGAAACCTTAATGGCCGTGTCGAATTTCTTCTAGTATATTTTTTTAACCGCGACTAGTTGACCCCGCGTCTTCGTACGGGTTAAAATAATTTATAAGAAATGACGGACCCGAGTCTACCGTACCAAAACACACGAACGTCAAATGGTTGACAGGAAAGAAGATAACACAGTTTATATGGGAAAATTCAATTGACGTTTTTACTATCTTCCACTCAATTTTTCCATTTTTTCTCACCTTTTAAACTTTCCCTAGACCTCCACGAACATTTCAAGACCAAGATAATATAAATCCGTTCAGCCGTTCTCGATTTTTAGCGAGACTAACGAACAGCAATTGATTTTTATATATTACTAGCTGACCCGGCGAATTTCGTACCGCCATAAAAATAGGGGCAGGCTGTAAAAGAGAAAATTTTGGGTTGTATGTATTTTTTAATACCACATTCAATTCTATCAATTTCTTGGGATAACATTCCTCCTAACCCATATGAGAACACTACGTTACAATACCCAATAGTTTGAATTTTGGCGCGAAGGCGCATTGTAGTTTTCAGAAAACTACTTTACAGGTGGACAACCATTATCACTTAAGGATATGAAAAATAGATAGGTAGTAGCCGATTCTCAGACCCACGGAATATGCATATAAAATTTCATAAAAATCGGTCAGGCCGTTTCGGAGGAGTATGGTAACTAACATTGTGACACGAGAATTTTATATATAAGATATAGACACAACAAATTACCCTGATGTTATGACTAGTGTAAGTGGAGTCCAGTCGCCAAGATAAATGATGCGGCAGAAAGTGCGCCGCTCCAGCTATCCTCACCTTGCCAACCTGAATCCAATCCCCTACCCGCGGAGCCTTGGAACCCTATTCACCAGCAGAAACACAACACCACCAAAAGACAGTAAGTCTTCTGTAAGGTGGAGGTTGCTTCCCCTGGCAGGTGCTCCAATTCGAGCAGAAAATCTGCTGTGGTCTTAAGAGAGAGATAAGATTTTGAATGGTATATTTGATGATCCCATGCTCCTGAGTAAGTTTAGCTTTAGGATACCATCGCGGTTGCCACGGTATCCGGCATCACTCCTGACACACAAAACGTACCGTAGAAATTTGGGTCACTATTCACATTCACTCATCCCTAGATTAAGTAGATTAATTGGTGAGCTTGTGAAGAAGGATCTTACTATTGATATTTTTCATGATAAAATACCAACTTTTACAAAAATGTTTACTATTTAGCACATGATGAGGCCATCTTTAATACAGTTATATTATATCCTAATACTTAAGCATATGTGTAAGTTTGTTTGTATTAATATAGCTGTGTTGATGGTCCATAAATAAAAATAAATAAATAGATCTCTTGAGAGTATTTTTGAGATGGGGCTGCCTTGCAGCCTAAGAAATACTGGAAGAAATTCGACACTGAAATTAGACCGAGTAATTGAAGGTCTTCAATCAAATTATATACTTCTACTTTTTTATTTTATTTTATTGACTGTCAAACCTATGGTAATATGTGTAATGTTGTTTTTAAAAAAAATATTAGCTTACTGCACTCCCTTCTCTCCTTAATTTCTTCTATTAACTTTAAACATTAAAATATCACTGAGGAGTGTGATCGTTGCATAATTAAAGATAGTACGAAAATAGAGTGCGCAGCAATTGACTTAAAAAGGGGTGCAATGTATTCCCTTCACTTATTAACATAATCAAAATATACCTTTTTTTGTTGCAGCAATACGCTAACTTATTGGTCCATATGCGAACGCATACAAACGAAAAACCTTACCAGTGCCCTCATTGTGACCGGCGCTTCAGTATGCCCAGCAATAGGGACCGGCATCTAGTGGTCAGTATACTTGCACGGAAGCGTCCTAAAATATCTACTACATATGGTAGATAAGCTCATCGCTACACACGCACACATGACTGCATTCAAACAATGTGAGATTAAATTCAGGCACTGTGTAACATACCTTAATAATCATCCCATGGTTTTGACTTTCTTAGGTTCCATTTCCCACATTTTATCATATAACATCATCGATATTCATCAGGCATCATCATATATTTTATTATTTATTCCTGGAAACACATAATTTCAAAAATATCACACACTATTCATCATTTTGTAAATACGTATAATAATTTCTTCTGTACTGAAAATCACTATTCCAGAGTGCTGGACACTTACCGGCATTTCTCTTTATTCTGTTATTTATTTGATTTCATTATTTTTGCTACAACCCACGCCCACTTCATCACTTCCATTTCACACCCCACATTTCACACACACCTTACTTTTTTTATTATTGTTAATCTGTAAATATTTTGTCTTGTAAATATATATTTCCTATACTGTACTTTTGATTTTTCCTTCCTTTTATTTTTTTGAAGTTATACTTCTTTAGGCGCGTTATGAAAAAATGATGAGAGTGAAATTTTAAGATGCGCGCGCATCACTGTAACACAAAATTTTAACATAATGAAGTTGGTCGCTTTAGCGACCAACTTCATGCGTTACTTTTGTGTTTACCGCACATTAAGAAAATCTACCAACAAAATAGAAATAGAATCTCTATTTAGTGGGTGCTAACAACTGCATTGTGAAGGCCTATCAAAATTATTTTTATCTAGATTTATTTTGTCGCTACACGACAACTGTTTGCTCGTCAAATGAGCCGTTTTCTTTGCGTGGTTTATTTGGATTGCTCTAAGCCTGTATATAATCAAAGACTGGACTATATACTATCATAGTCTCCTCACTAATATTTTAAATGCCAAAGTGAATTTGTTTGTTTCTTACCCCTCGTTTACACCAAAGTATAATCTTTATATATATAATTCTTCTGTGAGTGTGTATGTCACTGAACTTCTCTTAAACGACTGGACCGATTTTGATGAAATTTTTTGTGTGTGTTCAAGGGGATCTGAGAATGGTTTAGATTCACAAAGACGTGTAGACAGGACAACGTCTGTCGGGTCCGCTAGTACATGTATATAAAAAAAATTATACAATGTCTTAATTTGTTGTTAACACTTATATACACGTATAAAACATTTAGTATACAATACTTGACTTGCATTGAACTTGTTGGATACACATATTTTGTGTATCCAACAAGTTTGGTGCAAGTAAATAAATAAAGTAATAGTGATAAATAGTGATTTTTTACTAATACAGTAATTACTTGTGAAGATACTCGTTACCTATGCAGTGTAAACTTAAGAATGTACCGAATGTATTGAACGACAAGTATTCTACAAGTATTGTGTAAAACTAGTATATGACTTTTTTCTTAGTGTAAACGAGGGATTACGCTTTCATGTCTAATCTACAGAGCCCGTTGTCTGATGTATATTTAAAATTTTCCTATTTGTCAATGTCACGTCATATACATGTGTCAGAATTAGACAAATGGATATTTTTACTATAGTATTTAGACGCGTTGTTTCTTAAATAGTATTTTAAGTATGCATCTGATTTTAATATACCGAAAGTTTGAGCAGAAGTTAAAGCGGATACATAAAATAGCCTTGTTTGTGTGAAACATCTAAAATTTGTTTTAGCTGGGTTTTTAATTTCACAAATTAGAAATTCTGGTATTACATTTTTAATATGCTTAATGAAAGAGATGCTCATTTTAAGTATTGAAATTTAAAATAAATCTTATTAAAAATAACTAGCTGTGCCCCGCGGTTTATTAGGGATATTTTCCCGCAGTAAAACAGCCTGTGTGTTAATTCCGGGAGGCAGTTAACTCCATACAAAATTTTATTAAAGTCGCTACAGCCGTTTAGACGTGAATAAGTAACAAACATACAGACTTACAAACTTTCCCCTTTATTAGTGTGATGCATTAATCGTGAGATTTCCTCGCTTTAGGCCCCAGGTCTGCCGATAAAAAAAAACATAGGTAAATATGTCGTAAATATATCAATGAAATTTACCAACAGGTTCACACTGGTGAGAAGCGATACCAATGCCAACACTGCAACAGGCGTTTCACCCAAAGCAGTGCCGTTAAACTTCACATACAAACGGTGCATTTGAAGATTCCATACGCTCCATGGGATAAGAAGAATAGGAAACGACGCAAGGAATTGGAAGGAACCTCGGCCCCTGTAAGCGCCGTCAACGTTCCTCTACAACCTGCGCCCAAGATAATAATGGATCAAGACTATTTGAACGCTTACATTAACTATAATGATGAATAAATCGACTATAGTAAATAGCGGGATTGGGAGTTTTTGGTGAGGTTTCATCGAGTGCGGATGGCGTCTTATTTTAATTATTCTTAAATTCGTTCATAGTGGTATTCGTTGATATTGTGAAATAAAATTGCCGTGATTTTGTGTTACAACCGTCTGCGCAACTGAAGAATTAGTGGAATATTTAAAATATACGTTATTCCGGTCAAGTGGACGTGAGAACTTTATTGTAGTGTTAGCTACCTCACAGAAGCATACCGGAAAAGCCCACTCGATACATTTCGTGCCAAACACTCCAAGAAACATTAGAATGAGTCACACCGACCTTCTAATGTAAAAAACGAAGATCTTGGCTGTATTAGCATTGTTCCCTTTGCCTTCACAGAAAAGGGAGAATTAAAAAAAATAGCGGGATTGCTACCGTTGGTGCAGTCGATATTCGACCTTCTTGACTATCACTAATTTGTAAATATTCGTTATGCTCTTTATTTAGCTTAGATAAAATTCCGTCAAGCTAATTTCTCAAAATAATTTTATTGTTAGACCAGCAGAAATCACGTTTGTGGAACAACTATTTTGTGGTTTTGTGTGGTTGCCTCCATACTTGGAACTTTATATAGTTTAAATTCAATTCCGTCAAGCAGGGTTGCCATAAAATAATTTTATTCTTAGTCCAGCAGAATTGTCGTAAGATAATCAACTATTTTGTGATATTTTAGTCGGCACAATTCAAAATGTTTTATAAAATTAATTTTAAAACCCAACACGGGTTTTTTTTATTTCTTCCATAAATATAATCAAGCTTTTTGTTAGCGAGTTAGTTCCAGGGTTCCACTGGGTAGAGGATTGGGGCAGGGTAGGTAACGGTGCGAGTGATATTTGAGGAGCTGACGAACAAAACTGTATAATTACATAAAATAAAATTTTATAGGACCTGTATAAAACTGAATGACATAACTACAGTGTGCTTTTGGCATGGTTTTTTATTTACAAAATTTAGTAATTTTAACACAGTTTTAGGCGGTTTTGATAGAAAATTATTTGAGATTCAAATTCAATGGGTCCGAAACCTCCGGACTGTAAAAAAAGTAGTTTGACCAGATGGGTAATTATACCGTTTTGTTCACCAGCTCCTCATTTTTAAGTATCGCTAGCGTTCATAGGCTTTGATATTCGCTTACGATAAGACGGGTCATATGCTTGTTAGCCACCACTTTGACATAATATAGGCAAGTACCTTCTCTTTTGTGAGTCCCTATATTATATTATATCCTCCGAATATTTCGGCACATTTGCAATACTGTATTTGACAGTGTTAAAAATAAAGTGCCAATTGTGAGCATCTGTGTTTAGAATGAATATTGGCAGGGGTTTTTACTATTTTTACAAAAGAACGTATTCAGGATTTTCCTAAAAACTAAAGAAAAAGATAATAGTTTTCTTATCTATTGTCATGTGACCCAAAAACGCTTGGGATTGGCGGAGGCTAAAATGGCGTCAGACGCAAGTAAACTTCCGGTTAAAGTGACATTACACTGTATCGTTTGACGTTTTAATAACAGACGTGTGACGTCACAAACTAGTAAGACGCCATATTGTCCAGAGAAACATTTTCGCGGCAACTTGAAAATGGAGTTTTTAATTTGGTTATTTTTACTGAAATACACAACAGAATGATGAATATTCACTTTTTACAGACTCCATAAACATTAGCCAATAACGTGAGATCGTTTTCTAAAACTTATCAAATACCCTATTGCAAGTGCTATGATTACTTAAATAATAGTGATGCATGGGATCCCGCTATTTACTATGATTTTAGTGACAACAGAATAAATGGATACTTTGCAATATGTATACAAATGGACGACAAGTCTGAATCGAGAGACGAGACGCAAAATATGTCAATGTTAATCTCACAATTAATAATAATTTTTCACATAAATTTCGTGTTCCGAAATTTATGAATGTTTTATAAGTTTGACGCAAGATGAAAATTATTGACATGAATACATGTCGTGTTACGTCACGCGAATGGGCGCTTGTCCATACATTTACATTGAACGTTGATGCTAGTGGCAAGTTACATGCCAGATCACTTGAGATCACTTCTCACGTGTGGAATACAAATGTAAAATAATATGTAATTGTCAAAAAACTTTTTTTTACTGCGCGACCCAATAAAAGACTAGTTTTTTAAGTGAGGCTTTTTTCACAACCGTTTGTGTTATATTATTATTCGCGGTATTACACAATAATAATGTATTGCACACCTCTCGCGCCTTTTCCTAACAAGAGGAAACATAATATCTTTCGACGCTATTTCCGATACGTTTCTGTATTGGCACGATCTAATTTATTGTACCAGTATTATATAACCATCACTTAATTAAGAAACTACTATTGAGGGTATAAATTTCATTAGTTTAATTTGTGTTATGATCGAACATCCATCAATTTCATTAGAATCTCGGCCCCAAAATTTTAATGTACTTTAGACATACAGAGAGCTATGTAAATATTATTATTATAAAATAAGGAGTACCTTTAAGTAATATTTCATTATGATAAGAAATTAATCGTCATGTCATTATAGCTCTATAATTTTAAATAAGTATGTATGTAAGGGGTTAGAACCGATCTAGGGCCCTACCTACCATTGCTTTGGCTATTCTATGGCTATAGCTTATGATTTCAACTTGTTATTTCTGAAGGCCGAAGGTTAACAATAGCCCCGCGCTCTTCTTCTTGCATTGGTAATAACAATATTCAAGAAAATAATAAATTAAAAAATCGGCGGTCAGAAATAACAAAATGTTATAGCCAAAGCAATTCCGATAGGCACCCTGGCGCACCAACCCGCCGCCATTCCTTTTTTAAATCGCGGCGCACTATTAAAGTGGTATACAGGGTTAATTTTAACACCAACACTAACAACCACTTAGGGGATGATTCTACTCATCAACAGGAACAACTTTTATTTTTTTACATTTCGGTCGATTAGCTGATGCACATTTGTATGAAAAAGCTGTTTTTTTTTCGCGATTTCAGTGTTGGTCTCTGATGGGTAGAATCACCCCCTAAGAGGATTTTGGTGTTTTAGAATTAACTCTGTATACGTATTCGATTAAAAAATTTCAAGTAACCTGGTTCCCCAAGGTATCACGTTGCGTTACCGAGATATTTGGAATTAAGAGCGACATATGTGTATATACACCTTGGGATTACATGCTACTTGACATTTTTTGTTCATCTGTGTCTTCTACCCATCCATGCCACTGACATCGTGCGCCGCGATTTAGAAGAAAAAACAAAATGGCAGCGGTTCGATAAGTCAGCTTCTAAACAAAAAAGTTCGAACTCCTTTAATTTTAATAAGTTTAAATACATAGTTATACAATTATGATTTAAATAAAGGCTTTTATTAATTTTATAGTCAACTGTTGTTTTATATTTTTGTGAATGTATACCCACTATTTTGTTTATTTAAAAATATAATATGTCGTCATAACCTCTCTACGTATCGCGCAGGAGTAAAAGGGTTACAATTTACCAATATATCAATCTCTCTTACTACAGCTACAGTTATAAAACTCAATGATTAGGCTTATTTGAACTTGTTTACCTTGATTTATTATTTCGTAACAACTAATAACAACTGTTAATGAATTCACTTACCTTTTACTGTAGATAGATTTATTGAAACTGGCCGTAAATCTATTTAAGACTTATCTACCGGAAAAATTGTTAAATTCGTTTAACGAACTATAAGAAAAGTTTTTGAAGTGAAAACTTCTTTAGCGGCGTTGTACACTTTTTTTTGTAATGGATAAAAACTGTTAAACTCGCGTCAGGACACGTGGCCTTATTGCGTCATGAGACGTGGCCTGATCGCGTCCGGACACGTGACCTAATCGAAAATTCGTAAGACGAAAACAATAAAATTGGATTGGTTGTTGACTTTCAATATATTGGACGAAACATAGTAATATTTTATTTTATTGTATTACAATAATAAGTCTCTAATTAGGACTTTCAGGTGGCAGCTTTATTGCGAAGAAAATGCATTTTTTTTACAATAGATGAATAAATGTGATTCATGTAAGTTGAATTTTCTGAGAGATAAACTTTGTAATGTATTAAAAATTGTCATGTTTGTGTACGATAGCGCAATAAATAAATATTGTATTATACCACATAAATGATAGTACTTTTATACTGATAATTAAATTAAATCGTGCAAAATTATCCCCTAACCATTCCAAAATATCAAAAATGCACAAGGTTAATATTCAAGTTTTCACTCCCTGAGTGCAATCCGTCTTTTTTTTGATTTATTATTTAATTAGCTTTTAATACTAATTTTGATTGTAGGTCAATTGGATCCGTCGACAGAAGGAGATTATAAAATATAATACTTACAAGAAAAAAATAACCATATTTTATAGGTTCTATAAAGTTCTGCCTGGTCCTTCCCTATTTAACATATATTATAAACTTTTCTTGTACTTGTCGATACAATCATGGTCACAAAATACTAAGAGCATTATTTGCGGATGATGTTATGTACTCTGTCGTATACTTTCTTATTACGTAGTTCTTATATATTTCGCACAATATAACAGGTGCACTTTATTTCAATAGGAGCTTATACCAGGGTAAGACACGATAGCTCAAGAAAATTTCGAAACTCAGCGGGATATGGACTTCTTTGTTTTGTGCCCATGATTGTAAATATTAACAAATATCTACGCATTTAGGCTGCGTTTCCACAAAATCGGAGCTGTGCGGAATCGAGCAGAGCGTAAATAGGCAAGTGTTTCTATTGAAGCTGTGCGAATATGATCTTTGCAAAGCCGAGCGGAGCTGTGTGAATTGGAGATGAGCGAGCTGTGCGAGTGCTGCAGATTAAAGATGAGCTGAGCGGAGCTGTGAATGCATTTTTTTCGCAGTCAGTTAAACAATTGAATAAAGCAATGCAACGTCTCGCTCAGCATGACAACGTTCTGGTCTGCCTAGCTTAACTCCTCGCGTTATAATATTATAATTTTTAGTGTTATTCTTCTCAAATCCACTTATATAGTTACCACTGAAGCGGAGCGGAAAAGAGATGTGTATTTTGAGCAATGCGATTGGTAATTTTTTTAGACACTGCTTAGCTCTGCGCAGCTTCGCTTATGCGGAAACGCAGCTTCATTTACGCACGCACCTCTTTTTAAAGTATCTGTGTTGATTTTGCTAATCTTTTCGTTTCTTGGTGCGACAATCGCTTTGGCTCATAAAAAAATTGATTTAAAGGACATAGCGATCTCCCATACATTTTTTTATTACCTAATTTTTCTGCGTCTTTATGGATGCAAAGAAAATTCATGATGATGTGATCTATTTCCGTGGACAAAAAATACCGCAGGCCTTCGTCTGTGTAGGCTGTAATAGTCACTGATTTGCAGTACTATTATGCTTTGTGCATGCATGTGTGACGTAGTTTGGCATTAAAATCTGCTCAGCATTTCTTGAGTGTTCTAACACGACTCTTTTTTATATGTATAATAGAAGCAAAAATATATAATTGCCCCAAAGTATTGTTTTCAAAGCTCAATACAATACGTGCCTATCGAGAAAGTCGTAATTAATACTTCTCTACTTGGTTTGTCGTCTGATATCTTCCAGTCCTCGTGGCACGAGCACCACAATTTACATTATATCACGTTTTTTATCGCGACTCACTGTCAAACTCCATGGTAATTTGACAATGGACAAGAAATCTGCAAAATTTGGCCAAAAGGGGCGCTGTAATCGCTTGACCCAAAACTTCTATCAAATTGGTTGGTTAAAACTGAGCCACTATTTACATCATAGTATGTATCTGTGTCTGGTAATTGCACCTGGATGTCTTCATTTTGATCAGATAAAACTGCACCAAAATTAAAAATTACGGTCATATGCCTCAAGTCTGTAAAAATCCCAATGTTATACTTCCCATTTTAATCAGAGGTAACCTAACTCTATGAGATGTCTGACTGATGCAAAATAAGATTGAGCCCGGTTACAGTTACTGACATCCATAAACTATTAAAATAATCATCGAAAATGCATCTATGTACCGAGCATGTGCATTCTAGCATAATAATAGAAAGAATATCTTTCTACTAGATCAGCTTTTCTGCCTTGCACAGATGCTCCTCTCCTTTTCAACTCTGTTTTCAGTTGTATTACAGACCATGTTGAATACATTTTTAACACTTATTTAATATTTTTTACAACAAAAATACAATATACAATGCAATGCATGCAATATTCAGCTGTGGTTTGGGTCAAGGGTTTGCAGCGCCATCTATGTTGAGCTTTGCGTATACTTCTCCATTGAGCATGATAAAATCGAGCTTTAAATCATATCGCAATGCTCATGCTAGGGGGGCGGGACGATATAGAATTCAAATAAAAACGTGATGGGTATCGATATAGAAATGTGAATGAAATAACATGTTCAATAGGCCCATATTTATTTTGTACATTTTTCTCTCGTTCTAACAACAACATCAAGTTCATTTCAATAATCTTATTGTCACAGTCGTAGATACATCAATTGACTTTTCTAATTAATGTTTTTAACCGAGGCAAAAACACGTCCATATTAAATTAGTTATATTTCTAGAAATCATATCATAGGCACAGAATAAATAATATGAGGTAACATTTTAATATCTTTGAAAAAAGGCTTGGAAGTATCACAATGACTGAAACAGCACATAAAGTTCATTTAAATAATTAATTTAAATATCTTAATAATAAACAATTAAATAAATAATTCTTTGGAATGTCTTTACGTCCAAAAAATATTTGGTTCTTAAAAGGAATTATTTTGAAGACAGGTAATGATTAAATATAAATATATATATTGTAATACACAAATTGCTATAAAAATAAAATATCAAAACTCTAACAGAAAAACATCAGATCATGTATGTAAATATGCTATCACAACCGAATAACAGTTTTGAGCATACAGGTTGTACCACACGATCGGAAATAAAAAAAATACAGATGTTTTAATAAAAAACACGAGCAAAAATAAATTGTAAAAAAGTTGGAATGATTCTCAAAATATCTGCAGTTGAAACATATTTGATAAATATTTATTTACCAAAGCAAGTGTTAAAGAACCGGATATTATTTAAAATAAGATCTTTATTATGATTACAGTGGAAAAAAAGGATCGCTCGTTATTACCACTCATTTCACAAATGAATTCTATCTAACCCACAAGATTTCAGATCCTTATTTAAATAGTAAATTACTTTCGTACAATAAAGCTGTCCGTTTTAGATAAGCACGCGTGTTTAAATAAATTATTATTAGTTGCATCCCATGTATGATTTGCAACTGAAAATATATATTTGCCAAGTAAATGTCACTATGGAATAATAACTGTAGAATTTCAAACTGAGCAAAAAGCGCGCCACGCTTATTAAATGTGCTTCATTTAAAGGTTGCGCTGATTCGTACATTTATGCATAACTGAATTCGGATATATGTAACACGATCAAAAATTGTAATATCGATAATTTTCGAAGTAATCAATTACTATTCGTTTGATTCAGTGAACACCTTGAACCGTTTTATTTTGCTTGATTGTCAACACTCCAAATACTTACTGTCCAGCGAATGTTAAAGTATACAAGAGTTTTCAGATAGTTTAACCATTAAGTATAATTTTAACAATATTTTTTGGACAGCAATAATAGTTGATTATTACATTATTTAGAATACACTTCTAATAAGTTACAATTCGGACAAAAAAAAATTTTTCTATTTTAGAGCGGCTTTTGATTTTAGTAGAAGCCTCACAATACATTTTGGGTAACATTGGTTTTACATTAAACTTTTTAAATCAAATTTTAACCGCCGTTACATTTTATATGTATTGGATAATATAATTCTAAAAAGCGTATAACATAATTCGACAGTTTGCTTAAAGCATATTTCGGAATGTACAGTTTACAAACAATAGTAACATAGAAGGGCAGTGAATTCAAATTCTAACAAGAAAATTCGTATAACATTTTACAATCCCTTGTTGAAGTATACTTCTTTTGTCTTGGGATATTTTTTCGTCACTTCAGCCTGTAAATGAAAAAAATATATATATTATATATTTAAACGTACGGCCAAGCACGAATTTCGAAAGCACCGTAAACGTATCATCCGTCAAATTTTGTATAGAAGGAGCTAGTTTGTTCTGACGTTCTGAACAGTGCACAAAATATCATCATTATAAATAACATTATAATTGCAAATATCGATAATGTATAATCAATCGTCGTAAATGTTCTTATTATTATTATCAATTCTCTCTGGGCCCGTGTGGAGGGTCATCCATGGCCCTATCCCATCCATAGGGAAGGCCTGTGCCCCAGCCTTCGACCAAAATATACCTCTTTGTTTTGGTCGAAGACCCTAGCAGTAGGGAGTGTTTGTATGATGAACACGATTATTTGTATCTGAGTGAGTCATAGTCATCATTTCTATTCGTAACCCTATTTCCATAACTGTGCCGGTGCTTACTTTGGGGCTACATACGAATTGGTGTGATTACTTAAAATTTTCACTTTTTATTATGTCTATAGAGGTGACACGTTATTATTGTAGCGTAACGGCCAGTTTAAATAATGCAAAAGGTAAGGATAATCTGGTTTCGTTTCTTAGTAAAGTTGTTTTTAAACTCTTAATAATAAAATATATTGACAACAAAGTTCGAGTAGGTCTTCCTCTTACCGGAGTTTGATTTTTGAAACTGTTGGTAATGATGGTAAGAGTAGGGGAGATATAAACTCTACTACAAGTGGAAATGTCCCTCTAATAGAAAGAGAAAGAAGAAGAGAGACCGCTAGCTTTCTCTCTCTAATCGCGCATGCGCATTGGCAACCGTGAGGATCTTACTATTTCGATGTGATGCCACTGGATGACATGCGTCACAAGAGAGAAAGATAGCTAGCGGTCTCTCATCTTCTTTCTCTCTCTACTAGACGGACACTTTTAGAGCCGCCTTCCCCACTCTATTCTTATACCTCTATGGTTATGAAGACTCACCAATAGTTCTGGCTCGAGCGATCCTATCGGTATGGAGGCGCGTTGATCGAACAGCGCACAGCACAGCGGAGTAGCGAAGGTGACGCACAGACCGACGAGGAACAACTGGAACGGTATCACCGCCATCGGGTGGCGGCAGAACATGCCGCGCCGGGTCGCGTACGCAGTCAATAGCGGAGTCAGCGCTGGACACGATACGATATAAATATTGTAGGTCACAGAACCAGTGGCGTAGCGTGCCTTTGCGGGGCCCCGCATAAAAAAAATGTTTGGGGTCCCTTAGGAATGGTAAAGATTTCTTATAAAAGAAAAAAAAATTAATAATATAGGCGCAGGTGCGCCATAGTACCTAAAGCCTATAGACGGATGTAATCCAAAGTCACCTTTGATGATGGATGGATGGACGATGGATTCATCCACGTCCTCTTTTTTTTTTGGTTTTGTATTGCACACGAAATAGCTAAGGCGAAGCCCACTTTTTGAAATTTAGACTAATTTGGAGCCATTTCTACAACACGGTTAATACAGTCCGCGCATGATACGAGTGCATACGTGTTTTCACTCCTGCTTTAACCCCCTTAATAATAAACAAGGAATAAGCTTAGACTAGTTAAGCCATGTTTTGTTCATGTCACTGAAATTTGTCATTCAATAGACAGAGACAAAACATGGAGTAACTAATCCGTGCGTAGTCTTAGTTTATTAATAAGGGGGTGAAAGATGAACGAGGATGAAAAGATGACTTCGAATCCTGGTTATTTCTTCTCCTCTCCATACTACAAGTTTAGCTTCGTTTGAGACTGAATTATTGCTGTGTTATCCAGAAATTTAAGTGACAATACTTACTCATGCCGGGTAACGCCATGAGCACCCGGGAGACGCAGACTAGTGCTATACCGCGTGTCGCCGCCGCCTTCGAGTCGCCAACCCGTTGACCCTCGGCAGTGAATACCGGAGTACCGTTTAGTAGTTCACTAATAAACAATAATGTTTAATAAAACCAGTTGCGAACATAAAAGAGGTAATACATGTAATTCAGAGGAGGAGCTCGATGGCGCAAGTGGTTAGCGCGTTCGGCTCCGATCGTTGAAGTTAAGCAACTTTCGCAGTGATCGGTCATTGGATGGGTGACCAAAAATTTACTATTTCGAGCTCCTCCGTGCTTCGGAAGTCAAGTTAAACCGTTGGTCCCGGCTGCATCTGCAGTCGACAGCACCCACCAATCCGCACTGGGCCAGCGTGGTGGGTCATGGAACAATCTCCCTATTCCATCCATAGGGAAGGCCTGTGCCCCAGCAGTGGGGACATTAATAGGCTGATGATGGCATGTAATTCAAATAAGTCTCTTTTTATTTTTATATAAACTTTATTACTTTTTTGTCCCTCCATCAATATTTGTTAATAAAATTTCTTTTCGAGCAAGAATTTTATGATTTGGAAGTGCGAAAAACTTGTGGAAAATTCAGCATTTGAAGAGCGGTTGTGACATAAAAACATAACTAAGGTGGTGTTCACAGGATATACCAATGTCAACGAGATTATAGTGCAAATGCGTGTCAAATCCGCGTTACACTTAGACATCGAATGCAACTTTTTGCTATAAAATTTATTTTTTTACAAAAAATGTATGAAACATAATGTCTGTTTGATGTTGCTATATGCTCTAAGATTGACGTTGGTTCCGACTGCCCGCAGTGAAGGTATGGAACGCAAAATGTAAGTATCATGTAAGGTCATTGATCTTGTTTCTCGGTTTAGATTTATCGTGATGTCACATCCAAGCGTTCGAAAATAGCGCGCGTTTAAACTGCCCGTGCAAAGTGGCTATCTACTTTAAATTGTTTTTAGACACTGTACTATTTGTTCGACGTAGATTTTTTTTATACTGTATAAAGGAGATGTGAACTACTAATTAAAAATATAAAAAAACCCATGCATATTCCCTAATGCCAAAAAGATAATTTATTTGGCCAAAAAATCTTTGGCGCCCAACGTGGTGCAAGAGTGGTGTCGATTCTGGGATGATTCTCTGAACTTAAAACTAAATGTAACATCCGTCTCTCTTTTTCATTCTGTATAAAGAATGACAAGGATACACTGTTGTCAAATTTAATTTTAGATTTAGGGAATCAAACCAAAATCGACACCAGTGTCTACATTAGAAATGAACTAAAATGCTTTCATTACAACTATTACAATTAGTTGAACTGAAGGTGTAGAAGATACATACTAGGGTGTTAGATAAGAAATTACGTAAACAAAAATGCTTCTGTGGACATTTCCAATTATATTCTATAATTTAGATTGTTTTTTTCATAAGATGACATTACGAAAAACACCTGTAATAAACTACCGTTATTTATATATTAACGTATGACGGCATTTAAAACCTAAAAAGCTGCTAATAAACTATGTATCAAATGTACTTACTTGCTCCTCATCATTGGGATATTGATGAAGTTAGCACCGCACACTGCAGCGAAGGGTACCAACCGGGCGAAAGTAGGGGAGTTCATTTTCTTTGAAAAAAAAAAGAATATCATGTCCAGACATCGTTTAGTTATTATCGTTAGCTAAAAGAGAGAACAAAGTTATTTTGTAATGATCTGGGAAGAAGGAAGTCAGCAGTGGCGGCGCTAGGCGTCGGCGACGTCGGCCACCGCCGACGGCCTTGCGCCTGAGGGGGCCTCGCAAAAATTTTTTACAAGTTACCTATTTATTTTCGTTTCTCCTGGCCTGGCTTAGGTAGCCGACCCCGAACAATTCGGGGAAAAAGCTAAGCAGATGATAATGACTTTTATTATTTTCGAACACGTGCGTGATGGAAGCCAGTAGTAGCTTTACGGGTATTCAGAATCGTCTGTCTGGCAACACTATTTTTGTAATTAAATTTCTATGATTGTAATTATTTTTTGTCATCATTTGATTATCAACAATAAAACTCGTTTACTCATACGTTATTTTATAATTTGGCTCACTGAATTTAACGGTTTTTTACTGCGAAGTAAAATAGGCCTCGCGAACTTGATGTCGCCGACGTCCACATGTGGTCTAGCGCCGCCACTGGAAGTCAGCACAGGCAATGGGAAATAGGTAGGAATAATTTATTAATAACTAATATCATATAGGCCCACCCCTTCCTCTCTATTCCATCCGAGCCTGGGGAAGGCCTAGGCTGATGTTGATGATGATATAAGTGCAATTGTCTGAATAGCTGCGAGTGCGCAGGTTTCGAATATGTATAATAAGCATAGTAAGGGTTGAAATTGAAATCGATTTGCGTACTAGTTAGCATATAAGAGTGACATCGTTTATGCAGATGCGTGTTAATTGGATTAGGAAAATAGATACAGCATTGTTATTTATGTCATCTATTTAGAACATGAACAACAATCAGCCTTTCACGCTTTACTAGCACTAAGGAAACTGTTGTCGGTAAATAAAAACATGTCTTAGCATGTCACTGTCGATTTTTCCTAACAGAATCTCCAAGAGAGAGAGAGAGAGAGACCTACCTACGGAGGTTCAAGGCCTGTGTCATCTTATATGGTAAAGACGGTAGGTATAGGGAATTGGGTTCATGCCATTCATTTACATCCATTTTCTGTATTTTTGATATTACGGTGACAAATTTACTGTGCATTTATTTATGAAAACGCTAAAGTGTGATGTAGGAAAGAAAGGATGTAATGCAAGTCTAATCATCGGTGGCCTTCAATCAAACGCACAGAATTGATAATAATCGTGTATATAAATGTACCCAATACGACACACCTCCGCCGCCGTGACGCGAAGATAAAATATTTACCCGAGTTCAATATTTAATATCAAGTTTACGTCGCGATAATGAAGATTACACGATGCGCGTGTTTAAGTTAGTTTTGCGTGTGACGCGTTTATTCATTTTATTACATAACGTGATATTATCAGATGTAGTTTGCCTAACTTCTTAGGTATTGAATTTCAGATTCTTAAAAAGTTGGGTAACTGTATTATTTGAACTTTATACTTGATTGAACTGATAACTTCTAGGCATTAAAACTTTTCGTTAAAATGGAAAAGGTTTTACAAAAGTCACCAAACTTGAGTTATATGTCTATTCGTCCGAATTAATATAAAAAAGATTGCTATCATGTAAGTAGGTACACAACAATTAATTTAAACAAGGTACATTAGCGGAACGCAGCAATTCTGCTGATACTATAATGTTGATGACCACGAAATTTTAAAGCAATAAGAATAATAAAGTATTGTATCTATCAAACTGACCTTGACTTTGTTGTTGAGATAAAGAGCAGTCCCCAGGGCACCACCGCAGGCCGCGCAATACGATGCCAGAAGTTGTCTATAAAAAGAAGGTATATGAAATGAACACTTTTATTTCTGCAAAAAGAAATCCACCTATTTGTTTCAGAGGTCCATGTACGAACATTGACAGCTCCGTAATCGTATCGCATCCTCAAAGTTTCTATGAAAACTACGCAGCGTCTCTACCGGACGTAAGAATGAACAGGCTCCTTGACAACGGCGCTTTAACATTGGATTTTTTTAAAAATTCAAAATTATAATTTATTGCTCAAGCCAATCTTTGTGGGAGGTGACTTCATTCATACGGTAAAAAAAAGTCCAGTTGTGATTGAGAATGCTCATAATTTTGGATTTCAACTGTTGTGATTGATGACTACTATTTATACCTCCAGTGCGGATCGCCTTCTCCTAACGACTGCAGATGCAGCCGGGACCTACAGCTTAATATGCCTTCCAAAGCGTGGAAGAGATCGAGATGATACATTTTTGCTCAAAGATCCAATGAAAGTCGTCGCTGCGCAATATTCGCGACTGGACCGGCATTAACAGAGCCGCTGAACTATATCTCCTCTCGCGAAGGACATGCTGAAGTTTTCCGAACTGACCGCCAACCTTCAGTAATGGAGAGGCGTTTTAAGAAGATCCTACATAAACGCTCATTGCGAAAGTTATTTCCCTACTGCAAATAATACTTACGAAGTCGGCAACGGCGCGTCGCCCGACCGGTTGGTGTAGTTGACGACGGCGTTGAACGTCTGATTCATCCACTGCCAGAAGACTGTCGCTGCTGTTGTCTTGTAGAAAGTTATCATGCCTGGACGAATGGAAAGACAACTGAACTACAAGGATACTTTGCTAAGAGTACAGCGCCAGAGACAGAGAGATGGACTGAAAGTTTCCTAATGAAAGTTCTAATAAGTAGGAGAGAAATGGCATAGCGTATTTTCCGCTTGAACTGGAGCGCCCATCTGGGGAAGTAACCTCCATCTTACAGAAGAGCACGATAAAATATCACTATCTTTTAGTGGTGTTGTATTTCCATCGGTGAGTTAGGTTCCAGGGCTCCACGGGATAGGGGATGGGGTCTGGGTAGCCACATTGCTAGTGACAATTTTCGTATCACAAGCGTCTATAGAGTCTATAATTCTATATGGCGGCCGCTTGCCATCAGGCGGGCCGGACGCTTGTTTGCCACCCTTTTAACATAGTAAAACAACAATAAGTAATAAAGAGCAAGCGATCGGATGACCGATAGGTCGTCAATTTTATTGTATATGTAGTTTTCCTCTCTTTCTGCACAAGAGTGTTGTAGATATGTCATAGAGGTTAGTCAGCCTAAATACAGCAATGATATTATGCAGAAACACTTCAAAGTTATGAAGAAATATTCAGGTGAGCGTTCAGTGTCGTATTAACGGCAGGTGTATGTAGGCTAGCGGAAAGAAATAGATATTCCGCGAAAGATGCAAATGTCTACCTCCTATGGTTAAACAAGGAACACAGCTTGTCATAGACGGACGGACAGCGGAACCTTCAGTAATAAGGTTCCCGTTGAGTACGGAACCCTAAAAAGGAAGAATGAAAACAATGCTTAGGTAAACATGATGAGTTTACATTGGAGATAAGTTTTAAAGTACCTATAAGTATGTGACTCTGAATGTGACCGTAAAATAAATATACATCTTACTCATTCCAAGTAATTTGAATAAAGTTGACCTGTCATCTGTAGGTATATAAGTAATATTGATATTTGGAAAACAAGTAACAGCACAATTTCTATCACACTTTAAAGTTTAACCTCTGAGTACTGTCATTAAGGGTGGACTGCAATCCCGAATCTGACCCCAGATTCTGATTTGACAACCACAAATTACCATTAGACCAAGTTCCTACGCTTGGATCAGAAGAGAAGACAAAAAAAAATTGCGGATAAATGAGTAGCGCAGGAGCGATCGGTGTGGAGATCCTTGGTGGAGGCCTATGCTCAGCAGTGGGCGTCGTACGGCTGACATGATGATGATGATGAGAGGCAACTCCGTGCAGAAATACAGGCAGATACGAACCACGTTATAGATTCCAATGGTGTGTGAATGTGTGATATAGTAAACTATCAAACACAATAACATGTAAGGTTTCAACTCACACCCGGTGATGATGGTGTTCATCGGGGCCTGCGCAGCCATCCGCCCTATGACGATCATCTTCTCGCCGGTGTCCGGGTGGAACGCGCTGTCGTACAAGTATTTAGTGTTCCACAACTTTTCCTCGTCGTAACCCGGTGGCATTTTGCGCGTTTTCCTGTGCGTCAAATTATTTATCTATTGTTAAAATATATTTTTTATCCTTTTACTGGTCGTGAAAATCACAGCGAAAGCACTGATTCCCTATTTTGTATAACAATTAGAGTAAAAATCAATAATAGAGAAAGTTACCTCGTAGTGTATTGTTTTATAATACAAACTGCAGAAATTTACCCCATTTCACCTGAAGTTTAGTGTAAGAGGAGTCCAGTTATAAATAATCTAGTAACCTAACTTTTAGGTAAGGTGCTAATTAACTGACCGAATATCCAAGTTAATGAATTTACAGGAAAAGTAGGAATTTCTTGTTTTTCTTTCGCTCTTAGTAAAGCAGCTTATGTAATATCAGGATTAGCATACTGATACCAATTCTTTAAAAAATACGTCGAGCAGAGAGTTCGTAAGGTCCGTGGTTCCTAGACGTACTTCCTGTTTACTTTCATTACCATAAGTAAATTACGCTATGTCATTAGGTCGGTTGAGAATATTAATAATAATAAAGTCAGTTATTGTTCTTATACCTATATGTTTAGGCTGTTTTTGTATTACGCTGTATAAAGGCGGAATTAACATCAACTAAATAAGTAGGTACAAGAGGTCAACGTGACCTGCATTACTCATTAATAATTTTTAAATAACGAATCACGAATTGAAAACTCTTTGTAATTAACGAATCCTATTTTTATCTTGAGGAGCTCGATGGCGCAAGTTGTTAGCGCGTTCGGCTGCGATCGTTGAAGTTAAGCAACTTTCGCAGTGGTCGGTCATTGAATGGGTGACCAAAAATTTACTATTTCGAGTTCTTCCGTGCTTCGGAAGGCACGTTAAGCCGTTGGTCCCGGCTGCATCTGCAGTCGTTAACACCCGCCAATCCGCACTGGGCCCGCGCAGTGGGCCATGGCTCAATCTCCCTATTCCATCCATAGGGAAGGCCTGTGCCCCAGCAGTGGGGACATTTATAGGCTGATGATGATGATGATGATTGTTATCTTTAGACGGTAGGTTCGTACTTATTGGTTCGTTACAAAATTTATATTTAGAAATCTTTTGAAAATCGGTTAAAATTATGGACACAGCTGTCTTGTTTTCTTTTCTTTTCACAATACAATTCCAGCTTTTTTAAACAATTTGCATTCACAGGTATAAAAATATTAACACTGCTAGGGAGATTGTGATGTGTGTTATTCGTACTATGGGATGGGAAACCATATTTAAAAATTGTCGCCGCTATTCTTATTGAACTTCATAATAATTGTTATTCTTTAAGTATTTATAAACGTCTGTCTACCAGCTATATGTACTAATTACCATATGTAATTTAACGAAAACCTGTTATTAGCCTTACAAGTAGTCATTAATCTGTATTATTTTTACGCAGTTGCTTTTCTTAAATAATACCATATAGCAAACGAATCGATCAGGGTTCATATTGTGCAGAAACATGAGATACGGTTTTGACGTGTTTTGAAAACAATTGACGTTCGTACGTCATCACATTGTTCTTCATCATGCTCAGTTGGTTGGTGACACTACTTAAACTTAATAAGGAAGAGTTTGAACAAATAGAACCCAGAGTTCCATTATCATCGACGTATCAACTTTTAATGTTCTCACGGACTTAAAGCATTTTTTAGAACTGCATAATACGTAATGCAATTAATCAACACGTAAACTAAATTAAATTTATGTGTCGTACCATTCCAACGCGTACAACAAGATAAATTTCTAAATACACTAAATGAGATTCGGTAAGTCACGTCTCATATGACCTTTGTCTGTTCAAATTAACACAAGGAATCCAAGTTAGGTACCTACCTAAACTCATCGACGATCTTCTTGGCATCGTCGAGTTGTTTCTCTGTGGCGAACACGTTGAGTGGATTGGTCAGCTGCAGGAAGTGTTTCGCGCGGCCCATGTACGTCGACTGGTCGTACCGAGGCTGATCCAAGTCTATAACCTTCGACATTTTGCTGGCTGCTCTGTAAAACCATGAGGACGAGCATATTTTTGATACAATCACCTCTAATACAATAAAATAATATTTGTGAAGATGAATCAGACTAATAGGGGATTTAAGTTAACTGATTTTAACTATACTAAGAGCATTCACCATGGCCTAAGTTAGTACCTTATTGAATTTTAAATAAATGAACAAATAATATCATTAAACGAAGAAACGATTTTACGTCTAGTGAAATATTGCGTGAGCTGGTACTCGAAGGACCACCAATGGCAGTAGGTATAGGTCTTGTTCCGCCCATACTTCTTGAAGTAATAATGCTACTGTAAACGTTATCAAGAAGTCTGAGCACGATAGTAAACATGTTGCTTGTTATGGATATTACTTGTTTGTGTAGTAGTTAAAGTTCATCAGATAATTTCAAAAGTTAGAATGGAGCAACAGTTGCGCTTGCTCATCTCCCTGCTGCTCCAAGCGTTGAATTCCAATATTTATTTATGATGAACACGTAATTTATTCAAGAGTCGTGGTTGTTTATATCGTTATGTAAAAATCTACTGTCACAGTTACAATGTTTGTTGTCGAACTCCTCCGAAACGACTTCAACGCTTCTATATATATATTTTTTGTAAGTATATTTTTATACTCCGAGGTGATAAGGGTAGCCCAGTCCAGTTTTTATAGAAGGATGTTAATGATACGTTGTCACCATCAGGCGATGGTATCGGACGATGTGATAGAAAATCTAGTGTAAATATAATAAAATTAACGTTTAAGGGTATGGACGCTATGGACATAGGTATTTAATATCATACAACTACATACTTACCCGAACTTATACGACTTCAACAATGTTCTATTATTAATAGATAGAAGTGTTGATAATACGGATTAAAAAAATATCTATGGAGTGTTCCGTGCTTGATACCATATCCAAATCACTTCGGATTACTAAATATGGAATTCAATAGTAACGTAGATTACGATTTAAAAAAATATACTGACTATCTAGGAAAGTCTCTCCTGTAATTTTTAAATTAATGAATTACTTCCAATTTTAATACCCAATGATAACGAAAGACTGTTTAGTGGTGCATGTCTTAATATGTAAGTTTATTTAATGAGTTTATTGTACCCATATCATCGATTTAAAGTATAAATAAAGTAAAGCCCAATGATATCTTCAAGCTTTAAATTGGTAAAAATTAATTGGTAATTTAAAAAGCATTCACTATAACTTACTATCAGTGTTTGTTAATAAATATCATTTCGTTAAATGTTACTGATAATTATGTCTAAACGATCATTAAGTATGTGCCTACACGCGATACGTAAACAAGAAAAAAATAACTACATAATTAGATAGTTTGTTTCATTTATATCATGGACCAATAATATGGTCCAGGATTTATTTGTTACTTCATACAAATAGTACAGAGCAAGAAAATATACATATTGCGGATGATTTTGCACTGCGTTGAAATAAGCACGAAGAAAGCTTGTAGTAGGTAATAAAAAAGCAGTTAGGTAATAAAAAATTGCACTCAACGATAATAATATCGTTGTTTGCACTGTATAACAAATAACCGCATTTTTGATATGATCATTTCGTCTTTTTTATATAGATAACGCAGTGTCGCCACAAGTTAAATATTTACAACCGCTAGGTCTAGTTCAAGTGTGATAACATTTTGGTGATGATGGAAGGCGATTATATTAAGATTTTTGTGATGTTGATGAACTAAGCTGTGGGGGTTCTTTATAAGTATTACACAAAAATAGTCAAAAATACTGTTTCACGTGCTATCAATGATTGATTACGTACATTACATTATGTTGTATTGTATATTTATGTAGGTATTCTTCTGTTACTGATTCGTAAAACATTGTTCCGTGATTTTTTATCTGATAAAATAAAAATAGCGTCAAGTAAAATGCCTACAGCATATTATTATTGTTTGTTAAATTTATCAGCAATAATTTCTAAACGATAGTGTAGCATGTTTCCCTAAGTATAAAAACTAGGTTGGTATAACAAGAAAATATATGGCCTTCTACTTATTTATTTATTGTAACTTTAAGTATGAAAAAAGTTGTATTGTGGCAAATTGGATGGTCTAAAGAATAGTAATGATTATTTTGTTTAACATGGGAAACAAAATTACGTAATCGAGTAAAAATTTATGAGCTATGAAATAATATTAAATTAAATATACCTAAAAGAGTTATAATAATTACGTTATTAGTATTGCATCAATTAAAACAGTGAGCCGTGACCCGTGCTCTCCCCCTTATCAATATAATAATGTGGTTCAATATTACTACGAGCGTGACGTTTTTCAATGTGATCAATAAATTCAACAAAATTATTTTTCTATGTCACGTTATGAACCTTTTTTTCATTAAATATTTAATATACTATAAAACCTAGTACAAAATAGATGTCTCAAGACATCCTTTGTGGTTATTAAATAATTAACACGGAAAAAGATGATCAAAGTAATTTTTGTAGGCAAAATTTAATTCTTACACTAACCTTTATTTTAACAGCAGAGGAATTTGTTATTTTAAGTACAGAGTATAGAAAACAGCAGCTTCCAATTTTTGGCTTGAGTAAATTATCTTGAAGTATTCTTAACACATATTTTTTTACACTTTATAAATTTTTATCAATGTTTCGAGTTCAAATGTTGCGCCTTGACAGCGCCCTAAATGACAAAATCAATCATCCTCCTCCGGCAAATGACAAGTTGCGAACTGGTAGCGCTAGTGTGTCCAATTTTTCTATGCTCCTTGTCACGCATAACGTCTTAATTTCACTATACACATATTTATTAATCAAAACCATTTAAATTATTCATTTGGTAATAATAAAATTAATATAGTACAAATCTAGTATAAATAGTTTATCTAAGTAGAATTATCAACTAAGGCTTAGCTCATTTTATCTTAAATTGATTTTTTGGAATCTATGGCCACAAAAATACTCATTTCATCTTATGACTATCCCAAAAAGGGTAAAATTAGGCTTATTTTTTTTAACCTATTTCTTTCCTAGACTGTTAGGGTATTTCAATAAAATAGCAGCAATCTTTCCTATATCGTGTCTTTCTCACTACAGGACATACTACACTACAATGCTATTAAATTTACTTTTAAAATGAACTGCTTGTATAAGCCGATTTTTTGAGTCAGTCATAAAATGCTGTTTGTAACTTTATCGCTTTTTTATTTGTCTTTGCTTGTAATGTAAAATTTTATCTGTTTTTCCACTTAGTCCTTAAATGGTATATACTGTAAGGTAGCAATTGATGTAGTTTATTAAAACTAATTAAATACGTGGAGTATGCTTTATTGGTAATTTAAGTGGAATAGATATGTCATAATCTCTGTATTCTGTGGTTGTCATTGTCAATTTCCGTTTAACGAAACGTATTTTCGTGTTACGTCTTCTGCTGGTGCAAAATTAAAGGCGATCCAAAAATAAATTTATCTTGAATAACCTTTAAATAGGTTTTAAAATACCTAATTGAAATGTCCTTAATCAGCAGAAACATCTTTCGGGCCCTGGTGCAGGTAATTACGAAGTACATTAAAAGTTTTACTATTTAACTCTCTTGAATATTTTGCTAGAAAATATGTTTCGTAACTGATTGATTATCGGTAATAAGGGGTATAACAAGGGACTTTTGCAGTATCGAAGGTTTTCGACACGACGCTTTTCAAGTTACATTTGATTAATCCTACCCAATAAATTTAATTAAAAATAACTCCAACCAATTGATGTAAATGTATTTCCTCACGTGATCGATTAGAGTGCACAGTAATAGCCTGCGCAGATGGGGAACTTTAGTCCGCTATCAAATAGATCACTTGTCGAAATAGATCGCTTACAACTGCGTCAATCGAGTAACGCACACACGGATTAAAAGTACCGCGTACAGAAAGTCGATCATCCGACAACACAGAGAGTCCAGCAAGGTCTTTAGCAGTACGGCGGGCTGTTTCCGCAATTGCCTGCCCCTTTGCATAGGGATTGGCATCAGTCCTGCCATCCCAACTCCTCCAGAAAGCCCAGCAGTCCCAAGATGTTGCTGCAGGCCTCAACTAGTGTCCGCAGACTTCCCAGAAGAAAAGTCTTTTGTCTTGCAACGCCTCTGCACTCCAGCAGAACATGGGCGCTCAACTCTTCGTGAACTTTAGTCCACATTGCATGCTAAATCTGATTCTAAGAAATATCCCTGTATTTTTTTAAGACATTCCTTTTTTGGTCAACTCCTATCCCATTAACCTGCTAGATGTTTAAATCTTAAGAAAATTTTACAATAAGAAATACCACTCAGACCATGGTGCTAGGCAACTGACAGGTCTCGAATCCGCACCCTTTGCTATCCTTACGAATGCACTGACCTTTCTGTTACTGTGGCCTTGATGGCCATGTCGAATTTTCTCTAGCCTTAGGCTGCACGGCAGTGCTATCACTTTGCAATGTTAACCCACCATGTCAAATGAATAACTTTACAAGTATTTAACATTTGAAAGAAAAAATAGCAATTATTGTTATATTCTTTATTTTTTAAGCATTTAACTGCTAGATGTTTCAAACTAAAGAATTTTACTAGAAAAAAAAAACCACGCGAACCAGGCAACAGACAGGACTCGACCCCGCACCCTTCGCTATCCGGACGAATGCACACATTATGCTCCTCTGTGGACAAAAGTCCCTCATCTACGCAAACTATAAAGCTTCGTTTTATATGTATCCTGATCTTGTTTTATCTACAACTTAATTGAAAATATATTATTGTTATAATAAAATTACAAATCTGACAGCATCACTATTAATATTTGAAAGCAAGATTACTATTAAGTAGGTTTGTTACCATTTGTTACATAACTCCTAATTTTATGTTTATTTTGAAGACCACCATGGTGGAGTGCTATACAGTGGTCTTCAAGGTGGCGCCATCTCAGAGGTCCTGAGTTGAGTCCCAGTGGGGCAAAGGTTTATTTGATGAACACAAGCATTTGTATTCTGTTTTCTCATCTATTATCCTGATATCCTAAAACACACCTTACCATACTTATTTTGGAGCTAAGCTAGTTGGTGCGTGTTAGAAATATGTTATATCATTTTTATTATAGTTAAAGTAGCTATTGTATCAAAACTTAATTTGAATAAATTTGAATTAATTAACATTTGAAATTTCAACTGTCTACAGGGATCTCAGCATGTTGGAAAGGGTGTTCACACAAGTGCGGTAAACACTAAGGAAAATGTATGTTTTGCTTCACAATCAATCGGCACCCTGGTGAGAACACTAACCTTTACTAATAGCAAGTAACCCACAATCAGAGCAATGTAGCAGAAAATAAAAAAATGTGTTTTTATTAATTTATTCTACAGCTTATAAAGCCAAGTGAATCTCTGTAAGATGCTTTTGAACAAATAACAAGTAATAGAGTTAAAAATTATGTCTACTGTGTATAGTTATTCATGTTGCATCATTATACAATGTTATGGTGATATGAAAAATATCATTTTAAACTACAGAAAAGTATTCTTTGTTTTGATAATGACGTTTTTTCCATTTATTGCCTACAAATAAAGAGGTCTCCGAATAAAAATCAATTTATGGTATGTTTTATTAAAAATTATATGATGCACTTTTATTAAATATATAAATACCTGCATACTAATTACTTCAAAGACACCTATAGTTAACCTAAAGTACCCAAGGTAAAATATTGTGTTTGGAATTAACATTATTTTCAATTTACATAAAGAGGCATCTTGCTAAAAAAAAAACAATATAGAATATTAGAAGAATAAAATATATTATTTATGTTCAAGAGGTGTTTTTGAAGTTAGTAAAAAAACAATTTTTTAGCCTATTTGCACACCTTTTGAATTTTTATTTTGTAATACATTCCAATATACAATTATAATATATATAAATGCTATATATTTCCATTTTCTGCTGCATAGCTTTATATGTTAGTTATAACAACATTATTTTGATAAATAATTTTACAGACCAAATTGGACAATTTTATTTATTTATTGGAAAGGTAAATGTTGTATAGTATTATTGAAATTTTAATCAATTTAGATAACAAAGAATTCGATTTTATATTTTGATGTAAGATATTTATAATTTACATTATTAAATTGACGTTTCACTTCATTAATTTGCAGTTTATAGTGTTTATTTTTACTATCTATTCATTTATCATTTAAGAATCAACAGGTCCTTCAACAAAATCAACTGTAAGCTTCTTTATATACTTGCATGTGATATTTTTGTCTTTTTTCCCTTTTACAAAACAAAATCTAGTCATTCTATTCAAAAGTTGAACAATAGTCAAAATTTTATTTAAACATGCACACTTTTTTTTATCTTTAATGCACACACATACACAATTAGACATATTGGCAAAATATTATGTTACATTACTATTATGGAGAATAGGATGACTCTTATAACATTGCATGCACTTTGGTGCTCATATTATTATCAAAATAATATGAGTATAAATAATAGCATTGTTGTGAAATTCCAGAATATATTGTGGCATAGCATGAAAGCCACTGCAAATGTACCCAAATTTACACATAACAGCTATTGAATGTATTTCTTTCTAGTTGTCACCATAAATTTGTTCGTATTTTCTATGAGTGGTGGAAATTTCTCTTATTATTTGGCAGTAATGGTTGACAAAAAAATTGGTAACTTATTTTGATTTTTTTTCCATTTGTCACCAGTTGGAATAACACCACCAGTGGTGAATGGGAACAGACATTTATTAAAAAAACTATTTAATTTTTTTATTGGATCTATAAATAATATACTTAATTAATAATTATAAAAAGAAAATTCTTATGATTATTTAAATAAGTCAAATATAAAGCTGTACTTATCTTAAAAAGCTGTTATAAGTAATCACTGTGAGTGAGCAACATCTGTGTCGTCCAAATGCAATGTTTAATACACAAATAACTTTTGTTTACCTATCTAGCTTTATTAGTTCTAAGTTGTAGATATTAGGTCAACACTTCATTATAATATATATACAAACATTGGGTAGTTAGTAATAATCTGTAGATTACAATGATATAAGTCTTCATCAATATAAATACTGTTTTATTTATTTATTTCATATATTTACCATTACAAGTAAGTATAACCCAATGTGACCTATTAAATTGCGAATGAAACAAAACAGACTCTACATACATTTTTACTTGTTTAAACTTTATCTAGCATTTATCTTATATCAGTAGCATAATAATATCGATGGGCCATGGGCTGTTTTTATTCAGAAATATTTTTGAAAATTTACATGAGTGGGTTCCAACATTAAAATTTTAAATAAATCTAATAGTAAGATCATAAAAGTATGAATTCTTTATTTTTTCTTTTTATCAAAATCCATACCAATAACTTTAGTTTTCGTCAAGCAGTTAGTCTTTGCTTCTCTTCTTTACTGTGCTGGAGGATATTATTGATTGCACTGGTCTCATCAACTTGTTTGATATTAGCAACCGAATGCATCGAAGGAGGGCCGCATCAAGTGCACTCTCATCCCGGGAGATGGCGTCGGCCCTGAGCTGGTCTACTCCGTGCAAGAAGTGTTTAAGGTAATCTACCCTCTATTATTTATATATACGGCTGAGAAATGTCCAACCTTGGTGGTCATATCTATCTTTAAGATACTCAAACTTCTCAAATTTATTTTAAAATGAAGATCGAAAACTACGTTTCCAAAATCAAAGTCGGGACACCTTGTACTAAGAAGAACCGGCAAGATACTCATGGTTGCGTTATACTGTGGGATATTGCCGGCAGCTAAGAACGTGTATTGTGTCACATAATGTATTTTGTCGTTTCTAGTAGAATAAAAGAATCGCCACTTTTTCTCTACATTTGAAAGAAGACATGTTTTGTGGTAGTAGAATATTATGTCGCGTACGCTGCGGAAGTCATCGACAATAGAGCAAAATGATGCACTAAAGTTTTATAGAGGACATCAGTATCTACAAAATGTCCGTGTACCACATGTCTAACTATCAGGCTATAGATTATACTACTCTAGGCTTCACTACGACCAATAGGATCGGAGCAGCAATAGAGAATTGATACAAATTCAGGTCTCCCTATACTGGATTGGAAGCTCAAACAAACAACAGATATAGCCAGCTGTCCTTTTTGCCGATCAAGAAAATATCTTATGAGGAATAAGATTTTATTATTATATTAGATTTTATCACAGTTATGTCACAACTAGAGATCCCCTGCGGTTTCACTCGCGTTAATTTGGAGAAAAGGGTTATAGTAAGTTAAACTTTCGACATACGCTGTCGTGGACTTTGAAGTCAAGAGTGAAGTCATTGCCTCATTTACATTTTTTTATTCCCATTTGCCTCCGATTACAGATCCTAGGGGGTGACTGGGAATAAAGGCATTGTTTTTTATTAAAATCAGTTCGTTCCGAAATATAGGCGGCCGGCATACCAGTGGACTTCGAGTCCTTCTTCTTCTCTGAGGTGAACCCCACACTCAGCGCTCCGCTTGAGGACGTCGTCAACTCCATCACCAGGAACAAGATTTGTATAAAGGTGAGATTCTACTTACAATGTATGTAAATATGGTTACGAGCGATTCTCCCCATTTCCGTTTTCCCCCGAAATCATTGGAATTTAAATGATAAAATTAACATATCGTTCAACATTCAGGGTATCCTAGCTACCCCTGACTTCTCTCACACGGGCGAGCTCCAAACCCTGAACATGAAGCTTCGCAATGCGCTTGACCTCTACGCCAATGTGGTGCACGTCAAGTCCTTGCCCAACGTCAAGTGTCGCCATCACGATGTGGACTGCATCATTATTAGAGAGCAGACGGAAGGAGAATACTCTGCGCTCGAGCACGAGTCTGTGCCTGGTGAGTGTTTTTTATTCATAATGTAGCACCCGGTCATGAGCACGGAAGTTAAACGACGAACGCGCTCGACTTCTACGCCAACATGGTGCACGTCAATTCCATGCCCATCGTCAAGTGTCGCCATCACGATGTGGACTGCATCATTATTAGACGGAAGGCGAATACTCTGCGCTCGAGCACGAGTCTGTACCTGGTGAGTGTTTTTTATTCATAATGTCAGCCGTCAAGCACCCTGTCATGAGTACGGAAGTTAAACGACGAACGCGCTCGACCTCTACGCCAACGTGGTGCACGTCAATTCCATGCCCATCGTCAAGTGTCGCCATCACGATGTGGACTGCATCATTATTAGACGGAAGGCAAATACTCTGCGCTCGAGCACGAGTCTGTACCTGGTGAGTGTTTTTTATTCATAATGTAGCACACGGTCATGAGTACGGACGTTAAACGACGAACGCGCTCGACCTCTACGCCAACGTGGTGTACGTCAATTCCCTGCCTATCGTCAAGTGTCGCCATCACGATGTGGACTGTATCATTATCAGAGAGCAGACAGGAGGAGAATATTCTGCGCTGGAACATGAGTCTGTGCCTGGTGAGTGTTTTTTATTAATAATGTAGCATCCGGTCATAAGTTCACTACGACCAATAGGATCGGAGTAGTAATAGAGTAAATGTTATATTGGATACAGTTAATTTTTGATACAAATTAATGGTCTCCTATACTGGACTGGAAGCGAAACAAACAACAGATATAGCCAGCTGTTCCTTTTGCCGATCAAGAAAATATCTTAAGGGAACAAAATTTTATTAGAGGTGTCTTATTGTGTCAAGTATATATATATATTTATATATATGTATATATATTTGCCAATCCCATGAAATCCCAAAAAAACTTCCTTTGGTCCCGGCTGCATTTGCAGTTGTTAGGACCCATCAATCCGCACTGGGCCCGCGTGGAGGGTCAAGGCCCACTCTTTCTATACCATTCAATAGGGTAGGCCCCCAACAATGGGGGCAGTAAAAGGCTGTTGATGATGAAAAATTGTATAAATGAATACTTTACAACAAAATAATATAAATGAGGCGATTTTTAAAATACAAACCTAGTATATGATAATCATGTTAATTGACATATTATTTTATTTTTATTGACATATTTATTAATTTTAATAACTGAAAAATTTAATTAATTTTTATAAATAAATTTCCATTTCTATTATGTTTCTACTGTTAATAAGATCAATTGAGTAATTTATATTGTTAAACTAATGGAATCTGATGACATTTATGCATAATTTGAGATATAAAGTGGTTTAATACAATTTAGGTTCCTCATATACATAATTGTTTATTAGTTAAATTCTTTTGTAATTTTTATCTTTAAGACTGTATATGCGATACCCTGACAGGGTTCATGTTAGGTACTTTAAGCATTTTGTAACTATCTATGTAACATGAGTGCAATAAATTGGATTGAATTGAATATATATCATTAGGTGTTGTGGAGTGCCTGAAGATCATCACCGCGGCTAAATCAGAGCGTATCGCCAAGTTCGCGTTCGATTATGCGGTCAAGATGGGCCGCAAGAAGGTGACTGCTGTGCATAAGGCGAACATCATGAAACTCGGCGATGGACTGTTCTTGCGCAGCTGTGAAGAGGTCAGTTTTTAGCATTTTTAGGGTTCCATACCTCAATAGGAAAAAACGGAACCCTCATAGAATCACTTTGTTGGCCGTCCGTCCGTCTGTCAAGACCCATTTTATCAGGAACGCGTGGAGGTATCAAGCTGAAATTTATATAAAATATTCAGGTCTACTGTCCCTTGAAGCTGTGAAAAAATCAAACTTCTGAGCCAGCGCAATCAAAAGATACAGCCGTTTATACCGCAAATTTTCGAAACTCGCAAGCGAATCAAAACCTACAGGGTACTTCCCGTGAACTTAGAATCTTGAAATTTGGTATGAAGCAACGTCTTATAGCACAGATAAAGGAAAAATTGCGAAAACCTTAAATTTTTAGTTATTTTACGGAACCGTCGGTGCGCGAGTCCAACTCACACTTGGCCGGTTTTTTTTTATTAAAAACCTATAGTGAAGTAAAAGAATAAATTTTTACTTTGTAAAAACTATGGTAACAACAATTACAGGTTTTCTTTTTAAGTAATAGTTTAATAAAATGGACAAAGCAAAATTTAGATTTTTTAGCCCATATAGATTTCCTACGGATGAATTGTATCTAAGCAATAAAATTTTGTCTGTAATTAATAAACTTAACACTATATTAACTAACATAGAACTTAAATATCACAAATATTTACTATAAAGCTTACCTTTGTACATAATAGGTTCAAACAGGTATATATATAGGTTATAGAAGACAAAATAAAGTGACTCCGGTCCCTGTCTGTAGAATCCTTTTGGCAGGGCTTCATTTTCAGACTTATCTCTATAAAAACCTTAATAACAAAAAAATATTGATCAAAGGACTGAGAATGAGACTTGGATACGAAGGAATTATTTAAATGTACGATCTGGATGATAACGAAAAATATATTGTACGCAATAACACACCAAACACACACACATAATAATAATTAAGAGTAGATAATTTTTATATTATCGAAAGGAAAGAACTGATAATTTTGTAGATCACAACCAGGGGATACAACATCTATGTTTCAGCCCCCTAAATGTTAATGTCCACCCTCAATTTTTATTTGGACAAAATTTTATGATTTTATTTTGATACATCATACAAAAATACATACAACCCTAAATTTTCACCCTTCTACCACCAACCCCTATTTTTTTATGGCGGTACGAAGTTCGCTGGGACAGCTTGTTAGGTATATAAATATTAAATTGAAAACGTATGATGTCTAGAATGTAATATAAAAAAAAAATACAATCTTTTCCTCTAGATGGCGAAGCTGTACCCCCGCATACAGTTCGAGAAGATGATCGTTGACAACTGCACGATGCAGATGGTTTCCAACCCGAACCAGTTCGACGTGATGGTCACCCCCAATTTGTATGGCAATATTGTTGACAACCTCGCCAGTGGTCTGGTAGGGGGCGCTGGCGTCGTCGCCGGGGCATCTTATAGTGCAGAATGTGCGGTGTTTGAACAGGTAACATTATTATACAGGCTGTTCTTACATTAAGTAGGAGCGGCAGCCTGCGACTTCGTACGTGTGGAGTTAGTTAGAAATAAAGGTTCACTGCTCGTTCCCCGTAGGTGATAGCGTGGTAGATAATATGTAGTCTATATGTTGAGCCGACTCCTTAATAATATTCGTGCCAAATTTGAAGTAAATCCATGCAGTACTTTTTGAGTTTATCCCGGAAATACATACAGACAAACAGACAAAAGTTCTAAAAACTATATTTTTGGCTTCAGTATCGATTGTAGATCACACCCCAAGTATTCTTTTAAAAAAAATATTCAATGTACAGTTTTGTCTTTCCTACCAAAATATTATATGTATAGATACAGGGTGTATATAAAATATACATTGAGGATTTTCACAAAAAATTGCACCGTTCGCTATTCGGGCCTTTACCATTTTATTCAGATGAATTATTATCGCGCAATGATGTAACAAATATTTAACTAATGTCTTATATTAGAAATTTCGTATTCGAAAGTGAGATTTTATTTTACAGAACTGAGCAACGATATGTAGGTAATATTAAAGTTTGACGTTTAAGGACCTGGGGGCCATTCGCCTAACAAAAATGCTTTGGTAAACGCTAACGCTTACGATTTCATTTTGTTATTTCTAGCTGCCTGAGTTTTCAAATGCCTCGCGCTCTTTTTTTGTGACAAAATAAAATCGAAAGTTTCAACGTTTTCCAAAGCATTTTCGATAGGCGAATGGCCCTCAGTTCTTCAATGGTCTTTTTGTCAATATGTTCACTTCTGGATTCGACCACTTCTTGTAAAGCCTAGTTCTTGTATGGACTTCTGCTTTTTGACCACTTCCTTATTTGACTACCTTGATTATGGTGTGCAAAAAAACGCAACTTTTTTGATGTCTTTATGTGAACGTAGCGTAACTCGACAAGAACTAACCCAGTAAATAAAAACAACTAATGCTCTTTATATAATAATTATCATCACTTCAGTAACATAACTTCATAGATTTTTATAATTTTGTAATTAAACATATTTTTTTTATCCTTTGCACACTGTACTGAAAGTAGACGAAAAACGAAATGGTCGAATCCAGAAACAGTCTTTAACAAAGTGATCTTACTGCTTAAGATCACTTTGTTAAAGACTGTTTGGTCAAAACCAGAAAAGATCGTATGCACAGGCAGTATTCAATTCAAAAATCATTTATTCAGTTTAGTCTTTTACAAGCACATGTGATAGTCGAAAACTACGCCATCGGTTCGCAAAACTACGACGGGAGACATTGTACTGAGGAGAACCGGCAAGAAACTCAGCAAGTGCTGCTTTTTTCAAGTAGTTTCAAGAAAGTAATTTCAAGAAGTGGTCTCCAAACGTCGAATCCATATTACATTTTATGAATTCAATTGTTTCTCGTAGGGCGCCCGACATATATTCTCTGGCGCGGTTGGCAAGAATATCGCCAACCCCACCGCCATGCTGCTATGTTCCGCCAACCTTCTGTCGCACGTCAATCTGCCCACTTACTCGCGCATGATCAAAAACGCAATCAATACGTGAGTACATCATCATCACCAGCCTTTTTTTTTAGTTTCTTTTGAAGTGAAAACTTCTTTAGCGGCATTGTGCACTTTTTTTTGTATGGGTAAAAAATGTTAAACTCCCGTCAGGTTAAACACGTGGGCTGATCGCATCATGACACACGATAAAATTGGAAAGGTTGTTGACTTTCAATATATTATACGATACATAGTAATATTTTATTTTACCGTATTATAATAAAATCTAGGATGTCCACGTGGCAGCCTTATTGCGAAAAAATGCATTTTTTTTACAATAGACATCTATTAGCTAGTTGCGCTTAAATGTGATTCATGTAAGTTGATTTCTTTACAATAGATGTCGCTAAGTGCGCTTAAACGTGATTCATGTAGGTAAGTTGATTTTTCTGAGATAAAATTTTCTAATGTAATATAAATTGTCATGTTTGTGTACGATAGCGCAAAAAATAAATATTGTATTCTACCACATACGTGATAGTACTTTTATACTGATAACTAAAGCAATTCGTGCAAAATTATTCCCTAACCATTACAAAATACCAAAAATGCACAACGTCAATATTCAAGTTTTCACTCCTGCCGGCAATTCCGGAGTGCAACCCGTCTTTTTTTTTTGAGTGTATATGCTGTTGGTCGCAGATGACCTTTACAGCGTCACCGGGTTTGGGGACGGCGAGATCCTAAGGGGACCTCAAGCCGAGAATTGGCGAGTGCCTCTAGAGGTATTCCGAGCGGATGGCATCTCTCCGCGGGGGGAGTCTCCTTACCGTCTGGAGCCTCTAGACCACTCAAACCTGAGGGTGTCGGCTCAACTAGAGGGCGTCTCAGAGACTCGAAGTTCGGCCCTAGTTAGCCGTTGTCGTTGGGGATCACCAGCCTATTAATGTCCCCACTGCTGGGCCACAGGACTTCCTTACAGATGGAATACGGAGATTGCGCCGGGACCCACCACGCGGGCCCAGAGCGGATTGATGGGTGCTAACGACTACAAATGCAGCCCGGGCCAACGGCTTAAAAGTAAATTTTTGGTCACCCATCCAATGACCAACCACTACGAAAGTTGCTTAACTTCAAAGATCTCAGCCGAACACTAACCACTTGCGCCACCGAGTTCCTCTTCGCAGTATATACAATGTTGTTTTCGGATTTATACTAGGTGCTATCCGCTTATACTTTGTGAAGAAAACAAGTTTTGTAATTAGGGTGGTAATCAAGCTTATGGGCAGCCTGATGGTTAGCGGCTGCCATAGCCTATAGAATAGACGCTTGCGATACAGTATTATAAATTTAAGGCATAATATCCTAACAGATTTCCCCCTACCTCGTAAAGGGAAATGTTACTCACCGAAAGAAACACAACACCACCGAAAGGTGGTTTTATTTCATTGCGGTAGCCGTAGGCTACGTGGAGGTTATTTCATCAAACGAGCTCTATCTTTCTTGTCTTGCTTCCCAATTTGTCATCCCTCATTTTACATATGATTTAAGTACTTTAAAAAAGTTATAGTATAAACTTCAAAAAATACACCTGTGCTAATATTGAAATTATGTACAGGGTGCTGAAGGACGGCAAAGTAAGGACCAAGGATCTTGGAGGCCAGTCTACCACCAAGGATTTCACCTACGCCGTTATCCACTGCTTATCGTAAATGATAGAGCAAACGGCTCCTACTTACAATAAGAATATTTATTTTTTATTATATTAATCTACTTAGAAAATGATCTGTCAAATCAATTTGCAACCCCATTCTATGTTTTAGATTTTTTTAAAATGTGCAGTATTGTTTACTCTCTCTAATTTTAAGTAGACAAAAATTGTTACCATTGTAAATATGAATAAAACCAAATAGTTTTAAAATGTTCATGCTGTTTTAATGCAATGAAACGACCTTATTTCCGAATTCAATAACGAATGTGTGGGACTACACTTCTGCTTTAATGCAATGTTGACGTAAAAAAAATATTTAAGATAAAACATAGGATGTTATAAAAGGCCTAGTTTGCCTTCATGGTTAATATTTTGGGCTCCATAAATGGGTTATTGTTTCCCAATAGTAAAATAAACTGAGTTCACGTTTTGATATGGCTACGCAGTTATGGATCCTTGTGTGTGAATGTCCAAAATAGCGTAAGTATTCAATGAAAAGAGGATTGAATTTAGTGCTTAGTCACGTTGAATGCTTGGAAACGTTGATACTAATTCGTCAGTGCACTTTATACGGGGCAATACGGGTGCTGAAGGCATTCGGGATGTATCCGGTGCATTGGTAACCCGGGTAATCTACTAGTAATTCCGGTAATTCGGTTCTTGTATAATTCTGTGAGCAGCTAGCTTCTTCACTCGATCTGATATCACATACTTCAGAGCAGCGGGCGGGACCTGTAGAAACAGTAAAGTCTTATTTAATCTAATTTATAAAATATTCTACGTATTGTGATCGCAAGATTCGATGGTGTGAAGCAACATAACGGAAGTTTTAAGATCCGTGACATCCCGCTTGCACCTACATCACGATTCATTTCGTTTATTGCGTCGCGACTCAAGCTAACTGCACAACCGCCATGAAATTTAAATTTTAATATATCGTACAAGGTTTAAATAACATTTCAATTAAAACAATTGTTAATTTCTAGCGAAAACGCCTTCTTGTGATGATAAAAGAAATACACATGCTATAAAGATTTTAACTATTCACCATAATATTCGTAAAATATAAACCCAAAATGCACAGAGCAAAAAGATTGAAAGATATATTTCAGGTCTATATATTATTCTTAACATAAGTTTGTGAAGCAAACCCGCATTACCTTGACAGGATCTCTGTACCACGTTTCTTGTGATAGCCGTTTGTAGACCTTGAATTCCGGCAACCAGCATATCTCGTTGATCCGTGGTAATAAGTCTGGTAGAGGTTTTGCAGTTCCTCTCTGTGATAAATAAAAATAAATGGCATTTTTGTAGAAGTAAATATTTTGATAAGATATTGGCGTTTGGTTGTTATTGACAAACTAGCAATGTCTTAGAAATGTGATGATCCCGCAGTTACGTCTGGAGGGTGAGGGGTAGATCGGGGAGTTGGTTAAACTAGTAGGTACAGGTGCAGGACGACTGCATAGCCGCTCGGACCAAGGTTCGTAGGGCTAGTCAGGTGACGCTGTAAACGGAGAAACCCAGGATCGGCTTAAGCGGTTGTGGACTGGGCTGCCTACCGGATGTGGGGTAGTTTGACGTCTGCGACGCTTGCATGAGCGTACGTCAAAGTATACGTACACCGACGAGCAGCCCTTGGAAAGTTCTCGCTGGCCGAATGCACCACGCAATTACCTGCGCCGAGGGGGCCTGTTAACAGCAAACCACGGGGCTGGTCATTGTACGTGGATATAATGGATTTTTTCTCCCCGTCATCGAAGAAAAAACAAAGGATTATGGAATCCTATGCAGGCTTTGAAAGACAATCTTAATATTGATGAACTAATTATTTAATTGCTATAAATTGGGAAGGGTAGTGTTTCAGAAGTACACTCGAGCACAGAATGGCACAGTTAGGTAGAGCAGAGATATTCTATTTGCATTAGACTGCGTGATGGAAATCTACTCACAGTACCTAATCCCCATATTTAAAAGAAAAGGATGTTGGGACTTCCTAGTCCACTAATGGATAAGCAGTTTGTTGTATCTGTTCATCGAATTACAAATGTCATTTGAGTCATATGTTGCGCAAACTAACTACGTTTATTATTTTAGGGCGCTTTGAGTACAATTATATATCTAATTTACTTGAGTAAGTACCTTAACAGGTGGTGGTCTAAAGTCCTTCCTTGGGCCGGCGATCTGGTTGATGTAGTCCATGTGTTTTTTCCACTCGCTCTCCGACCAGCCTCTCTTCTTCTTCACCTCTTTTGTGTCCTGTTTCTTAAGGTCCAGTACGCAGTTCGCCAGCTTGCTGTAGCATGTGGCGTTGGCAGCTTCTATCATTCTGTCGATCTTTTCTATTCTCTCTTGGCTGAATCGGTTCTTGTACATTCTTTTGAGGATCAGGAAACGGCTGAATAGCGCAAACGAAAGGAGATTGAGGTTAATATAGGTACCTACGTTATATAGGCACTTCCAAGAAGAACACGGATAGTTCTGCAATCTGGCTACAATACTCACTATATATCCAGACAGGCTACTATATCCTAGTCACTATACCAATTTATAAGCACAACCTTGCTGATCCTAGGGAGATAGAGTAATAGGCAACATTCTTAAACAACATTAAAGGATACTGTAGTTTATTACATTCTTCGGTAAGGTAAGGGCTACTTCTCCCGGCTTGCGCTTTGAATCGAGTTTGGGCGTTATTTTAAAGACCTAGTAAATATCTCCTACATGATGTTGGGTGTGAGTGGGACAATATAAAAAAAGGCACCCGATCCTTATCCAGCTCTGGCAACCTAACTTACTGATGGTCTCCTACTAGGTAATAACTAGAGGAGGATAATTTTCTAGATGAATACACCCACAAACCTGCAATGGACCTGCGTGGTGGGTTATGACCTGCCCTGCTTATAAGCATCGGTCTGTCTACAGGGTTGCTCAAGCTATAGGGATATAAGAATGATGGTAAAGAAATACTAACCGTATATAGGGCCAAGCAGCATCGTTTACTCTATCCGACAGTTGCGAGTTCAAGGCGGATTTCCTGATACCGCGCGGGGTCAACATGGGCATACCCTCGTCCGTATCGATTATATAATTCCTTGGCACACTCAGGATGTTTAGCCGCTTTGGTATTTTATACGGGAAAGTATTCGTTGGCGGGTCGAACTTTGGCTTACCCATTTCAGATAGCTAGCTATTCAGAGAATTATAGTAACGGTGGTATGTATGGTAGATGGATCGTTGTGATGTTGTTACATTTTTATTGAGAGTTATTTAGAATCCATTTTAGTTTTGGTATTTTGTGTACTGTTTGCAACTGTCGGTGATTGTGTGTGACATTTGCTGACATTATGACATAATGCGTGAGAATTTGAAAGTTCTTTTTCTCGAGTAATCTAGTTACATCATTTGAGTCATCTTACCTCATGCCTGCCTACAGTCATCTGTATATTGTACCCAAAGACTTTATTGTACCTCGCTTATAAAAAAAGTTGAACTTGAAACTCGAAAGGGTAACTCAGATCTACATAACAACTTTTAGATGTATGTAAAGAATTGTATTTTTTCTTTCATTACGTATTGATATTGTTTTTTTTACCTCGATCTTTTTGTTTGTTTAAAAAGTTTTTATTTTCCACGTTTTATAAATCAGAATAACATTTAAGGTAGGAACAAACTGAGCCCACGTACGCAACGTATTCAATGCAACGTGGTGTGCACACTTGGCCGACGTATACGACGTATATTGACATCAGACGCTGTTGTAATATCTTCAGGTGCACAATGTTTTCGGAGTCTGACAGTGAATTCGAGGACGATTTATTACGTTTTTTTTATATAAATGAATACAATTACTCCATAGGCGTATGCCCATGCCATTATTTAGACTTTTTTTTTTAAGTTTTGTTATACATTTGTTTTGTGTACTCAGTGCGGCCTTTTATATTTAATCATGCAAAAATGCGGCATGATCACTTATGTCTACTTAACTAATATAAATTTGGACATATTGTCCATCTCCTTTTTAATGAATATGATTTATTACGTTTGTTATATTTAAATGTAGATGAGATTTCCGCGCCAAAAAAAAAAAGTTAAGAGAAGATATTGGGTTCATGAGATAAATATAGAAAGAGAAAATGTTGCTGAATACCATACATTACTGAACCTAAGATCTAGAAACTCACTAGTCGTACGCGTACGATAGCGTATGATTATCCCCTCCACGTTCTCACGCCGATCTGGCGCGACAGATCGAACGTTGCATGGGACGCGTGTGACAGCGTTGCGTATGATAAGTGTGTTTCCAAGTCATATGTTTTCATACAAATTTCGTAGTTTAGATGTCATAATGCGTAGCATACGTTGCATACGTGGGCTCAGTTTGTCCCTAGCTTTAACCAAGTACCGGTTACCTGACTTTCTTTCATATCTCAATAAACAAAAAGGAATTGAGTAGATTCTGTTTGTAATTGAGGTGTTACATTATTTCCCCGAAAATGGATGGCAGAGGCCATCGAGAGCAATGGTAAGGCACTTGGTGTCAGCCTTGATTTGATATCGCTAAGGCATATAGGGTCAGGCCGTAGATTTTGCCACAAATAGCGCAATGGTGTCGCAAAAATTTCTACGAGTCCATAGCGCAGAGTGGCGCAAAATGGTAACGCAAAATTGTTAAGGAGTGCATATAAGATATGTAACGTAAGGACAGTGCTACAAAATAAAACTCACTTTTAATAGGTAAGTATGACAAACGTCAACTTTTACTCTTATCTTTAAGTCTTAAAAGGTGTTACAAAAAAACGGAGAGTTCTATTGCTAGAAATACAATTCCTTCACAGGAACTAAAATCGAAACCTCAAAAAAAACACAAATATTAAAAAAGCCAAAAAAATACCTGCAAGCCTATGTGTGTAAGCTCCTTTATTTGGTAGCGTAAAATTAGTAGCGCAAATTCTACGCCCCTGGTATCGCAAAGTTGCATAAAGTAATTTTTGCGCAACTGTTACGCAAACAAAACCCATTATAACTTGATAAATAAGCTATTTTTTAATGTAAAAAAGCCTTGAAAGATGTCAAACATTTCATTAAATCGTGCGCAATAATAAGTATAGATATAAATCAAAAACTTACCGTGATATATCAAAAAACACTCTCTGCAAAAAAGATGACACTTCCTTCTTTCAAACGATGTTGATGTTGGACTGAAAAAAATATGACCGCTGACAGCGTATTGACCATAGACAAAGTATGTCCGGTGTTGCCACTACTCAGACTTGAATACTGCTAATTTTTAAACACAACCAAATGGGCATTTATTAGCTGCGCAATAAAAAGTAGCGCAAAGGAATGGATTTTAAAGTTTTTCGAAAATGAATGAAAATTTATGAAATTTCTTAGGTAATAGGAAACGATATTTAAAATGTGGCTAGCTAACTATTATTGTATAGCGTAAAAGTAAACAGACTATCAAAAAGATTTTTATTTTTGATTTTACTTATGCTCAAAGTGCACCTCTACTCTACCGGGACGGATAAGAGTATTTTACGAAAAATTCATCGCTTTTTGTAGCAAAATATTTTATAAATTTCTAAGGTTTTGAAGATATTTAAATATATTTATTGATCGCGATTCATCATTTGTCAGGAAATATGATTCTGTTATTGAATAAAATCTAATTACCGTACTTTTTTTTTTAAATGTGGCGGAGAGTTATGTTACAACTAATGTGGCAAAATTTACGGCCTGACCCTATAGGGTGTGGCACAGGGCACTTCTGTCGAAACTTCCATCATATAGGCTCTCCGATGGGTTGTACAAATGGATTGACTAGCTTTCTGTCAGAACGCAGAATATTTCTTGTGGTTGACGGCGTCTCAACAGAACCCATAAATGCTGTAGTAATGATCCTACAAGGATCGGTTCTGTCGCCGACGCTGTTCATTTATCAATGATCTGTTATTAACTAACAACAGAAATCATTGCTTTACTCTGACAGTACTCTGATGCTACTTTTTACACAGGTCGGCCGAATTCGAATGGTAATAGAGGAGTGTAGAGTCACACTTGTGTCCGACATAGTAAATTATAAATCCGATGACATATTAAAATTATGAGGTTGATCCCTATTTTTTTAAGATTTATGTTTCTGTAACTTGGTTAATGGCTGACAACGTACGTATTGTTTCGACGACACTATTTTAGGCGCTGGTTGCGGTTGGTTATGACAATATAGCTACGGTAGTTATAATATATAGGTACAAGTATTTATTTAACTCATTTATGATCCTCTTGAAATTCGCACCCTTAGGCTGCGTTTCCATAGAAGCGAACCTGGGTGGAGTCTTTCGCTTGAAATAATCCCCCCGCAAGAAATCTATTGATGGCATTGCTCAAAATACACTGTTAATTTCGATTTGGAATGCGAATGGTCAATTTCTTAAAGACGTCCGCGCAGCTCCGCTTATGTGGAAACGTTGCCTTAAATGGCCTGAATGTATAATGTACGCTGCTTTAGTATGTATTCACGAATGCAAGAAATAAAACAATGAAACCATTTAAAATATTTGTATTAAATCTTAGCATTACAGTGTTGTTTTGTAAATTCATAACACAAATACTGATATCTTTCAAATTCTCAATAGCAGCCTTATTTCACATCTGTTTCACCTATAAAACGAGTCATGCAAATCGACTGAACAAAATCTACAGAACCCTTTCTATGAAAAGCATATTGAAAAAAATGGTGATTCAACACAGTGCTTAAAGAACAAGACATAATAAAAAATAAAACGTTTACATCAATACAGCAAATACCATAAAACATGCTCACAATAAAATATGACTTTAGTAAATTGTTGTACCGATACGTTAATCATCAGAAAATAAAATATGAGTTTGTGTGACAGTGACAAAGCAAAAAAAAAAGTCTTCTTATGCCGGAAGTGCTCAACTGTACAAAAGTAATAATATAATGAAACCACGCGACATGCGTATTTTATAGGTGAAAACCAAATAATTAAAAAAAATGACAAATATGTATGGAATGTCATTTAACAAAATGAGTGAGTGGCACTTATAAGCCAAAACATATGAAGGCCAATGCCACTCAAGGAGACACTAACTAATGATTCAAAAATTCTCAAAAAACATTCATTAAATTTCCGAAGTTGAGCATTCATCAAAAATAAATTTCATTAATTGACTACGGTATTTCATATTTTATGTTAACAACAGAAAGCCCAGCTAAGTATTTATCAACCCACATAATATACCATTATTAAGAGCAAAGTATGTTAAAATTAATTTTATTACAGACAAAAAAATACGCACCTTCTTAAATACTTAACAATAATATAACTTTACTTTGTTCAAATATAAATGTATCACAATATTAAACACAACGAAAAAACGAAAAAATCGAATTAAACATATCTATACTGTCTTTACGGAAATGTGCTAGTTAATTAAGTACAGACTTAATATCATTGGTCCGAGTAACTATACTGTCCCCCTTTCTCGCGTCACGGATCTTCCATCCTTGTCTGTTTTCATCTTTGTTTGCAGATGATTAATAGAATCAAATCAAATAATTTATTACTTTCATGCAGTTACAGATATTCTTAAACAATGTTCAAAGCATAACTAACTCGTTTCCGTGAACAAAGCATAGCAATTTTGTTGTTAATAAAAATCAAAACATGCTATGTTAACCAACTAACAATAAGTTAAATACCCTTCAAAATAAATTAAGTAATTTCACTGGTAAGTATATGGTTTCAGATATTAAGACATTGAATACTAGCAATAATAACAACGTGTAAAACGATTATATATGATTTTGACCTTTTTCCTATATTGAAGTAAAATATAAAGTTACACTATTGTCTATGTGCGACGCTTTACTTGTCTATGTGGTTCAAGCTTCGCTATTTGTTGTCGACATCAATGGTTGCGATGACGCCGGGCTGGGGTGTTTCATATACGGGTGTTGGGGGGTCTTCAACGATTTTTTTGTGTTGATTTCTTCTGTTGACGATGCTGTGAAATGTTTGAAAAACTTTATTATATAGTAAGATAAAATAAAAAAGCTTTCAGCGAAGACTACGGGTGGCAAAACTACAGGGTTGGCAATCATATGCAAATTATAAATCAAAGATCATATCTTATTAAATTTATTATATCTGGTTTGCACCAGGTTTTATGGTAAAACCATTTCTGAGCTCCCAGGTTCCATTCCCAGGTTATAAAATGGTATATCTATAATTGTTTCTGGTCTAGCATATGTTGCGTCTTTGTTAACATCTTATTTGCTTTAGCTGCTTATTTTTAGAGAAGAACAACATATAAGTTGTCTGAAAATTTGTTTACTGATTGACAACAGATTTTTATACCCTTCCCGCCCCTCGCATTCATAAGGAATTATGAACAGGCGGATTATAGACTAAACATGCGTACTGCGATATCCGGTAATTTTGGATTTCATAGTAGAAACAAGGGAGACGACACAGACTCGTTTACGCGACTTCATACACACATCAGATTTGGAAAAGCAATTTACAGTTATGTTTATGTTTCGATAATTTTATTTTGTGATAAAATAGAATAATTGGTTAAAATATAATAATGCTGAGTGGTAGGTTTTTAGTTATTTTTTTGGATTGCCATCTGTTTGCAGTATGTACTATGTATACTGATACTGCTTTATGTATATTCCTTTGTCTTTCAAAGTCTCCAATTCTTGATTTAACAATGATGTGGTACCAATCATCGAGTAGACCAGCCTCTAATACTCATTATAAACTAAATTTGATAGAAGTATATCTCAAATATGCTCTATAGAGACTGAAAAGGGAGTATTACTGTCAAAGGACACGGTTTAAATTTGTATCGAGTCAAGTCTCCGGCAGGCTCCAAATTTTTATGAGATGTAAGTACACACAATTATAAATCGTTTGCCATAAAAAATAAAATTAATTTTATCCCTGTTTCTTTAAATAATTTTTACAATATAAAATTATTGATTGGCAAATGACAAGTTAATTTATCATTTTTTTGTTGCTAAAGCATCAAATATATTCTATTCTATAGGTAACTGAAGCAGTGTAATTATTTTGTTCATCTTTTATTACATTAACTAATAATGAATTGAAAGATGTACGTGTATTTTGTGGGTATTTTATTTCAAGAAGAAATAAGTTCACCACGATTTCTCGAATATCATACATGTCTGGACTGATTGACAATTGTTACAGTGATTGAGTTGACGTTATAAGCTGCCACACACTAAAATATTACGTTACTTATGTCGGCGTGGCCAGCATCCTTACAAAATTGATTATTTTTTAAACTCAATTTAAAATTAATTGGGGATAAATAAAAAAAATAAAGTATATGTTCATGTTAGAATATAAAACAAGCTTTTAAATGATATATGTTTCTGTCGCTGCCGGAATCCGACTACCACTTTTGAACAGTCTCCTTTAGTTTATATTCATGCCAGAATCAGGCAGAGTGTGTTAGTACACATATTTTATCTAACACAGTCATGCAAGGAAAGTTAAGTGTAGAAGAAAGCCATTCATTGCTACAGTGCTATTCAGAGTCAGACATACTAAAGTACAATCTAAACAGAATAAGCAGGAGAAAAAAAGAAAAAAAAAATACAGACATGGTATCTCGCTTCAAGAATTTCTACCAATTTATGAAAGCTCTATCATTTGGAAATAAGTTCAAAATGACATTTTAAGTAAGACTATAAGGTTCTATGATACCATTTACTGGAAACATTTTCAGAGTTAAAATATGACAAACCAGAACCTTCGGTAAGTATATCACATAGAAATAGCAATTTGAATTAATTGGAGTTTAAACTAATTTCTACGACAAAATATGTCTCATGATTTTTTTTATTTGTTCCTGAAAATTGAAAACCTTATTTATTTACTTAACGCTGCATATGCCTATGTATTAGTCAATATTTTAGCTAGTCGAAGTCTTCAATATCTTAATTCAAATTTGATGTCCACAAAATATTGCGTTCGTGTGTCTTAAATAACTCACGAAGGATTCTGTTTCAAATATTTTTTGTACATTCGTAAACTGATAACAACACTACAAAATAATAAAATAAAAAGGAGTGCATGCATAATATAAATAAAGCAGAGAGTTTGTGAAGGTGTTAATGGAAAATTTATATTTTATAGATAAATAGATATACATATAGGGCAAAAGACGCAATAGATAAGAATAAATCCAAGCACCAAATAATCCCACCACATCCCCCTTGTTTCTCGAAAACATTGCAAGCTTCCAATAGTAAACCGTCACCCAATATTGTTGTTCAAATTATAATGTTCATAAACGGACATACCTCCCCTATTTTCACACAACGCAACGCGAATGATGTTGATGGCGATATTTTTTTATATGGAAACAAGAAAATAAAACACACATTGAGTATTACGAAGCTTTAACAACCCTAGTTTAAGGTAAGCTAGCCAAGTTCCAAGATGGCGTTAAATTATTTACCAGACAAAAACAATCGTTAAGTAATAATATTATTAAACAAAGTTTAAATAGTTTTTATCTACACCCATGCTTTAAAACCGCTATTAGAAGATTCTGAAACAGTTAGCTTATTGCCAACATTAAAACTCCAATGTCATAATAACACTCTTAAATCTCTTCCGCGACAAGGGCTTGCGCTTGTTCATTAGACAGTCACAATTTTCACTGCTGTAGCGCCGAAACTTTTCATGAATTTTAAGTTCTTAGAACGCCCCATGGTCTCAGAACCTTTTATAGAAGATTCATATCATGGGCGTAGATATATACTTGTATGCATCTGTTATAATTAAGTATTAAAACACTCATGTGATACTATTATCACCACCCACATTCGTGTTTTAATAGTCCTCATTATACAACAGTTGCATCAATAACTATTACTCTATAGTTACATAAATTGCTTTACTTTAAAGCGCCATCTAAGACAGTTGCATTATAGGTCCACTCGTTGGAATAATTACACCAGACATTGGGAATCAACTGTGCACTGTAGGACCCTTTTCCTACTGTACACTGTAATTCATCATTCTATCTATCCTGAACCTAAGCCGTTGGAATATTATGACTGATATAGATCAGTTTGTTTGCTCTTGCAGTATAATATGGTGGCTCACAACCATATATACACAATTTACTGCTTACTCCAAATGTGTAATTATTCCAGCGAGTGTACTTTAACATAATGACAAACTTTTTATCGCGTATTTATTAAATAACATTCAAAGAAACCGCTTCTTATTTCCATATATTTAATTATTAATGTCTTAAACATTCAAATATAAATAAATAATTAACCCTTTTAAAAACAATTATTCAAAAGAATACGCGATTAAAAAGTTGTAACTTTTAAAAACTATTTTATGCCGATTATATTAGAAAACATCTTAAATTAAAAAAAAATACTAGTACAATCAACATCACATCAGATGATAAAAACCATTTAAGTTAATAAAACGAAGAAAAATATCACACTATTTCCGCAGTGTTTTGCCTCTGTTCATCGTTTCATATCGGCACTTCACATGGCTATATTTGTAAACTTGATAACAGTTTCTCCTTTTCACTCCCTATAGAGTATGATAAGGACAACCTGCTGTGAAAATGACAAATAGCAAATATAATGCAGAAGCCATTTAAGTTATGTGAATACAACACTGCGTAAAAACTAGTCTAGGGAAATTTATTTTAATAAAGATCGATATTTATTTAAGCTGCTTCGTTTTATTTGTTCAAAGGTAAATAAATACATATACCAAAAAACTATTTTAATTTTCAATATAGATACGAATTGCCAAGACTCGCCAAACTTTTGCAAAGCTATCGGTAGGTACAAGTTATACGTAAACAAGATGAAAATAATATAATTAAGGGACCGTCAATAAATTACGTCACACTTAAAATAAGGGAAGGGGCTCCAAGAAGACAAGAGGTGGGAGGAGTTATATGTTTTAGTGACGTCACATTTCACAATCTATATTATTAATTATTTCTAGATGTAAAATTGGGAATAGCTAAATATGTCCTGCACAACAGAGGGGATCTCTGTTAAATATGCGCAATGTGAGCAGCAGTCATTCTGTAAAATAAAATCTTACTTCGGAATTAGAAAGCTCCAATTTTTGACATTAGTTTGAAATGAATAATGTTATGTTTGTTTTGGACATTAATAGACTGATGATGATGATGATGAAATTAAATTTATTTATTCACACAAAACAGAGTAGATACATTTTGGTGGTGATTTTCATTTAGTTCGTCCATTTTGAAGAATACTTTAGTAGCTGTGAAAAAGACGACGCCTCCTCGTCTAAATTATGAAATGTAACGTAATTTATGGATGGACGCTTCCCGCTCAATAACAGTATGCATCTGATAATATACTCATCAAAAAAGTCTAAGCAACCTTTTGTAAGATATTGAATTTTTAAATATTTATTTACTTACTTTTATAACACGATCGAAAAGTTCCTATTTTTAAAAACAGCCAACCATAGTCTAAATATTATATATTATACCAATCTACATTGCTAAGAAAAAAAATTAACATCAATTAATAAAACATACAGTTTCTGTAAATGATACGTGTTGCTTTAGACTTTTTTGATGTTCGTATTAGTCGTAGTAGTGTGTATTGTAGCAACACAATGTAAGCCCATTTATAATACAAAGAAATACAAACCTTTGCTTAATATACGACTATAAGTTATTTAGTTGTTATAATACTGTCAATAAAAAAGACTATCGATTATGGAAATATGATTCAAAACTTTTGTGATCGTTATTTGCTATTTCATTACATGCCCATAGTAACATCTTAGCAAATATCTGCCATTTAAATCAAAGCTGTAATTCATGAGGTGAAAACTGTACGAATTGAAGGTTCTTAAATAAATAGCGCAGTTACAATGAGTAAATGATTCTTAGGGCCGATTCAGACCGGAATGGCAGCGGCCAGCAGCGACACGGCAAACACTGAAAGCAGTGTGAAGTAATTTTAAACTTTATCTATATACTTATAAATACCAATATCATTTGAAAAGTTCCTACGGTTTCGCCAGCGGGCGGCATCAAACACGTCCGCAAAAAAACTTCGAGCTTTCCAAGTGATAATGGTATTTTAAGTATGTAGATAAAGTTCAAAATTATTTCACACCGATTTCAGTGTCAAAGTGCTCGCCGCGTTCGTCGCTGCCGGCCGCTGCCATTCCGGTGTGAATCAGCCCTTGTTTATCGACATTGTCTAAAAAGTACATACATACTTATATTTTTTTTCATCCCACCACCTCGGAAAGTGTAATTTTGCGCTTCGAAATCTGGCTGGAAAATTCTATTTTATTCGCTTGAGCGGCAAAGTAGATTTGAATTTAGAACATCACATATAATGAGTACTCAATATAATTGTAAATTCAAAACGTCATTAAACCTATTTAATGTAACCTCTATGGTGCCAAATTTATGATTAGAACTTTTTAAATTGTGAAAAAAATTAAATTTGGAACCTTCTTGGTTTCTTTGTTTTATTTGCGTGCTTCGCGCCATTCTAGTTTTTCACGTTTTATTGCTTAAATATTTTGTCATTATAAATTGTTTTCTTTTTCATTTTGTCATTTCCTCGCTGAGGTGGGATGAAAAGTTACGTATTGCACTCGAGTGGAAAGATTTTTCACCTTGTGCTCGTTTGTTTCCCTCGCTGACGCTCAGGATTCTAATTTAGAATCACTCGCTGCGCTCGTGATTCAACTTTAGAATCCTTCGCTTGCTCGGTCATCCAAATCGAGCACGCGGTTAAAAAGGAACTTTCCACTCTTGTATAATAAATAACTATTATTAACCTAAAATAAAAACGTTTATTGCCTTTCAACAAAATAAAGAACAAACACATCACATGTTTTATGTTGTCTGTCGCTATTTTATAAACAAAAATGTATTCTCCTATTTTAAATATTTCAAGAGTTGTTAACAGTTATGTAGCAAGGCAAATTCATCTTTATTATAACTACAGTCTGTTTTTTTTTACTAGACAAAACTGACATTAACTGAGTTGCCACCTTTTTTGCCTTCTTTAATTGTGATATGTCTGCAGAAATTTATGTACGCGAGCAACACTGATGGCATCTTTTTTATTTTTGTTTAATTTCAAGACATCCAAATACGTGACTACGTACTTGAATTTTATAATAGTATCATTTGGAAATCTATGTTTTATTGAAATCGTTCTATATAAATGAAAAGTTACGATTCAAGAAATCGGTATCAAAGGCACTACACTGAACAAGAAGCTGCCTGCCGGTCATTCATAAATTCGATATTTGTATGCATTAATTGATAAATTAATGTTTGTATATCAGTGATAAAAAAAACGACTTTATTTATAATGATTTCATGTGCGGAGTGATGACATATGAATTCAGATGATTTTAACATGTACATTGTCTGTAGATAGAGGCGTTAATCGTACGTACCACCCTCTGATCTTCTGGAAGATATAGATCGCCGTCATCGGGATGGGCGTCATGATAGCTGCCGACACTGGCACCACTGGGAATATTTAATTAAAGCGTTAAAATAATACAAATCTATTGGAAAGAGACACAAATATAAAGACACACTGATGCGGTCAAAGGGTTCGAATATCCCGTAAATTCGCGGAAAATCAACAAATATGTAATCGCAGTAATAAAGAAATCAAAATGCCTGTAAGGGGTGCGACTTCGCCTAGGAGTGCGAGATGTATGCGTAGAATAAATGCAAAAACTGAGGCGGCCGAATAATCAAGTTAAAAATCATCTGTACCATTCGCACGAACGATTATTGAATTGGAATTATTAAATTCGATCTCGATACGCGTCAAGTTTTGTATGGGGTTTTTTTTTAATTCTCGTTACGTCCTTTGTGGCGCTGTTTATATTTCCATACAAAACTTCTTGACATTTACCGCGTATCAAGATCGAAGTATCCAAGTATTAAAAGAAACAGAGGTAGTTCTGTACCCTTAGCACGAACGAATATAGAATTGGAATAGTTGAATTCGATCTCGATACACATCAAGTTTTGATGTTCTTTTTTTAATTATCGTTACGTCCATTGTGGCGCTGTTAAAATTTCCATACATAATTTCTTGACATTTAAGCCGCGTATCAAGATCGAAGTATCGAAGTATCAACAGACAAAGGTTAATAAAGTGACGTTGTTCTCGGTCACCTGTAGTGATATCCGCGTCCGGTTGATCGAGCGCGTATCTGAGCAGGAATATTGCGATGCCGGTGTTCTGTATGCCGGTCTCTATGGAGATGGCCAGCGCGTCTTCATGCGGCCTCTTGCATACCCACGCGAGGAAATACCCGAACATGTACCCCAGCCAGGGGATGCCCATGCCCGCTACTATGATCTGTGGCCGAGCAAAGTATATCTTTCAGTGCGACAAGAATCTTTGCAAACATTGGAAGTTAGAGAGAAGGAGAACGTTCGCTGTAGAAAATAGTGTCCCAGAAATATGGACAAGATAAGTGTCTCAATAAAAGCGGGCTAATTTGAAATGACCAATGCCGCGAAGAAAATTTGTACATTATTCAACTAACTTCATCTACTTGTACTCATAAACAGCTAACTTCACAGATACTATTTACCGACAGCAGCGCGGCTGGTGGCTGTAAAATGAACTATAAATTATACAAACTTTCAGGGCAGGCGGGCTAATGCTTTAGTACGTAGCGGTAGTTCTCCTTCTCTCTAACCTCCATGTTTGCGAAAATGAGTCACAGTTTAGGGGGGCGCCACCGTCTACGTCAATGACATACAAATTAAGACGATTACAAAGTCAGCGGCGTTAGTTCCAATTTTCGCCATATTCATAAAGATCTGCATCGGACTATATGCATCTTCAAATAGGGATGATGACGGGGTAAAGTAAACGAAATTCTATTGAGTCCGTCAGTTACATTATCAAAAAATAATAGATAGATACTTATTTTTTCTTTTGGAAACCGACCAAAAAATCACAAAGATAAAACGTGTCAGAGTTTATGAACGGGGGCTCGTGATGTCACTTTTTAGTAAAAATTGTAGGAGACGTGACGTCACGCGACATTGCAAATGAATATTTCTCTGTAATGTTTTGATTTTGTGAAAAATAATGAAAAAACATGTGTCTTCTACTTTTTGATAATCTACTGGATAGACGTAGAAAAAGTTAGTCATCATCCCTATTATCGAATGGGGACCTTTGACTGTTTTATTATCTAGAACAAGTAAATATATTAAGTTTGACCAGAGGTTGGGCCAGGAGAGACTTGCGCTATAACGCGTTACGTAACGAAGCGGTTTACCCTCCCAGAAGTTATCATTTAAACAATGCGCTTTGGCCTCTGTTGTAGTCATAAACCTAAACTCACCCTCCAAGTGAACAACTCGAAGATGTACAGGTTGGTGACGATGGCGAATATGATGATGAACAGCAGCACGGTGGTGGAGAACACCTTCAGGATCCGCACCATGAAGGAAGCCAGACGCGGCGTATATCGCTGCATTGCCAGCCCGATGCCCAGTGGTATCACAAGGCCTATCACGAAGGTCGCTATCCGTGTGTATGGCACTACTATGTCGGCGCTACGGAATACCACTTGGCCGAGGGAGAACAGCCACAATGGCATAAAACCTGAGAGACAATGAAACGAACGTTTAGTTAAGGTAGTTTACGCGTAAGTAAGCCAGCCCGATGCCCAGCGGTATTACGGGGCCTATCAGGAAGGTCGCTATCCGTGTGTATGGCACTACTATGTCGGCGCTACGGAACACCACTTGGCCGAGGGAGAAAAGCCACAATGGCATGAAATCTGAGATTCAATGTAACGAACGTTTAGTTAAGGTAGTTTACGTGTAAGTAAGCCAGCCCGATGCCCAGTGGTATTACGAGACCTATTAGGGAGGTCGCTATCCGTGTGTATTGTACTACTATGTCGGCGCTACGGAACACCACTTGGCCGAGGGAGAACAGCCACAGTGGCATGAAACCTGAGAGACAACGAAAGGATATTTTACGTCTTTATAAGTAAAAGAATACTGGAAAATTTCAAATTGAACCAAATATTAGAACCAGCATCTTTCGAAATTCGAGCGAAAGCACTTTAATGATTAATGTGAAACTATTAGTTATAGCGGAAACAGTTTTAGGGTAATTACCCGGTTTGGAATTGACTTTTATATATAAAACTTTCCTAATGACCTCCTCGATGAAGTGTATGTACACTGGGTTTCGAGATGTATCCTACTTAGAAGCCCTGGACTCAAATATAGGTGTTGCAGTTTGTATGAATCATGGCTGTTTATATATATTTCTATAGATATACTTATCTATAAAGAGCTCGATGGTACTACTGGAAGTTCAGTTTGAGATTGTGGAAGTCAAGTAACTTTCGCAATGGCCGGTCGTCGGATGGGTGACCAAACATTTATTATCTCTAGCTCCTCCAAGCTTCAGAAGGTCGACGGTGTGACATACTCCGTCGATACAGACTGCATCTGCAGTCGTTAGCACGCATCATTGTGCACCCAACAAATACTTATTTTCAGGGTAATTCAAGAAATCATGTCTGAAAATGTGCTTTTTCATGTTAAAAAATTGACGCGTCCTCTCGAATTAGTCGAAAATATTGATTTTTCAATAAAAAGATTTTAGAATAATAGTTGCTCAGAATTAGTCAATATATCCATTCCCATACTTACTTTTAATAAAATATTTTTCATCTCGAGATAGGGTGGCGTTCACCCGTTCGTGTTTAGTAGAATTGCTAGGCAAAACCATTGCATTGACTGGACTGGACTAATGATGATATTGAGGACACTCACCGAACGCGGCCAGCGTCGATATTGTGGTCATAGCAAGGGAAAGGTTAAGGTTCCCGCCCAATATGAAGGTCCATATATTGGAAGCACCACCACCGGGTGCTACTCCAGTAAAGAACATTCCCAGTCTCAAAGCTGCTGCAGATTCACCGGGGAATATCAGGTAACCCAGACCGAATGACATCTGTGTGACAAACAACGTTATATTAAAATTTAATCGACAAAATTGATTTATATAATAAAAATAATGGTGGTTTATGAAACCACGATGCAAGTGACTCTTGCAATGAATGTAATATTGCGACATGTTGAAGATGAAACAAAAAAAAGGTAGCGATGTAATAAAAGTTTAACTTTAATCAATGACACATCTCTGTGATATATAACGTTCTAAAAAATATATAGCGTCAACATTTATTTATCATCAGAGAAAATTGAGTTCTCAATAATGCGATGTTAAATTACCGTGATTTGTTTTGTCCTGGGTCTTTGGTCTGTCATTGAATGGGTGACCAAAAATTTACTATTTCGAGCTCCTCCGTGCATCGGAAGGCACGTGAAGCCGTTGGTCCCAGCTGCATCCCATCTGCAGTAATTAGCTCCCACCAATCCGCATTGGGCCCGCGTGGTGGCTCATGGCCCAGTCAACCTATTCCATCCATAGAGAAGGCCTGTGCCCCAGCTGTGCGGACGTTAATTAGCTGATGATGATGATGATGATAAGTTAGATGGTTTTGTATATGACTTACCAAGGGCATAAAGAGAAACTGGCCGACCATCCCTATGATCGGTCCTATAGGCTTCTTCATTACTTCTTTCACAGTCGGCCAATGCATAGCACAACCGAAATTAATGAAGATCAGAGATACCTGAAACGAAGAAATTCAATAGAACTACGTTGCAACAGCCATGATCACGGAGTAACTGAAGTAATTTTGGGTAGATGTTATATCGGAGATTCATAAAAAACAAGGTAAATGGTAAAAATCCCGTTAATAACTATAATGTTAGTGACCATGAAAGTTTAAAACAATATGACTATATCAACAACTCGCATTAGCCTCGTAGAATGAGCATAAGATATTTTATTACGTTTTTATGACACTGCACTATCAAAGTACTCAAAATGAAGTTTGTCAGTTAGACTTATCGCGTAGTTCATACAACGGAGGCTGGTCTCAACAATATAAAATCTATACTAGACCTTCAGCATGAATGAGATTTTGTAAAACTACCATTTGACTTATTATAAAGCAGTTTAGTTTTTACGTATATTTTGTATGAGTGCCTTATGAGATCCCGTTGATAACTACAATGTTGATATAGTCATCGATCAAGGATATTAAGCTTTAAGCGATAAGGCCGCCCATTGCATTACGTGTACTAGATGGTTTTGTGCTTAATTTTCAATGTTTTTTGTGGTATACAATAAAGAGTTTTTGTATTGTATTGTATTGATATTTAATCTTTGGTAGAATGTTTTACTTACGAAAACAGCAACACTGGTTGTGAATACTGTGTCTATGACCCGTTCTGGTCTCAGTACGGTGACCGAGAGCGTTTCATCGGCTCTCGTCACTTGATCCTTCCGTTTCCCTTGCACGGATATGTCTGTTCGACCTGCGGTAAAAATAATATAATTGCAACTAGAGGGTTCCCGCAACTTTGTGTGGAAATATTGGTTTCCCATACAATCTTCCATCCCCAATTTTCACCTCCTTAAAGGAAGATTTACTGGATTAACACTATCCTATGTCCTTCCCCACAACTCAAACTATCTTTATACCAAATTTCATCCAAATCGGTTCAGCTGTTTAAGCTTGAAGAGGTACCAGACAGTCACATTTTCGCATTTACTAAATTAGTATGGGGGCAGTATGGATGATGATGACCAGATGAAGGTTGTTCCGTAGCGTAAGAGATTCTTTATTCATTTATTCGGTAACTTTCCAAGAAAACACAAATTGGAAGATCGTTTTTTTTTTCTTAATTATGTATGGGGTAGGTGACAAACCGTACTTCGTTCTAAAGCCTACCACTGTGCTTTGTGTGTTGGTACCACTATACGGGCGATGCAAGCGCCAATGAAACGGTAGTTCGATTCGGATCCCCGGCGTGTAAGCAGCTATTAATCAACACTCAAGTCTTTTAAGTTAAATCAAGTGTGAGGACTCTTTCTCCGGAAGATATCGCGACCCTTCTGACCAATAGTTTCCCTAGTTCGTTGACGAGCCCCGTTCTGCAGCCTAGCCCTCGGTACCCGTGGCGGAGTAAGGAGCGTTTGCAGTAAGTCACCAAACCTCGGCTTTTTATCATACAAAGATAAATCCACTTCTTCACACTGTGGGTGACTACGATAACAAATGAGATACTTTTATAGGTATCATACATCCGATTGAAGAAATAGCAATGCAGTTGATTAAAACGTTGCAGAGAGTGAGGACTGCTGATATAATTTTACCATCTGCTCTGCGTAGCGGGCTCATTCTGTATATATTTCTTTTGATTGTGGATATTTTATTGCAAGACATTGGCACTTTATTTTGCTATTCATATTGTAAAGGACAATGGGCAAAACGCACCCAGCTCCGCCAACAATGTAATTAGTATGAATCGATAGATCTATGAAAAACCAGCCTTTTTTATTATGGCACCAAAAAAAAAATAACCTGGGGGTCAAAAGATATACACCTGGGTATGTTCTATATTAGGGGTTAAGGTTTCCGCACATAGTCCTTATAGACGACCTTTGTGTGTAAGTCATGGGGACCGGTTACACACGGGCATATTTAAATAGCTCCTTATAGAGAAGCTCGATGGCGCAGGTGGTTAGCGCGTTCGGTTGCGATCGTTGAAGTTAAGCAACTTCCGCAGTGGTCGGTCATTGGATGGGTGACCAAAAACATCTATCTCGAGTTCCTCCGTGCTTCGGAAGGCACGTTAAGCCGTTGGTCCCGGCTGCATCTGCAGTCGTTAGCACCCGCCAATCCGCACTGGGCCTGCGTGGTGGGTCATGACCCAATCTCCCTATTTCATCCATAGGGAAGGCCTGTGCCCCAGCAGTGGGGACATTAATAGGCTGATGATGATGATATTTAAATAGCTAAAGAAATTCATTCAATATCAATAGTACTTTCGTTTTATAATATTAGCAATAATAAGTGAGTGAATCATATCTTACTGTACAACCAGATACAAAATACTGAACAACAAAGCCTACCGACTATCCTGCTTGCTTGCTGCTTGCACTTACTGAGACTCCTCAAAACGTCTAACAGGGTATGGGGGTTGAAGGATGTGATATTGCAGTTGCCGTTGCAACTAGTCTACTCGTATGCAGTCCTATGTCTTACATTTTGTGCGCTCCCTGTTATTTCATTGATATTTAACTAACACGCTTTAGAAATAGGAACACGATTATCATCGCGTACGTCATTATAATCGTACGAGCTAATAAAAAATCTATGGATCAATTTAAATGCTCGTACTCAGCACACAAACATCTGCCCCCACCAGGATTCGAACCCGGGACCTCTCGAGCCAGCGACACCATGAAACCCGGCGTACAAACCACTCGACTCGGATATATTAATTGATGACCTCCGTGGTCGTCAATTAATATATCCGTTCTATATACTCGTCCTTGTATCTTTAAATATTATGTTCGTTATAGTTACTTTTACCTATGGAATTGTACCTATTTAACCTAAAATAACTAAAGACTCCCGCGATGGAATTTGATGCGCTTTGGCACAAATGATCATGACTATGATACCTTTCAAACAAATGTAGTTTAAGCCGTGGCGGACGTGGGTGCAGTGTCCATGCAATTTTGCCCATTGTCCTTTTTAAGAATATGACAGCAAACTCTCCTTTTCTATTCTTAAAAGAGTTTGAAATCTTAATAAAAAATAAATAAATGTGAGTGTGTCAGTGAGCTAGCTTTATGAACTATTATATACATAAAGCGCTTCAAATTACTGTTTGTATTATAAAGGACCCGATAAGACAACTTAGGCCTAACGAGTGGCAGAATATTGAAACTACGCTCATATTTGCATGGGAGTTACAAATATAAATGTATTTTTAAACCATTTGAAATAACTCACCCAGGAAATTCCCATAGACCCGCAACCTTCCCCGCCAAGTGTCGGAGGCCGCATCTTCCTCCGTTAATTTATACGTGGAGTTCACATCCACTTTTGCTATGTGCGTGTTACTAGATGTAAATGACAACTCATCACCCGGCTCGAAACCATTGCCTGAAAGAAAATATAGTAAAATTATTAAAATAAATAACGAAGGAGCGTCAAATAAACTTAGAGATCAGGCAAAATGAAAAGTCACAAATTCGCATAAAATTGGGTCTTATTTGGGTTTTTTCGGATTTAATACTGAACCAAAGCAGAGCTGTAGCCAGAGTAGTATTTAAGGTAGGGTAGCGGTAATTACAGGGGCATAAACAGGGGTGTGGCCTGCCATGGAAGGTAGGGGCTTTGCCCCATAATGCCCCCTGCTACGCCCTGAATTCGTAATAATACTACACAACGCGGGCGTCAAATAGGAAATATTAGTATGTGAATAAAAGTTTTTTAAAATTGCTTTGAAATCACAAATACAGAGAGGTGAGGTCAATTAATTTTAATCTTATGCTATCCCCGTTTATGCTTTAACACGTCACTTGCACAAAATTATGCTTTTAATATATGCACTACTTCCACCTTTTCATTTTCATAAAATTAAACAACATCAAACGGTACTTACTTGTCACCGTGAGGTTAGCGTATCCGGTGTAGTCCATGTGCACGGCTAGCGAGCTGGGATCGAACACAGCTTTCAGGGTCAGCGGCAGCTGCTGACAGAGCACCCACAGAGGGCACAGCGCCAGCAGGTACAAGATGATCAGGTGCAACGGCCATATCGGACACATGTTAACCAGCCGTTAGATCTAGAACAAACATTGTTTTTAAACAAACGTAAATGTTGTATTTGGTTTGATTGTTTTATGAAAGATAAAAAGATTATGCTGACCAAGTGCCTAAACGTACCTAGTACCTTTTTTATTTTATTTTTATCTGGAAAATGCCTAACGCATTCTTCAACCACCGGGGGAGCGAGAAGAAGGTATGTGGGAATCCTCCCTGCTCTTTTAAGCCAGCCCTTGGGCCGGTTGAAATGAATGGGCCCTGTTCATTTCATCCGGCCCAAGGGCTGGCTGAACAGAACAGCGGTACCTAATGCCCTGACAAGGGCCACTAAAAACCAGACAATGCTCCTGCACCATTCGCCCGACACGCAATCTGAGGACAGAAGTCCCCAGAGTGCGCGCCGTGCGTGCGTGTGTTGATGTTCCGGTAATCCGCTGCCGACAACTAAGTTTAGATCAACGTCATCACCTTTCTGGACTTCTGGAATACAGGCCAGTCCTATTGACAGAATCTCATAGAAAGAGACCAGTGCAAAAATTTGTTTCGTTAGTCCATAATCAATGTCCGGTGGAAGTAATCTTCAACATTAAGAGTTAAGTTTGTAGTCGTACTAGTGAATAAAAAGCTGAACGTTATATAAAGTGGTCAATCAAAGAGAAGTTATAAAAAGAGGTGAACACACCATCCAAGAAGTCCTATGAGTCGATGAGCATAGGGAGAGGAATAAGAGACTGCGTAAAAGGTGACAGGCAAAGAAAATAGTTATTGCTAAGATCAAGGCTGATCACCAAGTACCTATTACAGTAAAGAATAAAACTTACGACAAACCAAGTGAAAACTAGAATAAGGACGTGTAGGATCGTAGACTGCCTAAGTATTATTGTACCTACTACTGCCTATTCGATACGGAACGGAATATATTTCTGAATTTTCGTACACGTCTTGTGTGATTCTTAGTAACTTTGCTTGCTTTGGTATTTTAACTGCACGTCTTCAGGTAAGAAAGAAGATTATTGTCTTTTTAAAAGACAAGGCAATAACATTTATCACACTTCTGTGATACCTATTGAAAATCTGTTGTCTTATACAATAAATGACTTGTTAATACTGAACAAACACAGATAAAATTGAATAGCCTGTAATTAAATTCTCATATTATATGTGGGTTTATTCCACTTGACTAAATGGCATTCTATAAAATAGCATGTCATAATTAAAATGCTGTTATTAAAAGGCAGTTAAATGCAGTACATTAAATAATTATAAAACAGTAACGCTAAAATAAAAAGGGAAGGAAGTAAGTTATTTTCGAGAAACTGATGAATATATATTTATAAATCGACATATATATGGTTTATAAATCGGCAGACTTACACGAATAGATTAATTGAATGAGGATGTTCAGCACATAATTTGATACACTACTGCCCCGCACCACGGCTCAGAATCTACTGACTGACTGAACAGAATAATTTATTTGTTTGAATGGCAAGTGTCCCATTCAGTGCCATATCAGTGAACCCATAATCCACGATGCATCGTTAATAACGATAGTCCTTATGTCTGTCATAAAAGAGTAGGCATTGAAACTAAAGCTTTGAGATGCGTTACTAAATACGATAACGATAAAATCTCGTGTCGCGGGTCACGTATTAGATAAGCTCTGATAAACTTATTAATTATACTAATGCTAATATTTTTTATCAATAACAGGTATCGAATCGCTACCTTAATATACTTATATAGTGATAATGAATGAGTCCAAACAGACATTATACCAAGTACTACACTCGAGAGCAATGAATCCGGGTCACATAAATAATCCTAAAAATCTCGCAAACTAAGAATGCTAGCTTAATGAAATAATAAATATTATGTTTAATAGACAATCAAATACTCCTTAAATGAAAGTAATAAAATTAATGAGTCATCACATTTTATTTATAAAAAAATACATAAAAACAAAATTTGGCTGATCTCGCCTTAAAACAAAAATATGAAACTTAGGATAACGATAAACATTCCTGTAGAATTCCATTAAGATAAACAGAAATCAAAGTTTCAGCGATTTGTAACATTGCAACATTCTGATCTTGATCATACTTTAAATCTTGGCATCTATGTTGCATGTCAATTTTGTAGAGTTTATTCCCCTCTCCCCTTTTAAGAGTCTCATAGGAACCTAATATTTTACCGGTATAAAAAGTATTTTATGTCTCAATCCAGATAATAAACTATAAATGATCATCATTTCATCCCATTTTTCCAAAAAAATAAGTCTACATTTTATTCCATTGTGTGGTTGCAACTCTATCCATTTTTTTCATACAAAACGCGCGGTGCGGCAACAGTCCTGTTGTCGAGCGTTCGCGGTACCGGCGCCGCACTGTTGCAACACAAACGTAGAAAAGAAAGGTTCAATTTGTTTAGTAAATATCTTTAGGAATTTTATAGATACCTTCCGAGATCTGGCCGATGGACTGTGAGGAATGTGGAAAATGCCCGTACTTTTTTTTTATTAGACTCGATTACTTCCCTGACTCGTTCTACAATAGGCTAGTTGACCCTTTTTGGAAAAAGGTTTTAAATGGTTAATAAATGTTCTATTAGACCGAAAAAAAATGTATTGTTTTTTTTGAGACCTAGAAAGCTACAAATCTTCAATTTTAAAATAGACTTTTCATGGACATACAAAAACGCTGTCGGCCATTTTAGTCAATAGATTATCTATGCTATGACGTCGTCGGTAGTAAACAAAAACTCGTAAGCACGTAGAAAATAACCTATCTGAGTTTATAATAAAAAAAACCATGATTTCTAATAGATACCACGAAAAATATAGTGTAATTATCATTATTGTATTGTACAAGAATGTAAAAACACATCCTTGAAGACTCCAGGAAAGTTGTGGATTAAAGTGCCGAAAGAAATTAACCTACGCAATACCTGGTTAGAACTTGCTAAAAGTGATCCTGCAACTGACTCATAGTAAAATTTATTTTTGCGAAGATCACTTTGATGTAAGTACTCATTGAATAATATTTTAAGTCTCTTCATTTATTATCAGTTTTAATAATACAAGTTTTAAAGTTATGTATGAATGACATTTAGTTGTTTACTAAAAGAGACGTCACAATCGTGGCGGATGTGGCGAACAGCGTTTTTAGTGTTTAAAAAGTAAAGACTAAATTTTTTTTTAATTAAGTTTCTACAGCAATCTTCTGCTTTCATGATGTGAAATCGATATATTTAGGTTCCTTAGACCAAATACTTTAAGAAATAAACATTTATTTAATACAATTCGACATGAGTCAACTAGCCTATTGTTTTAATTGCTTCTAAATCCTGCTAAATTTACTTTGAGAAATTCGATTTGTTCCTTGAATGCACACGCACATAAAATAATCTCACTAGATCTATTATGGGTCTGCCCAAATGGATTTACGGAGACTAAATTCGTAAAATTTTGAAATGAACATCTCTGCCACCGCTTAGAACTCCTTTTTTACAATAAATGGTCCTTTGAAATAAAAAAGGACAAAGATGTCGTTAGGCTACGCGTTAAAACGTTAAAAAACTTGAGTAAAAAAGAATTTATATTGCCTGACTAGTGAATTCTATTAAGAATCAGTCAGTAACAAAAAAAAAAACAAAATCTTGGTTCTTTCTAAAGATATTGTTTTCATCGCAGTCAAGATTTGAATTTCAAATTTTTCCGAAATGTATTCTCATGTTTGGGTGACCGTGCGCAGCCAACGGGAATATGCGCGGTGACCTCGATACCTGCCTTGTTTTATTAAAGTTCGAATAACAACTTGCGATAAATACAATTCAAGTTCATAAGCTATGTTTCGGTCATAAATCTGATTTAACTTACTGAAGGTTTTTTATTCATAATCCATCCATAAGCGGTTAAAGGTTTCTCTAAAACTTATACAGAAACCTTTGAAATATTTTTATGAGCTTTTTGGTGCAAATTTCGCTATGGTTTTCGGTTATAATAAGTGGGCTAGAGATCCACATGGTCGTTTAACTTCAGTTGCTTATATCGCTCTCCTGATTGCGTTACATAATTAATGAATGTATCCGTAACTGTCACATATGCCGGCACATTAAATTAAATAATCATGCCGTCGGTACATAGCCCAACTGAGATTTATTTCAAGTTTTTGTCTAAAACCTAATGTAAAAGCATGTGGGTCTCGGACCCACCAATTATGATCAACCATTCCACCGGGAAGCCGGAAAATATAAAATGACACCGACAATAAGGAATGATATCGTCGTCATTTTTGATCTAGGTGGGTTTCATTAGGATTTAAGTGGTAGGCCCGAGGTCCACATGCTCACAAGCAAGTGTATCTGGCACTAACTAATCTTTTTCATAAATATCAAATGACAGGGCCAGCCAGTGTGTCTTAATTTTTTTCTTCCGCGAGTTGCTGTTAAGTGCGAGTTGAGTCCAGATGTCGAATAGCTGTTGCAGCACAAGTCTTCGATAGAAAAAATCGAACATTAGGGAAACGGGTTGGCGATAGTCATAATGTTGCGGTTCGGTTTAGTGATAACCACGTAAGTATGTATTACAGAGTCTCGAGACAATAATATAAATGTTCAACCTTCTGATGTTATTATGGTATTTGTGAAAGTTCCCTCGCAACCGTTGCTTGGCCGGACGCGCTGTCGTGCGTCAACTCAGGTTTACTTAACATAGTATCCATAAAGATCATAAGCACCACAAAAGGCATTACCGTTTTCAAGGTAATACGGGTAGTTAAATTTTGTATAAATAACTTAATAGCTTGTTCGTGAGTACCTAGATGACTTTGCTTGGACGCAATGATAAATTATATTACACTAAAGTTAGTAACACATCGTTTTAATAAAAAAGCCTCTTTTGTGACATATTTAACCTTTTTATTAGGGTGTCTTTCCTACCAAGAAACGGAACCCTTATTAGTTCACTCGTGTGTCCTGTGTCTGTTTAAGGTACGGAAAAGTAATAGCTTCGGATATGAAT